TGAGTGAGTACGTTTAGTTTTACGCCGCTTTTAGCAATGTTCCAGCAATATCACGGCGGGGGACACCAGAAATGGGCTTCACACAGTGTACCCATGTGGGGAATCGAACCCGGGCCTTCGACTTGACGAGCGAACGCTGTAACCACTAAGCTACCCCGCCGCCCCGACAGAGGGTTAAACCATCTTGTACAAACCGTCACATGTACACAAAAACAATGTTTCTAAGATGTGCTCGTATTATGTACTCTTTAGTATCGAATATATAATCGAGACATAAACATATCTCTTGAAGCTTTGAATCGTTTCTAAAAAAGCGGCATTGTACACTGGTTTCATTTAATTACATTCACATTAAATATTGTAATTGGAGAATTTGTGAACATGTCATACATTCAGGAATACATTCATGCACTTACCTTATCGCCTTGTTAAACGTTCCCTTCAAAATTGCAAAATACCGAATCACGTTTAAAAGGTTACTTCTTGAAAAGTCTTCATGACGCCCATCACAAAAAAATGCAGCGTTCACCGTCGCGCGTAATTAATATAAACTCGGGAAGTCGGATACTGATGTTATTGAAATGTCGATGAATGAATTCTATACAGCTTGTTGGAATTAATTTTACCTTCGTCAATGCATTTGATAAATAAAGTGACGTCTGCTACCATTCAGTGAGTCTGGATAACGTGCATGAAAAACTCGTGCAACGGAAGTGTGTCCCGATTGGCTGAATTCGTCACCATGACATCACTTGACAGCTCCGCCGATCACCTGAATGAAATATACATCCATTCTGATCTGATTGACATTTGTTTATATAAATATGCATAGTCTCAATGACCCGACGAAGCCAGTTGTGAAAGGATAGGCCATTGAAGTGTAAGCGTTGATTCGTAAGCCCGATTTACCAAATTGGTATACGATGCGATGCCATTTTTTAAGCGCGTGAGTGTTTGTTCATTCGAAATTTCGAAGCTGCACAAGCAGTTTTAAATAATGAAACTTCTTTGAACAAGAGTGAGTGAGTTTTAGTTTTACGCAGCACTCACCAATATTCCAGCTATATGGCGGCGGTCTCTAAATAATCGAGTCTGGGCCAGACAATCCAGTGATCAACAGCATGAGCATCGATCTGCGCAATTGGGAACCGATGACATGTGTCAACAAAGTCAGCGAGCCTGACCACCCGATCCTGTTAGTCGCCTCTTACGACAAGCATGGTTACTGAAGATCAATTCTAACCCGGACCTTCACGAGTCTCTTTGAACAAGATCATCCAGAACAAAATAGAATGGGTTATTCACATACGTTGGGAATTCGTGAAAAAATACTGAACTAGAAGATAAGGTGCATGATGACACAACCTATCTCAATCTGTTAGCATCCCCAGTGGTTATGCTATGTATGACACTGATGACGATTACTATTATGATGCTTATGATGCTGTTGTACTTGACGATGATGATGACGATGATAATGGTGAGAATGAAGATGAGGATGAGTTAGTTGGTGAATGTGATGGTAAATTACTCCATTTTTCCGGACAGGAACGGGGGACGTAAAAGACGCCAGAAATCAGGACCCAGTACACATTAGGAACCTGAGTTCGAGGCTGAGAATCAATGACGGAATAATGCATCACCTTTTTATTTTGTTTCATGAATTAACCTCATATGGATAAACTTTACTCCTTTCTTTCAGAGTTTGTTTTGGAATCAGCTTGTTTAAATAGTAGAAACTGTATTAAACTTAACCGGGCCAGTGTCGGCCAAACTGTAAAGGGCCAATTTGCAATCATTACGGCTGTGTACTGGGCCATACTTCTTCGGCTAAACCGGTCCAGTTCAACGCCAATGTGCAAAATAGCACAGGCCCAGTATTCCGGAATGCCTTAGTCATTTTTTAACTGGCCTGATTTTTTTACTTGACTTGGCCAGTATTGGCCCAAGTAGTTGATGTTAGCTGGGGAGTTGCCGATCTACCGGGAAGCATCAGGGCGAATGTCACGTGACCTCATAGATAACTTTTAGTTCTGTATAATTTAACTATGTGCATATGGTGCAAATATGGAAATATTGCCAGAGCAAGATGGTAGTTACAATTATAGCACTGTTTAGAGAATGCATGTGAGTGTGGAAACGGTCTTATTTGACAGACATGGTCTCTTTGACTTTCAGACCCAAGGCCGTTCCCAGTTGATGTTTGTAAAGAAGTCACTTTTCTTGTGTCAACAACAACAGGGTGCAAGTACACAAGGGACAAAGCCCATGACGTCAGCATCCCCAGATATGACGTCGCACCCCGCCAAGACAACCCAGGGCCCCGTTTCAACATTTTGCTCTAGTAAGCTTAAGATTTGGTAACGTTCCTCGTAGCATTCCTACTTCCTATACTGTAACATTGACTTACGATAGTCGTAGCTCTACATCCTTGAACTTACAAACAAAAAGCCCTCAGAAGACCCAACGCCAGAAAATTAAACCAATATGCTACAATGCTTGTTGATGGTCTGGTATTTGAGGTTAGCGGAGGAAATCTTGCAACCCAACTACTGAAAAGAGAAATTGGACATAAATTCAACAAGAAAACATTACGAAAACCAGAGACACATTGTCTTAGTGTAGCAATATCAAATTTATTTTTCTCTGAATTGGACGATGTGGTGTACTGTCTTTTTACTTTTCAGTCTGATTCGATGCCATCTCTACTTTGGGTAAAAGTCAACAGAAGTGATGTTACATATGCTAGTATTCATGGACCATAAACATAGACCGAAGGAAGATAACGATCCTTTGTCAGTTGTTGCATTCGCCAAGAAATACCTTCGTCGTTTACCATCGTGTCTAGACTTGAAGTATACGTCTGTCAGGAGTATTCATTGATAGAGGCCTACGTAGATGAATTGCGTATTTAGAAACAATGGTGCGAAATTACAAAAGGAAAACCAACCAGGGCAGTTATGGTGCGGATGCACTGATGCGAGCTATGGCTGCTATCAAAGAGGGAACATCTATTTCGGCGGCTTCCAAGAACTTCAGTATTCCACAAAGAACACCATCACGCCATTTGAAAGGTCAAGTTAATTAACCCGGCTCCGCAAAACTGGCGATACAGACCAGTATTAGATTAAGCGTACGAACTTGAACTCGTTAATCATATTATTACTATGCAACAAATGTTCTACGGGCTAAATACTGGAGACATTCAGAAACTAGCTTTTGATTTAGCAGAAAGCAAAGGCGTTAAACATTATTTTAACCAAGCAAAAGAAAAGCTGGAGAAGACTGGTTAGCAAACTTTTAAAGCGACACCCAGAGCTGTCTACTAGGAAACCAGAACCTACAAGCTTGACACGTGCAGTTGGATTTAACAAACCAGCAGTAGACAAGTATTACGAAATTTTGAGAGGTGAAATTAAAAAATATTCATTCAAGAACGTTCCATGTGGATGAGAGTGGTCTGACAGTGGTCCACAAGCCAGGACATATCCTTGCGAAAAAAGGTCAAAAACAGGTTGGAAACATTACAAGTGGTGAAAGGGGTAAAACAATCACTGCAGTGTGTTGTTTCAGTGCAGCTGGCACATACGTCCCCACCAATGATGAAATATCCACGTAAGAGAATGGCTCCAACTCTGACGAAAGGAGCTCCTTCTGGATCGCTGGCGAAATGTAGTGGAACTGGATGGATGAATCGTGATTTGTGTTTTCAATGGTTACGCCATTTCAGAGACCATGTTCAACCTACACGCGCGAAGCCATGTCTGCTACTGCTTGATGGTCACAATTCCAATGAAACACTTGAAGCAATCACATTTGCCAGAGACAACCACTTTTCGATGTTGGTTTTGCCGCCCGACACAACCCATCGACTTCAACCATTGGACTGCACCTACTTTGGCCCGTTGAAGACAAACTTTCACCAGGAAGCAGACAGGTGGATGGTCATGAATCCAGGAAAGAGAATATCAGTGTTTGAAATGGCCCAACTATTTGGAGATGCTTACAGAAAAACATCGACGATGCTAAAAGCCACCATTGGTTATCACTGCACTGGCATATGGCCTATGGCCATTCAATCCAGACGTCTTCTGAGAAGGAGATTTCATTGCTGCACAGTTGGATAAACATATTTTTATTCCTAGAGAATTTGGTTTAGTAAACAAGCAGAACTCTGCTTATATCAATACCTCACCAGTGATTTGATTTAAACATATTTTATTCACAAATGTGAAAGGAATGGGGGACAAGTTATCCAACTTAAAATACCCGCTCCCTAATATTTACATACATACAATTTCAATTATATTCATCTTAAGAAACAATACAGAGAAGAGATAGGAAAGTAAATGAGAGAAGAGAGGAAGGGACACAACTTATGTGATCACTGACAACGTTTTGATTGAAGAATAAAAGTTTGCACACATTTGAAAATGCATTCATTCTGTTGAATAGTCAGGTCAGGACTTCCAAGTAACATCAGTGACAATGTGATTGGAGAAGCACGTTTTATAATATTTTAATATTTAACATTAATATCTCTCTTTGAATGATGTACAGTCTACATTCTAATTATAAGTGACGTATATTTTCAGAATGTACCTCACCAGTACATATATCATTTAAGCAAAATACACAAAAACTGGTTACAAAAACAACAAATTAAATCATGTATGTGCGTTGTAGGTGCTTATAAACCTTGAGCTTGCAGCTACACTTCTGGCTGCACAGTTTACAGAGGAACCAGGCACGAAAGCAGATCCAGAAGCAGTATATGGTCTCTGAAATGATGTAGTGCTTTGACAGTTTTACTTTGTCCGACTTTTGAAACCGGTGATTCCAGAGGTATAAATGACAACTGGGAAGAGCCATTAATGGTGTAGCCTAAACAGTAAATTGCATTTACTGAAGTGGCAATGAAATGCACATATACTGAAGACTCCATCCTAAGACTCCGCACCAAACCTCCACTCCATGTTTTACAGGGCCAAATGCAAAGTCACGGAGTGTAGGCCAGTCGCGTCTTTGTTCAAGGGAGATAACTCTATCACACATTTACAAATGCGGGAAATTTGTTTTCGTGATCAAAATTCGATGTTATGGTTCTGTCAAACCGATGAAAATGACGTCCGTTTTGAGTCCTTTCAGCAAGCTTCCAAATCGTCAAGAGTGTACAGTGTTGGTGAGAACCATTAACGTTATCATCAGATGTTAATTTGGTTTCCCAAACCAGAATGGGCAAGTAATATGGTGTATTGTTCGGTTTTCGATTGCCTTCAGTACGTTTATGAAATGTGCCCAGTGTCTTTACAACGGCACTACGATTGTACGAAAGGAATTCTGCACTTAACTGGCAGCGGGGAGAATCAAGTTCATATGCCAGGTTGCAGTTAAACTACGGTGATGAGTTAATATTAGTTGCCATCAGTGGAAACATGGCGGGACCAGTGTTTGGAAAAAAAAGTCCATGTAAAAAAAGTACCAGTAAAAAAGTACTAAATTTGCCTAGGAAAAAGAGTCCTACTTTTAATTTGTTATAACAAATGTTAAGAAAAACTTATATCTGCGGGTTTTTACTACTCTATATTCACATACAACATTGTAAATTGACACAAATTTGCATCTGCACTGATACATTTGCAAGAATTTGCTGACATTTACTGAAGTTTATTCAGCCTAATATAGCCAAAATCACATTATAATTGTCGGGTTCTTTGATTCAATCAGCTAAAATCACATTTTATTACACAAACAGTACTCAAGCTAAATCCTGGATGAGATCTGCTCAGTTAAAAATATTGTTCTTGGTTAATTCCGAGGACTTTTTCCCTATAATCGGCAGGACCAATCCACCTGTCATTGACAGTGTCAATAATCAGGATCAGTGGTCATTTACCAAATGACCAATCCTCAATTGTTATCCTTTATCAGCATACCAAGAAGCCATATTCTCAACTCAAACTTTAACTCACAGTTATTTCATCACATGACTCCTTTGAATTAATGAATATTTTATTGACTGTGAAAAGTATTTCACTCAGGTGTATCTGCATCTACCGGCCCCCTCCATCCAAGAAAAATGACAACAAAACTGACATCTTGCTGACTGGTTCAGCAATGAATAGGGCCAAGGTTAAAGTGGACTCGATCACAATTGGTAACTCCGTGCTACCTTTCAGTACAACAGTAAAAAATCTTGGGGTCATCATGGACCATGTCAATAACGTGTGTCGTACATGCTATTTCCATGTGAGGAACATCGCCAACATCCGTCACCTGTTGACATGTGATGCATCACACCATTTGGACAGATCCATGATCCTCTCACGGTTGGATTACTGCAACAGTCGACCGGGTAATGTGCGTCAGGATCTTGTCACCAAATTACAGCGCGTTCAGAATGCAGCTGCATGGACCATCACCAGAAGCAGGAAGAGGTCACACATCACACCAGTCCTTGCAAAGCTCCACTGGCTGCCGATCAAGATCTTGTGCATCACATACCGCTGTATCAAAGGCTCAGCTCCATCCTACCTGACCAACTTGGGGAAAGAGTATGTTCCACCCGATGCCTCAAATCAGCTAACAGCTCACTGCTCACAATTCCCACAGCCAAACTGAAAACCTTTGGACACAGATGCTTTTTCGTAAAATAGGGTAACACATACTTTGCAAAAGGTTGACAATAAAATACATTCTATACAATCCCTATGGTTAGTGTTACAGTTAGTTTACAAAAAAATGTAGAATCAAAATTGAGTGTTATTTTTCGATAACTGCAGGAAATTGGACAGGGAAGCCACTTCTTTTGCAAGGGCTTCTCCCAGGTACCTACATTTTTATGCATAGAATCTAAACTAGAACTAGAACATTGTTGTGGGGACCATTTACCTGTACCCTCATGATTTCTCCATTCCTACAATTTCTTTCTCTCATGTGATTTTATTCAGTTCGTGACTGATATCCTTCCATAGATTAACCAAAAAAGCAAACAAATCCTATATTGGCCTCATGATTAAAGCATTCGCATGTGACACCAAAGACCCGGGTTTGATTCCCCACATAGTGTGAAGCCCATTTCCAGTGTCCCCTGCCACAATATTAATGGAATATTGCTAAAAGCAACGTAAAACCATACCCACCCACTCATACAAGTCTGCCTGGATAGTGGGAGATTGATAGTTCCGTCCCTCATCACACCAGAAGAGGTTGAAAGATTGTACTTCTTGTTACCCTCCCTGTTGCACAGTTGAAATAAACGTGCAGAGCCGTCTAATAAATGTAACTGAAACCCTAAACTAAATTTGAACTTACCTTTGGTCTAAACAAGGAAGTAAATGTGACAACTATTACCTGTGAAAAAAACTATGGATGACAATCAACTAAATGTGATTCCCTTAAAGTGAATAAAATGAACTTTAATGTAATATCTAAATGAATCCACAAGTCTAATACCTAACAACACATCAGTCTGGTGTCTAATGCCCCCAAACCAAAGGGCCCAGTGTATCATTTACCACCATCTTATATACCCAAAACTACTTTGTATGTAACGTGCAGGCATACCCATCTCCGGGTGTATTCAGGTGACAGTATGCTTTGTGTGCGTTTGGACGAGCACGATTAGCAAAAACAACAAAAAGTCTTCAGAACACTCCCTGGTATAAGGTAATATTCAGTGGGCTGGTACTATACGACAGCTAAGTCTGGATTAGTACAAGCAGACAGACAATAAGATTAACAGCCAGAGAGAGAGAGAAAAGGTGCACGCAATCACGCACACTCACACACACTTTTTCTTGACTATAATGTTAAACCCCATTTCACCTCCTGGGTCATCTTCCATTTCCAACTGTGGTCATTTTCTGAGCGTTCGTTGCTTATTTAGCATCTCAAGGCTGGAGTAGAGACTAAATCAAACAATGGTGTCTGAACAGTCAATTCCAAAATACCATGTTTTTTTACATTCTGTTTTCAGCTTGTTGGGGATGAAGGGACAGGGAAACACGATCTGGGGCTGGCCATGCTGAATCTCAAGACACCATTCTCACTGTTTGTGTAAGTCGATGTACCTGCCTTACTTACTGTTTACTAGGACTGCAATGAATACACTATGTGGCGAATATGATACGTATCATGAATTTTGGGTAACGAATACGAATAATTATTCACGAATACAATATTGTAGTTCAGTGATTGATGCACTTTATGGAACGTCCATGTTGACAGTTTTGATTTGTCACAGCAATAACCAGTGATCTCATGACACTCAAATTTGGTATGTAATAGTTATAGTCGACAGTACCATGTGTGGCCTTGGCAAACTAACATGACTTGCACTTCTGCAATGCTAGTACATGTTCCATTCTTGCATATCTCACTTTGGAAAGGACATAAGGGTTCAAGTAAAACATGCTCCCTTAAAAAATTTGTAAATATTCGTTAATATTCGGTTCTGGTGACCACGAATATTCTGGTGAATAACGAATTGAATTCATGAAGGGCTACGGTTCGATTCAGTGAATATGCGAGTGAATCGTTACAACCTTACTGTTTACACTAACTGCATACCTAACACTGTCCAACTGCATCTGTAAGTTCACTTTACACACAAGGCATGTTTGTTTGTGTAGGCATGTGTGGCCTATTTGGCTTAGATGCTGCAATTCAGTTTGAAGAGTTGCCTCCCTTGGGCATCCCAGAACCCTATTATTGTTGGTTTGAACCATGTTGGCCCTGATTCTGTTTCTGGACCTGTCAGCACCATACCTATGTTCATGGGTTTCCCCAAAGTCGAGAACGTCTGAGACCTACATTACTTCAGGCTTTCCTCAAGTGATGCCATGATACATCGATACTGTTTCTAAGACGATACTATTATCAATACATTCAAAACAGTATCGATATTTAGTTTTTAAAGTATCAGCATAAATATGTTTATGTATCGTTTACATTTTGCAATTGTATCATGTTTATTGATGTTATGAGAGTTATAAATGATTTTTTCCTCCCATATGAAGCGGCTTTAGACCTAACTCCCTCATTCCAGTTACAAGGGTGGTGAGGTAGTCTAGTGGTTGAAGCATTCATTCGTCACGCTGAGGACCAAGGTTCGAGTTCCAACATGGTTACGATGCATGAAGCCAGTTTCTGGTGTCCCCAGGCGTGATATTGCTGAACTATTGTTAAAAGTGGCGTAAAGCCATCCTAACTCACTGGCTCCAGTTACAGACTAAAATATGTATTAATTCGGGTTTGTAGAGGGGGGTTGGGATAGCCTAGTGGTTAAAGCGTTCGCTCGTCACGCCAAAGGCCAGGGTTCGATTCCCCACATGGGTACAATGTGTGAAGCCCATTTCTGGTGTCCCCTCACACAATATTGCTGGAATATTGCTACAAGCGGCGAAAACCAAACTCACTCACTCACTCTGGTTTGCAGACGGACAGCTACCTCCCTCCCACTGCCTGCAGAGAAAGAAGAAGATCGACCCTGCATCGACTACATCTGCTATGTCATTAATTTGACATTGGACGACAGGTAACCATATACAGTCGAATCCCGATGAGTCGAATCTCTGGGGACCAAGTAATAAATTCGACTTATCGATGTATTCGACACATAGGTATGTCTATAAGGGTAGAAAAAAAGATGATCCAGTCCTAATTCCTCCGCCTAAGCATTTGTTTATCTAATGATTTCCATATCACTAATAGGGACACCTTATCAGTTCCAGTCTGATTAGCACAGACAGTGATTTCCGTAAAATCACTAATCTGCCTTTTGAACTCACCCGTCAATGGTGGAAAGGTGTGAGCCGCGCTGGTTTGTTAATTTGATCAGTTTGCTACACCAATCAACTTCTCATTGACTGACTTCGGCTTATGCATACAAAATTGCCGTTGTTTGAATCTCATGGGACCAAATTTCTTTATCGAGTCATCATGTGTATTTATGAGATGAATTCGTGTAACCGGTATTCAAATGATGACAACTATAACAGGGAATGGTTGGGACCGACAGGTACTTCGAGTTATGCATAATATTCGAGACACCGGCATTCGACTCATCGGGATTTGACTGTACTTCAGTATATTTAGTTGTGTCACTTTGGACAGTCTCCCCCATAGAGTTGGTTGGCTGGTTGTTTAGGGGCGGTGGGGTAGCCTAGTGGTTAAAGTGTTCGCTCATCACGCTGAAGATCTGGGTTCGATTTCCAACTTGTGTACAATGTGTGACGCCCATTTTGGTGTCCCCACTATGATATTGCTGGAATAAAAGCGGCACAAAACTAAACTCACTCACTGGCTGGTTGTTTAACGCTACTCAGCAATATTCCAGCTATATGGCAATGATCTGTAAATAATCAAGTCTGGACCAGGTAATCCAGTGATCAACATCATGAGCACCGATCTACGTAATTGGGATACAATGTCATGTGTCAACCAAGTCAGCAAAACTGACCACCCGATCACATTAGTCGCCATTTCCGACAAGCAAGGGTTACTGAAGACTCGTGTTGGGAATTGGTTAAAATGTCATAATTGATGATTTGTTCATCACAACCGGTCAATCATGGAAAATAATTGGTGAGCGTCATTTATCAAATTTTCCTGATTATGTTTGTTAATGCACAAAAAATAATGAAAAAACACGTTCTTTCACGTTTTTTGCAAATTGCACAAAATGCATTTGCAAATTTTATATCTTTAAACAATCCTGACTTGGAACAAGCTGGTTGTGCTTATGAAACAGACAAAACCAACCTTGTGAAATATTGTTAAACGATTGCTTGGTCATTTAGTCATTGCAACCCATCTTCGATTATTTCAATTAATCACTACTGAAGACCAGTTCTAACCCGGACGCCGAAGACCCGGGTTCGATTCCCCACATGGGCACAATGTGTTAAGCCCATTTCTGGTGTCCCCCGCCGTGATATTGCTGGAATATTGCTAAAAGTGGCGTAAAACTAAACTCAGTCAGTCAGTCAGTCTAACCCGGATCTTCTCTACCCCATTGAAACCCTGATTGATGTTGGTTATGTCTGCATGCAGCATGAAGATTGTCGAGGAAGCTTTGTCAGCTGTAGATGTGAGGTACTTTGTTGGACGCTCCTCCCTGATAGTAACTGGAGGTGAGAGTTTCGTTTTTGTTATCCATTTATCCACTTGACAAACATCATAAGTCAGAAACATCTCAGAAACCAAAGCAGTGGTGTTACTGGTGATTGTAAACCAAAAGTCACTGTGTTCTTTAATCTGATTGGTTGAAAAACATGATCAAATGGTATTCGATTCCCGGAAATTCGCTGCGTATTAATACATACAAACATCGCTCACACCATTGTATTGTTACGTCGTCAGCTGAGATGACGTCATTCAAATCATATTGGGCCGTAAAGTCCGAATGACGTCACAAATGAGCAGTTCCAGATGGTACCATGGGAGACAGCCGAAAACGGCCGGCTGATGACATTGCACTGCTGTACCCATACTCTATGTCAATGAGTGCAGACACAAAAACGTGTGTAGACCTTTTGGTTTACTTTTGTGTTTACAATGTCGATAAACATCATGTGTTGGCCAATTTCCGGGTGTTATTGAGTATTTGAAGCACGGGAATTCATTTGGAACCGATCTCCTAATTAGATCTGAATGTGCAGCATGAGATTTACATGTTATCATTTAGAATGTCAAATGTGCTGTTGACATAGCTCTTCATTGAAAACATTGTTCACTTTCATCCCTCTGTGATGTAAAAATCTTTCAGGCTAGTGAAGATTTGTGAATAGACATACTTATATATGTATGTTAAACCTTGCCTGCATTTATTGAAATGTACAGGAACTGTCACCATGGTGACTTGTTTCCACAGTTGAGTTCCCCAACAAGCAAGTCATCGAGATGGAGACTGTTTTGAAGTTGGCTGAATCATATGACTTGCCAATCATATTTGGAGAAGTAGAAGTAAGTTCTGTCAAATCAAATAGTTCTATCAAACAAATGGTTCCATTAAACACAGGTGGTGACTACAGTAGAGTTGATATACAGTCAACTCTCGTTAATCCGACACTTGTGGTTGCAGAGAAATATGTCGGATTAACGAAAATGTCGGATAGCTTGAAGCATTGGAATCAGTCGTAGAGACACTCAACCACTAAGCAGACTGCTTCAGGATGTCAGATACGGTTGATCATCCAATATTCACATCAAACTTCTGCTCAGCAAAAGTGATGACTTGTTGTGTTGTCTGGGGTTTGTCTTTCTTCAAAAGGAGATTTCTTTCTTGATCAATGGCGTAACTTATACAAGAGGTCGTCTAGCAGGTGGTGTACTCGTGACAAACATCTTGTGATGAAAACTCATGTCGGTTGTAAACATTTTATACAGCTCGCTCTACTGTTATTTCTTGATTAAATCGTATCAATTAATTATCCTGTGTTCCTAATTAACAAGTGTGATGTTCACTGACGCCGGTGTCAAGCAGCCAGTAAGGCACATGGTAATTACTACTCACGTGTGATTGTTTGTATACGGTCTGATTATCCGACCAGCTGTGTTGATTGTCGGATTAACGAATGTTTTTACAATGTATTTACAATAATCAGTTGCTAGATTGGTGTGTCGGAGTCGGAATGTGAGAATGTCCGATTAACGAGAGTAATTATCACTGTTTTAAATGGTTCCCTATTTTTTTGTCGGATTAACGTGATTGTCGGATTAATGAGTGTCGGATTAGCGAGAGCTGACTGTACAGTATACTTGTCTACAATAGTTGTAAGGTAAGTACTACTCGGGGTGCTCTTACAATACATACATTCATTGTATTGCCCATCTTTCCTAGTCATAGTGTTTGTGATTGTCATTTTTTGCTAATGATAGTAAAAGTAAGTGAGTGAACATGTAGTCACATTAGTAATATTTCACCCATATTGTGACCAAATGATAGTAAAAGAGACAACTCTCTTTTCTTAAAGTCCAACAAATATTTCACATTTTAGATCTGACTAGGCCAAGTTGCTTAGTGTCAAATCTGTGGATGCACTTTGCCTTCTTGAAGTGGTCAAATGTACGTGTTATGTTTGGGATTGCACTTTCTCAGCAAAGTACAGATTCTAGTTCTTTTTGCAGCCAAGTCCCAACTGAACCCATATCTATTTGCCAGAACACATGTCAGCAATGTACCGGTAATCACTCTACCACTGCAGCTTCCACAAAAAATGGACGTCAGACAACTGGTAGTCTAAATACCGTGTATCCATCCCTCTGAAAAGTGCAAAGTGCCAAAGCCAAAATAGTAGGGCAGACAATAGAAAAATTGTTCTCTTTGTGATACAAGCAACAAAATTTGCATACATGTTCAATTTGGTACACTTACTGAAAAAATTTGTTAGCCACTCAAAATTCCAAGTTGGCCACCATTTATATTATGCTATTTTTGTTTCAGCTCCTAAAAACAATTTCTTCATGATTTTTAACGTATTTGTGTCTCAGTGTGTTAATTAAGATACTGTTTATGTTATGTAGCAAATATGATTACGTCCAAAATCCAAGATGGCCACCAGTTTTCAAAAAATGTCTAAAACGTTCTGATAATATTTCTGACAAGTGCAAAGTGCCATGGCGACCGCAGCCAGTAGCAAATAAATACATTATACCATTAGAAAGTGGTTAATTTGTGTGCTGGGAATAAGATGCCTCACTCTGGGAGTGTGGGTTCGAATCCTGAGTTCGACCCCAAAAAGGTACTTGGGTATGTACTTTATTGAGAAAGTGTAATCACATTCATAGATTTAATTTTGAGATAGCACGTAAAGTACAACCAGGAGTCGCACTTGATCACCTGCCAAAAGCATTACAGGCTCTGCGTAAAGGAATGAAATTAAATATGTTTGCAGAAACCTGAGGAGCTTCTGTCCTTGGCCACCAAGGTGACAAAAACTGTGGAGATTGCTGCTGGGTACAAGCGCAACGTTTCTCCAATGTTGGTAGAAGCAACACAAAGGAACTTTGAACAGAACCTGTGAATCTTCCAGAAGCCTGACTGGCTCAGTGCTACCGTGATTCAAAGGGTGAATAATGTGTACATGCAAGAGTATGAACAGATGCCATTTAAAAGACATCCACATCATGGCATGGTGTTTTGCCAATCCAATCTTTGATATTGTACTCAAAGGAGGATTTTTGTCTGGTCTCCTGATTTATTTTATCAGTGAAGAATCTTGGTGATAACTGTCTTCATCACTCCCACCTTGATACAATGAGAGTATGTTTCACATTAATAGTTGCGTTCCAGTCCGAGATCACTCCCTACACCCCAGGCAAACTGCCCCGTTGCAAGTCTTGCAGAACTGTCATGCACGACAGTCATATACTCTGTGTAGCCATTCTTGGTTCAATGTCATGAAATGATAATCTTGGACAATGGTTTGAAATCGCAGTGAGGTTGGCAAGCCAGGACAGTATAAAGCTTTGTCATGTTCCATAAAAAATGTACCTGCTTCCATTTACTTTGCAAATAAGCCTTGTTTGGAGAATACAATAAATTATTTGGTGACATCAATGGTGTTATTAGTTAATATAATACTAATATTTGTGGGATTCAATTATGTTTAATGCTGAGCTGAAAAGCCTCGAAACATTCAGGGAAAGAAACCTTTCAAAATTTCCCACGAGACCACAGGACCAGTGAGTGGACAATAATTAGTGGTCCTGTCTGTACTTAACTAGTCCAAAATAACATCCGTAGCGTAGATTTACTTAACTATCAATACAAAATTCACTGGCCACCAGGACCACTACAAACTTATCATTTAGTGGTCCTGATGATTTTTTTGCTAGCCAGGGACCTTATAACCAGCGTAAATTTCGGACACTGTATCATAACTAAGTCAAACTGCGATTTGAACCCACAACCATATGCTTTCTGACATGTAGAAAATGCAATTGCAGCCTTAGACGATGCCGTTACAAATGAACAGCACTGATTCATTCTTTCCATTAAAAACAGGACAATTCCTCATAGAAATATATGTTTTATTGTAATAAAGTTGTAAAATAAATATGACATAATTACAACTGAGATAACATTTTCAACAACTTGAAAAGATGTACATACTTTACATATGTACAAACTATATACAATAGATGGAGGTAACATGCACTGGTGCTACTTTTATCCCAATACAAAGGTTGTGATACAATGTGGCTTACTTACATAGATACAAAAGTACAATCTACACTGCTCAAAAGAAGTTAGGGGCCATCCAATTCTGTCACATTATTATAAATAAGCTGTCATGTCATGTCCCTAACTTGTTTATAGTAGCATAGCATGGTACAGGAGTGTATCAGATTGTATCATACTACACCAAGTACACTTTAGCATCAATGCATCAGAAATAATGCTATCAGTAATTATTATTTTATCCAGCATTCCTTAACTAACAGTCAATATATTAGCAAAACCTTGCTGAAAGATAAACCGTGAAGAAGCTTAGTTTACACCAATGTTCTTGTACGAAGAGCTTCTTACTTTCTAAAGTATTGCTTTGGACAGTTGATAACACTGTTCACAGCACTGGAGGAAAAGTCTATCAAGGCTTTGTTATGCTTACTTGATTCATAAATTGGACGGAAATTAGATGTAAGTCAGTATCAATATAATTCTTTACTATGGACGGACAGTTGTGTACCAGTGTTCCATTTATGGACAGTTGTTGGAGTTGCTACTGGAGTTTTGTCATACTGATGTGATGGATCTTGGAATGGATGATTGGGACATTTGGGCCCGTGTGTAACAAATCAGAGGGCATTCATAAAAAGTGGACACACAACCAAATCATGTTTTCTTTAACAGTCCTTCCTTTTAAAACTGACTGACTGAGTTTGGTTTTACGCCGCTTTTAGCATTATTCCAGCAACATCACGGCGGGGGACACCAGAAATGGGCTTCACACATTGTGCCCATGTGGGGATTCGAACCCGGGTCTTCGGCGTGACGAGTCAACGCTTTAACCATTAGGCTACCCCACCGCCCCTTCCTTTTAAAAAATGTCTTAGAGAATAATGAATAACAAATACTGTAATTAAAGGGCAGGGATTTGAATACTGTAATGTCACATGATTCATCAGCTGGAAGTGATAGATTAACTGCATTATGAAGACTTTTGCCTGTGATGGGTAGTATCACTGAAACACTGTAAGACTCAAAGCTAAGGTCAATCAGTTTCTATTTATAGGGGAAACATTGGGCCCATGGAAGTGAAATCCGCTTGTTAGACTTCTGTGCACTAAGGGCACACTCCAGATCCATCACAGATACTGTGTGATCAGTATAGTCGTACCAAGTGTCGTGCCTACATGCATATCGTGTAACTATGTCCTGAGTTAGCACATCTTACAGTAATGAAGAATAAACATGTTGGTTGTTATGAAAATGACCGAAGATGTATCTCTCAACGCATTACATTATAAATATCACCCTGCGATATGACACGTCTCTTGCAGACATACTTGTGTGCGTATCACATGACTTTTCTTACTGACATGATCACATGACATGACCACTGTCAGATCACGTAACGAATCTGTTGGCATATCACAGGAAATACAGGCTTACCAGATCACATGACCTGTCCACTGACCAATCACATGACATCAGTTTGCATATCACATGACAAGACATATCAGTTTGCATATCACATGACAAGACAAATCCACTGCCAGATCACATGACATATCCATCATCATGCTGGTAGTAAGGATCGTCTATCTGCTCCAGGTCAGTGAACTGTTGAAGATGGAACTTTGTGACTTGATAGTTCACCATGATCCTGATGGCAATGTAGCCACAAATCACCTCAAACACAATGAACAACGCCTTCACTATGTTCATGGCACGCTCCAGGGGAACTACCTTGGCATCTTCATTGAAGGTCATCAACAGAATGAGTGGCAGCTGCAGCAACACCGTCAACAGCCAGAAGCCAGCCAGCTCGGGAACCTGCAACACATGATAGACGACACATGATAGACGACACATGATACACGACACATGATACACGACACATGATACACAACACATTACAGCAGGGTATGAACCTCCCAAAACTTTCAGCCAGACCACAGGGCTGGTTAGATATAAAACTTGCCAGCCCTGACCAAAACTTTCAGCCAGACCACACAGCTGGTTAGATGTAAAACTTGCCAGCCCTGACCAAAACTTTCAGCCAGACCACAGGGCTGGTTAGATGTAAAACTTGCCAGCCCTGACCAAAACTTTCAGCCAGACCACAGGGCTGGTTAGATGTAAAACTTGCCAGCCCTGACCAAAACTTTCAGCCAGACCACAGGGCTGCTTAGATGTAAAACATGCCAGCCCTGACCAAACCTTTCAGCCAGACCACAGGGCTGGTTAGATGTAAAACTTGCCAGCCCTGACCAAAACTTTCAGCCAGACCACAGGGCTGGTTGGGTGTAAAACTTGCCAGCCCTGACCAAAACTTTCAGCCAGACCACACGGCTGGTTAGATGTAAAACTTGCCAGCCCTGACCAAAACTTTCAGCCAGACCACAGGGCTGGTTAGATGTAAAACTTGCCAGCCCTGACCAAAACTTTCAGCCAGACCACAGGGCTTGTTAGATGTAAAACTTGCCAGCCCTGACCAAAACTTTCAGCCAGACCACAGGGCTGGTTAGATGTAAAACTTGCCAGCCCTGACCAAAACTTTCAGCCAGACCACAGGGCTGGTTAGATGTAAAACTTGCCAGCCCTGACCAAAACTTTCAGCCAGACCACAGGGCTGGTTAGATGTAAAACTTGCCAGCCCTGACCAAAACTTTCAGCCAGACCACAGGGCTGGCAAGTTTTACACCAAAACTTTCAGCCAGACCACAGGGGCTGGTTAGATGTAAACTTGCCAGCCCTGACCAAAACTTTCAGCCAGACCACAGGGCTGGTTAGATGTAAAACTTGCCAGCCCTGACCAAAACTTTCCAGCCAGACCACAGGGCTGGTTAGGTGTAAAACTTGCCAGCCCTGACCAAAACTTTCAGCCAGACCACAGGGCTGGTTAGATGTAAACATGCCAGCCCTGACCAAAACTTTCAGCCAGACCACAGGGCTGGTTAGATGTAAACTTGCCAGCCCTGACCAAAACTTTCAGCCAGACCACAGGGCTGGCAAGTTTTACACCAAAACTTTCAGCCAGACCACAGGGCTGGTTAGATGTAAAACTTGCCAGCCCTGACCAAAACTTTCAGCCAGACCACAGGGCTGGTTAGATGTAAAACTTGCCAGCCCTGACCAAAACTTTCAGCCAGACCACAGGGCTGGTTAGGTGTAAAACTTGCCAGCCCTGACCAAAACTTTCAGCCAGACCACAGGGCTGGTTAGATGTAAAACTTGCCAGCCCTGACCAAAACTTTCAGCCAGACCACAGGGGCTGGTTAGATAAACTTGCCAGCCCTGACCAAAACTTTCAGCCAGACCACAGGGCTGGTTAGATGTAAACTTGCCAGCCCTGACCAAAACTTTCAGCCAGACCACAGGGCTGCTTAGATGTAAACATGCCAGCCCTGACCAAACCTTTCAGCCAGACCACAGGGCTGGTTAGATGTAAAACTTGCCAGCCCTGACCAAAACTTTCAGCCAGACCACAGGGCTGGTTAGGTGTAAAACTTGTCAGCCCTGACCAAAACTTTCAGCCAGACCACACGGCTGGTTAGATGTAAAACTTGCCAGCCCTGACCAAAACTTTCAGCCAGACCACAGGGCTGGTTAGATGTAAAACTTGCCAGCCCTGACCAAAACTTTCAGCCAGACCACAGGGCTGGTTAGATGTAAAACTTGCCAGCCCTGACCAAAACTTTCAGCCAGACCACAGGGCTGGCAAGTTTTACACCAAAACTTTCAGCCAGACCACAGGGCTGGTTAGATGTAAAACTTGCCAGCCCTGACCAAAACTTTCAGCCAGACCACAGGGCTGGTTAGATGTAAAACTTGCCAGCCCTGACCAAAACTTTCAGCCAGACCACAGGGCTGGTTAGGTGTAAAACTTGCCAGCCCTGACCAAAACTTTCAGCCAGACCACAGGGCTGGTTAGATGTAAAACTTGCCAGCCCTGACCAAAACTTTCAGCCAGACCACAGGGCTTGTTAGATGTAAAACATGCCAGCCCTGTATAAAACTTAACTGTATAAAACTTAACTGCCCACAAAATATCTTCATATACATGTCTAAATTTTAACCTGACCGTCGGGCAGGTGAATTTGATAATCTGGCAGTCTGTGTTGAAAATACCCGTTCCAGGCGGTCGGGTAGGCAGGTACTTCGAACGCTGCATTATAGTTACGAAGGGCGTTAAGTGTAATTTCGCTTTGAATCTGCTTGTATCACTGTTACAAGGAGTCAGCTTGTTGTTGGTGGAATGAGTGTTGCACGTCTCTGACATTTACCACTTTAGAGAAACCTATGACTAGTGGTGGTCAGATTAGTGAGTGAGTGAGTGAGTTAAGATTTAAAGTCACATCGGCAATATTTCAGCCATATCGTGACTAAAGCAAGTTATAAATATATCAACAATTTAAGTGAAATTATAAAATTCTGCCAACGAAGGACAGTAAAATAACTAGATAATCACAGATATATATGTAAAACTAGCAATTGAATCTAAAACATTTTAACTATAGGGGACAACACAATATAAAAATGGGCTATAGATCGCCACCAACTGAAGGTAGATCACCATGCTGCTAGGAGCCATGGGGACTTACATTACTTTTGCTACCTGCATGGATCCTAGCTGGATTTACACCATCCCTTCAGCCATAGCGATTATAGGAAAATTTAGCCAACAATTAAAATTACAAAATACTACGTTTAAAATGTGATAATTTATATTTTACTTTGAAAGTTTTGGGACTTACGTACCTCTCAGGAGGACAATAATTTTATCACGCTACGTCAACCCCTTTGAGGGTACAGCCACTAACAATCTCAGTGACTAATTTAAATTACCAATAATAAAATATTTTATCTATTTACAAATCAGTTAATAAATCTAATTCTTTTAAAAATTCAACTATTAAATGATAATTAGCATTATTAAAAAGATCCTTCAATGTTTTGACATTAAAATACTTATCCCTTGTGATGGAATATTCAACACAGTCAAGCAGGACATGCTTGACCGTGATTCTTTCATCACAAGGGATACAAAACGGAGGATCCTCACCTTTCAATAGGTACTCATGAGTATATCGTGTGTGGCCAATACACGACATCGTCAAAGATAATGACCTCTTCAAATCTGGACTGACAACCCAAGTAGGTGTAACCAATATAGGGTTTTATTGCATGTAATTTATTTATACCTACTTGGGTGTCCCACTTCTTCTGCATCAGATCACGGATGTATGTTCTAATGCTTGCTTTGTAATCAGAGTAAGGAATAAGAAGTGGTGTCACAGATTTGTTGAGTGCTGCCTTTGCAGCAAGATCGGCCATTGTATTCCCAGAAATACCAACGTGGCTGGGTAACCAACAAAAGACGATGTCGCATTGGCCAGTTGCAAGATCATTATATAATTCTATAATTTCTATTAAAAGTGGATGTTTACAAGAAATATTTGTAATCGCCTGAAGGCAAGACAGAGAGTCAGAAAAGATTGTATTGTTTATATTTAGTGTGACTATTTATATATTTGAGAGCTGTTAGGATTGCGTTTGCTTCAGCTGTGAAAATTGAACTGTCATTGGGTAATCTGAAGATATTGTTCTGGACCCAATGACAGTGGCACAAGCAACCGCACCACCATCCTTGGACCCATCTGTAAATAAGGATTTATATGTATTATATTTACTTTTTAATTGATGATATTCTTGTTTATATTGTAAGTCATTAGTTTCTGATTTTTAAATTTAGTGAGTGTTAGGTCGACTTGTGGCCTCAACCAATTGCCAAGGAGGAGAAGAAAGAAGACGGAAGGAGATATTCTCCAACTCAATGCCAGCAGCAGAAATATATTGTTGATTCTTATCCCAAGAGGTGGACAAGAGAAGGTTTTTTTTATTATACAAATCCTCATAAAGAGGATTAAAAACGCAAGTGTGAGCAGGATTGATTCATTAGAATATAACTTTGTGATATATTGTAGGGACAATTTGATGGCGAAGTTTTTAAAGATGGCTCATCAGCCTCAACGTAGAGACTGTCAATGGGAGAGGTTCTGAAAGACCCAAGACAAAGTCTTAGACCCTGGTGATGGATAGAATCAAGTAGTTTGAGGTTGCTTTTACAGGCCCCACCATATACGATAGAGCCGTAATCAAGCTTCGAAGCGACAAGTGATCTGTAAAGGTGTAGGAGCCGTAGCTTGATCCCTCCCCACCTTGAATTAGACACCCGACTTTCAATAAATCGAGTGCCTTCAGGCATTTAGTTTTCAGGGATTTGATATGCGGAAGAAAAGTTAAATGGGAGTCGGGAAAATGAGACCTAAGAACTTGGCCTCTTTTTACAACTTTGATGGGAGAGTGCCACCTAGAAACAGTTCTGGGTCTGTATGGGGTTTATATTTCACGGCAGAAATGTATGCAATTAGTTTTGATTTCGAAAATTTAAAGCCGCTTTCAAGACACCATTTATGTATTTTATTTAAACACAACTGTAGTTGCCGCTCAATGGTATGCATATTCTTACCGCGACAAGAAATGTTAAATCATCCACAAAAGTGATCCATCAATTGAATCATTTAAAACCTTGATAGACTGTTGATCTTAATGTTGTAATAAAGTGACAGACAAAATACTGCCTTGCGGGGACACCCTGATCCTGATTGTAATGATCAGACAGGGTTGAACCCACTCGACTTGAAATTGCCTGTCATTTAAAACTGTGATATAAAAAAGAGGTAAACGAATCTCAAACCAAAAATCATGTAAATCCTTTAAAATGCCATGCTTCCAGGTGGTATCGTGACGCTTTTCAGATCAAAGAATATCGATACTGCATGTTGTTTATTGACTATAGCATTTTGATAAAGGATTCTAATCGTATCAAATGATCAATGGTACTACGATTTTCTGAAACCACATTGATATTTGATATCAGGTTATTGGTTTCAAGATACCAAGTTAGTCTATTGTTCACCATTCTTTCCATGGTTTTACAGACACAACTCGTTAAAGAGATTGGTCTATAATTAGAAGGATCAGTATGATCCCGCCAGGTTTTGGAATAGGCACTACAATTGCATTACGCCAGAAAGTTGGGAAATTCCCGAAGTCCATATTGAATCAAAAAATATTTAGAAGTGTTTCCAAACATGATTCCGTAATGTTTCAAGAGCTGATAGTGTATGTTATCAGCTCCTGTTGCTGTATCATGAGCTTGCTCAAGGGCAGTGTGGAGCCCATGTAATGAAAAATAATTCGCTGTAGTCTTACCATTGTCTGAGTTAAAATTTATTCTCTCTTTTCCTGTTGTTTCTGATAATGTTGAAATTCTGGGACATAATTGGACTAAGAAGAATGTTTGGCGAGAGTTTCACTCAAGCTTATTGGCAATGTGAGACTTATTAGGTTAATAAACTGTCACCATCCTTCAGATGGCTTAACAGTAGATTTGGAACCTTTGCCCTTAATTCTTTGGATCATGTTCCACACCTTTGAAATTGGGGTATGCGTGAATTTATCTTGGAAACGTAGTTTCTCCAAGACTGACGCTTATTCTGTTTAAATGCTGCTGTCCGAGCCTTAGCATTTAAAATTTTTACTTTGTCCAAATTATGGACCGTGAGGATGTTTGCTAAAAAAACTTTTCGCTTTCTTCCTACTCTTTCTGGCCTGTTTACAATCATTATTGAACCATGGCTTCTGCGAATGTGAGGATTTGCAGAGGACTTAGGGTATTGTTTGATCAGCTATGGCAGTGAGCTGATCTGTAAATAGCTTAATTTGATCATCGGTATTTTGAAAACGCTCAGGTGTTAGGGTTTGAAGTACACAATATCTCAAACAGTTGCCAATTTGCTTTTTAAAATTCCACCTAGATGATGAAGAATCAGCAATTGGGTTGTTGGTTTTCAGAATGGTGGGGAAAGTGATCGCTGCCACAGAGGTCATCATGGACCGAATTCATTCAAATTCATTTAATATGTTGGCATCCGTAAGAGAAAGGTCAAGGGGCTGAATACATTCCAGTAGCAGGATGTAAATAAGTGTTAGAGGCATCGTTATATATGCATAAATTATTGTCGTTAATGAATTCTCAAGTATCTTCCCTTTACTATTTGTATTTACGCTTCCCCATATAGGATTGTGACCATTCAGGTCCCCATGATAATGCATGGCTTAGGAGCTGATCGTAGTTGTTGAAGATCAGATTGTCGCAGTGACGTAGAGGGAGGGATATACAATGAGCACAGAGTAAATACAATGTGCATAGTTAGCCGGACAGCAACAGCTTGAAGATTTGTATTAAGAGGAACGGGCTGTTAATGACTCCCCGCCAGATAAAAATAGAAGCCCCTCCAGAAGCCCTATCTCCTGGTGGAGAAAAGAAATGATGACAATTGTATTGTCGTAACTCAAATGTGTCAGTAGGTTTGAGATAATGTCTTTGGAGACACAGTGCCGACGGTTTATAATCTTGAATCAACAGCTGTACTTCATTTAAATTCTTTCTAAGTCCTCTGCAATTCCACTGGATTAGATTTAAAGATTGAGTCATGGAGGCTCAACTGGGGACCTAGTCCGTGAACGTGAGGAAGAAATGTTTCTTCCTCTCTCCTGAGATGGAGTCACCTCCATATCAAAGGAGCAAATCGTTTTCAATGGTTATGTCCGTGAAGGGAGATTCCCAACTTTCAACTGTTTGTTTTGCCTTTTTTTTCTTTCCTGGTTTTTGAATGTCTGATTTTTCAACATTATGCTCTCGGTTTGAATCACAATCTGATTAGTTTGTGTTTCTGAAGATACATTTTTTGGTGGAGTGTTTGTACTAAGACTGAGAGGCTGATCTGAAATTACCCACGTTAACTCAGTCTGACACATGATAGATGAGGTTGGTACAGACCGGGTAACCACAGCAGAGTAGGACAAACTGGTAGGATTTTGTGTCTGGCTTTATGCGTGTACAGTTTCTTGGCTTCAAAAAAGAAATGTTATTTTTGTATTTGATTTTCACTATTTCAGACTGTTTTTGCCACTCAGGACATGACTTTGAAGAGGCAACATGACCGCCTCCACAGTTTATGCATTTCATGTCTTTTTGACAATCTGAAACATCATGGTGTTCACCACACCGATGACACAATATGACTGTGACAAGATTTTGAGCCATGGCCAAATTTCTGACAGGTGTAGCATCGAGAGTGGAGTGGGGATATACACCTCCACTCCTAGATTCAAATAACCAGCCTTAATGGATCGTGGAACTGATGCACAGGCAAAAGTCACAAGATATGTAATGTTTGTGTTTTAACAGTGCCATCAATTTTTTTGTGAAACGTTTAATGGATGTGACCCCTTGATCTTCTAGTTCAGATTGAATTTCTTGTTCAGACATGTCGGACAGGCATCGATCTCTTGTCTCGAATAATGCCCGACATGAGTTAAGCGTTCTATGAGGGGATACTACTACCTCAATATTGGCAAACTGAGTGACCCGAAGAAGATTGAGAGATTGTTGCTTTCTCTCACATTCCACTAGAAGTGAACCATTTCAAGACGGAGTTACATTTTTCACATCTCCGCCAAATTCCAGAAACACCTTTGGACACAGCAAATGGATTTAATTTGATAGGTTCATGATCAAAGCCTCAATCACCAAGAACCGAGACCAGGATTCTACATTTTTGAAATAGTTTCATTGGAACCATCACGCTTCAAACGTCTCTTTTTTTCATTTCGGCGGAACCAGGGTAGGTTTTTGTGACATGGTGATGGATATAAGTTCAACATCCCTGCTCCCCACCATGCCACCGAAAGTGTCAACAAGGACAGTGTTACATTGCACCGGGACATCCAGGATGCAAAACACCGAGGATACAGGGATGTTATACTCCAGCAAGTATGACACAAAGCTGAATTGGTTTACCAAATTAAATGTCTGGCTGGTTCAGCCCATAACAAGTAACCAGAAACCTACAGATTTCTGAGGTCAGCGTCACGCAGATTGGCCGCATGAGCCACCGCCTTCTGGCATGGTACTCTAGGCAAATAAATATAAGTACAGTTCAAATAATAACATTCATATTCATAAATGCAAAACAATGCAACGGGTTGGTGGAAATAATCGAAGATTGGTCGCAGTGACTAAACAACCAAGCAATTGATCACGTTTTCTCATAATTGAACACAAACAATTTTGAAACACTTGTTTACATTAACAATATTTTTTACTTGGTTGGTTTAAAGACTCCAGGAAATACATGTTCAAAACATACTAGTCCTTCTTTCAAAATGTGAAATTTGCAAATGCATTTTGGGCAGGCCTTAGCGATCTTGTAAGCAATGGTCTGATTGATTGGATGACAGATTGTTCTGACGTGACCTGTAACAGGATGTCCTCAGATTGATGTTTACTTGTAGTAAGCACTATAAGGGTTCCTACAGATTATGAGCCGCCAAATTTAAGGCCTTTCTAGAGGCCTTTCAAGGCCCAATCAACAATTTTATGCGACTTTAGAAACATGTAACACACAAGTGGTTGAATACACACAGGCCTGGTCAAATGTGGTCTTAGCTACATCGCTGCACTGGGAAAGTTTTGCTTAGCAATGGAGATTAACTAACACCCACTGTCATTGCAAGGTATATTTATTATTATGTGTTTCCTGCAAAATCACAACTCGACAAATTTTGCTAAATACAAAGCCTTTTAATGGCAAATCGAGGGTGATTTGGGCCTTTTCAAGGCTAAAACAAATTTAGGGCATTATAGGGGGTACGATATCCATATTTCAGGCTTTTTCATGCCCGTGTGAACCCTGACTAAGACCTGATGTTAATGACAATATGACAAAGTAGATGTGACTGGACATATACAACATTACAGCTAGCCTCTGAAAATATATCATTTGGAGAGAAACAAATCCTTATGGTTACATCATTGTAAAGGAGCCCCAGTGAGATGGGGATTCAAAACCTAAATCTAAGGAAAATCTAAGGTCTGCATCATTTAGAGCTTGTGCATTACTGAAATGGCTGGGCTGAAGGGACTATGAAACAGACATAAACAACCTACCCGTTCCATGAGGTTGCCCACGTAGCCAAGATACAGTCTGACTACCTCTATGATGCTGTAGGCAAGTTGAGGTACTGCAAACTGAAATGAAAAAAAAGAATGATCTTCTTGATATAACATGTTGAGGTATGCAAACTATAAGAAATGAAAAAAAACGAAGAATGATTTCCTTCGTGAAATGAATGCACATTTGAGGCTTGTATGCTTACAACTATAAGAACAGCTACCAGCAATATCACAGCAGGGGACACCAAATATGGGCTTCACACCTTGGGTTCATGTGGGGAATCGAACCCGGGTCTTTGACGTGATGATCGAACATTTTAACCACTTGGCCCCATCGCCTCTTTACTACCAGATGTAATCACAGCTTTTTTTGTGAACACATTAATCATTGGTTCTGTTATTTTCTAACCAATACACAAAAAATGTATTACGATTTCCTAATACACCATACATTGATCAAATATTTTTCACCAAGGAGCTTAACAGGTCATAACAACATGAATATTCAAAGGTTTGGTTTGGTTTGGTTGTTGTTTAACGCCGCACTCAGCAATATTCCAGCTATATGGCGGCGGTCTGAAAACAATAGAGTCTGGACCAGACAATCCAGTGATCAACAACATGAGCATCGTTTTACACAATTGGGATACCATGACATGTGTCAACCAAGTCAGCGAGCCTGACCACCCAATCCCATTAGTCACCTCTTACGACAAGCATGGGTTGGTGAAGACCAATTCTAACCAGCATTTTCCCGGGTCTGAATATTCAAAAGAGTTGTAACAGCATCAAAAAGATCACTTAATCACAGATTGAACTTACAAGTAAGATAAATGATCAACATGATTTCTTAAACACCATAAGCACATGGATGGTGCTGATAAACCTCAAAACATGACATTCAAACCCACAATCACAGGTTTCTGACATGCCCAAGGGAGGCAACTCTGCACACCGATTTGCAACACCTTAGAAGAATAGGCCATCATAGCCCCCAAGCAAAACATAATGAAAAATATGTTTACCTCAATAAACAAATTAACATAAATAGAAAACCAGCACTGTATGGTTGAAGTAAATTGCAGTCAGTTTGTATGGCTTTTTGTTTGCATAACACCATTACAGGTTAGGACCTTTTCATCGCTCAGGGCAGCTTGGTTAAAATATGAGGCAGGTTTATCAAGCATGTAAAATAGCTACACACAATAGCTGACCAAGGGACATTTAAACTACAAAGGGTCATTCAGATCAACGTGACTGTTTCACTATTAATAATTATGTTACCACAGAAAACTATGCCAATACATGTCACTATACCTTGGCTTCAATGACAACAGCACTTGTAATCATCCACAATGGGGAGTAGCAGGCATTAAAGAACAGCGCCATCTGCAGGGGAAGATTGGTTACATACTCGTTACCTGAAATTTAGAAAAAAGAGAAAATACATTGCATGTAAAACTATAAAATCTTAAAAACATAAGACAGCATAATTCAACATGTTCTATGTTCATTCAAAAACAACATAATGATTTGTATAGCATGAAATATATGCCAAGAAGTATTGTTATTGCACTCATGGTCATAAGAAACTGTGATGTGTAGAAGCATTCTGCCATTTAATAAGCTCTATTGTCAAAAAAAATTTCCATGGGAAATATATTGCAAGAGTGAGGTTAAATGCTATCTCATTGGAAATATCATTAAAATGAAATTGCATCAAACATCTTGGCAGAGCCCTGTGATTTCATTTATTACAAAGTCACAGTCATCTCCCTGCCATTGAAGCTCGTTAGCTGTACTTGTCACACTTAAACATTTAGTTTTACTACTTATTAACCAAATACAAATGATTTTGGAGCATTACAGAATCTCACTATTATGATATCAGAAATATCATAAGTCTTTGACTTTACCCAATTATTAAATCATGTTCATGTATTTGATATCAAAAGACACTGTTCTTCTACTGGCAACCTGTTTATAAACATGCCACTCAAAGAACAATAATAAAACTCGCCTTTGCATTTAATTTGAGAACAAACACAGCTTCTAATTTACGTGTCATTCATTTATGTTAAAGAACTGTTATGCGAAACACAAGCCCCGGTTCCAGGTCTGTCTGAACAGGCTTGTCACGAAATTAAAAGAACATGCTCTGCACCTTTCGTTCATTGAACAAAGGTGTAACCATTTTCAGCGCTCAATTAACAACCTGGTTTAATTATCTGTTGTCTTTGTGGATCACGTGCTGTCTTACTGACAGGAAACAAAACGTCTGTGACGTTTGTCATCGTTCGCCGAAACGTTGCATCCATCCTGTCCATTTTGGCAGGCCCGCTGGAATGTCACGTGATGTAAACAAGCACCGACCTGTCAACAATTCTAAAGCATATTTCAAATATATTGATATTGGTGTGTATGATTATCTGTACAATCAAGAAACCGTGTAAACATATACTTTACTCAATCTTATGCCTTGAAAAGAAATCATTTAATCTCGACCAAACGAGACTTAGGATTAACCAATCACAGTGTACGTACCAATTTCGAAATGGCTGCCAGCTCATAGGCAGCGAAAGAAGGACACATTCACAAGTTTGTCACCCCTCACCACAGGTGAATGTTTTCTTCGTACTACCTGTGTCTGATCAGTGTTTACTCTTCCATACTTGTTAATTGTGTTTACTATTCGTCGTCAATACATTACTACGCATCACGCTTCTGCTGAAGTCCGACGCGGGACAAGTTTTCTGTTTTACACTTAGTGAGGACTACCTTAGAAGAAATTTTCATTCCTCAGTGGTAGTTGCATATTCTTTCCATTTCACAGTTGATCTCGTATGTATACTTTGTCGTCTCTAATTTGGTTGCATACATCACAATTGTAGGTTTTGTTGCAAAATAATGTCATCATCTTGAAATTCACTGATTGAACTATTTCTGTCCTAGTCCAGCATATAACTAGACGACTTTGCACTATACCAAGGCCTTGGCTGGAATAAGAGTTTATTTATATATGAACTATTTCTGTCCTTGACATCGGCGTTAGACCTACTGTATATGATCATGATGATACTTTAAAACTCATGAATTTAAGTGTTTTAGTATGTTTTAGTTAAGTCAGTTTACTTTTTGTTGTTTGTCAAAATAATAAAGTCAATCTAGACAATAAGGAAAAGCTAAACTTATCTGAGATTCTGAGACTGACGTCAGTAAATGTAAACAGAGCTGTAACCTTGCCAGCACTTTGTTGAAGTCTGGTGTGTGATCTTCATTTGTACATGTTGTGAAAACAGTTATGACATGTCTTGTGTTAATTACTTCTTTGAGAGTCATTTTAGCAGTTGTAAAGATGAAGGAAAACATATTTCTATGTATAGTCAACTTCTTTATTGCAATGAATGCAACGTTTCGGTGTAGATTCTAAGACCATTATCAAGTAAGTGACATGATAAGGGTGTTAGTAGCTACACTGAAACATTGCAATCATTGCAATAAAGAAACTGACTATCCATAGAACTTGGTTTTGTTGGTAACAATTTCATTTTGTTATTTCAGATGTTTCACAGAACTTGAATCATTGATGATTCTGCAAGAATGGACCACTTCAGTTTTGCAAGTATCTTGCATGATAAGGAAAATACTCAAACAAAAAAGGTTTGAATGCATGATCATGATGATGTTTTCTACTTTCGCATGTTTCACATTTGTTACTGATAGTACTCCAACCACATGACCATGATAACTGTGTCTCAACATGCTGAAGGGGCATTTAGTGCAGTGGGCAGTGCGGCAGTGGAGGTGATGTCACTGACCAACCCACCCCTCTATAACAAATGAGGGGCGGTGGGGTAGTCTAATGGTTAAAGCGTTGGCTCGTCACGCCGAAGACCCGGGTTCGAATCCCCACATGGGTACAATGTGTGAAACCCATTTCTGGTGTCCCCCGCCGTGATGTTGCTGGAATATTGCTAAAAGCGGCGTAAAACCAAACTCAGTCAGTCAGTGTAACAAATGACCAGGTCCATAATGGCCATCTAATGCAGCAATGTTCACACATGATGACTATACATGTATGTGTACATTTTGTGTCGGCACTGTCAACTTTGTCATTTCGAGTGAGTCAGAACAAGTTCTTATCCTACCTCCTACCTTTGTGTTCACAGATACTGAGAGAATCACAGACAGGGGTTAACAGTCCCAGGCGGACACCTCTTGGGAATGTCAGAAACAAACTGCCAACTGATAGCTATGCTTTCAACATTAGAAAAACCCTGTATGGAACTCCAACATCTTCTACTAAGTGGAAATCACCTCTCAGGTACAGAAATACAGAGAATCTGTTGTGCGCTTTATGCACAATGTCAGAGGTTGACACCTTTTGTCATAATCAACTTTAACATTTTAGATTTAACATGCATAAGGATTTGTAAAAAGATACATTCTAGTAATGTCATATGTTTGACATGGTCTGAAGTCTTATTCATGGTGGTAGTTTTATTAATTCTTTATATTTCAATTCATAAGACAGAACAATGTCTGCAAAATGATATACTGTTAAAGTTTGTTTCAGATATGCACTATATTTGTGAGCTTGATAAGAAAGAAAGTGAATCCCAAATCTTTAGCAAATGTCAAGGAAAATGTCCAAATTAGGATTAAATATCAGACATTCCCCCTTCTCTATCATCTGGCGCCATTAACAGTGTCCATGTATTATTTTCTACTGATGTGATACGTTTCATGTGAGCATATGCTCCTTTCTTTCTTGCGCCAGGTGGTCAGGCTCGCTGACTTAGTTGACACGCCATCAGATCCCAATTGCGCAGATCGATGCTCATGCTGTTGATCACTGGATTGTCTGGTCCAGGCTTGATTATTTACAGACGCTGCCATATTGCTGGAATATTGCTGAGTGCGGCGTAAAACTAAACTCACTCAGTCACTCACTCTTTTTTTTGTGCCTGACGAGTAACAATGTTATTGCTATGAATGCTTGGTTTCAGTTCTGTCAGCTCGAAGAAGGTTCCTGTTTTGTCAGTCTCCCAGGATGTCATTACTAAGCCACAGTCTGCACTGAAACAACATGCAGGGCAGAGTGACAAGAAGAAAGTGGTAGGCAGAAATAATTCTGTAAGATTTTGACTAAATCTAAAGGAATGTTCTCCCCTTGAGCAGTGTGGATTTGAAGGAAATATTTCCCAGAAGAAATCACAGATTACATAGGGCAGCATTTATGTTTACAAATGATGATCACAATACAGCCTTAAGTTGAAAATACATCTGACATTTTTCACTAAGTTTTGCTTTGTGGAACAGGGATGGAAATAACCCATTGCCCAACGTCCGAGTCAAGTGTTTTTTTCTGTCGGGCAAGCAGATTTGTATATCACACTGTACCGGTGTCCAGTTGACTTTCCAATGTTAATTATGTTTATTTTAAAAATCAGCAAGAAAACGGTCGGTATAGTGGAAAAATTATCAGGGCAAGTGACTTTACATGTGCCACTGTACCGGAGTACACTATCAATTTTAAAGTTATTTCCACCCCAGTGGAACGGGGCCCAGGGTCATACGAGAGATATGTGAAAGTCGACCTCTTCGTAACATACTGCATAACCATTGAGACATGTTTTAAGCTAAAGACAGTACTAACTAATTGCTAGATAATTTGGTACATGAGGTGGTATCACAAATGCTTTCCTACTTTAGATGACTATCATCCATTTTCTACTGCAACAGGTGCGATTCAGTTTGAAGAATCAACTGTATAGTCCAGTACCGCTGATGAAAACAACTGCAGATGTTGAGGATAATGCAGATGATAAATTAGACAAAGAGACCGAGGACAAATCGGAAGATAATTTAAACGAAGTGACTCAGAACATCACAGAGGACAAACTGGACGAGGTTGATGCAGAGGATAAATTGGACAAAGACTCTAAAGCTGATGAAGAAGATAAACTGGATAAAGAGATTGAGGGCTTCATCTCATCCATTCTCAGGCACACAGTTGATGAAATAAGAAATGAATATCAGGTATTTGTTTCGTTAGTCAAAGGACAAATCTTAAATTCTTTGTCTTGATGCTTTGTCAATAATTCATGACATATCATAGACCGGCATCATGTAGCTAGATTACTGCTAAGTGCAACGTTAACTAACAAAACAAAATCTCCAAACACCCTTCAAAATCCCTCATTAGCACCCTCGTGAACTAACGATAACATTTTAGGTCCCTACCTTAGTCTATTAGACAACATACCTGTAGCAATAGACATTTTGCTTCTGAAATTCAATTCATGATATTAATGACCAACCAATTACATTGAATAAATTACGTTCAGCTGTTCTGACTGACCTTCACGGCAGATGTATACAGTAACAAGATGCACCTTCGCCATGTTCACCTTTGTGGGGCAAAGTGTTTACATTGTCATATATCTTTTCAGACTCCTGCCATAAATGTAATTCCACCAACGCCAAGTCCAAGCATAATCCTTCATGAAGACACACCCAAAACTGCTGAACACATAGCAAGGCAGTTCAAGATTGAATATGCAGAGAGTGACAAGTCCCCAGTTAATGGTTGCCTCACCCAGTTTAAACCAGAGGAAGAGGATCCAAACAAGTCATCTAGTTCTACTTCGGATTTCAAACTGAAATCCAAGATACCTGTCAGGTCTTCTCCACAGTGTGACCACATGCAGGATAAAAGTCCTTCAAATTACCCTCGTACACCACGGATCCAGCTCAGGAAAAGGCAAACATCTCCAAATAATGTGTCTTACGAATGCCAGCAAAAAGAAGAAATTGTAGTTAGTGTTGATAACCAGTCTGTGCAGTATAACTCTCCTACCGCTGTGTCAAAATGTAATACATCACCATCGAAAAGACGAGGCCTAAGTATCAGTGTTGTGAAGTCAGTATCAGTACCGGCCGTCCAACAAAATGTCGTGGAAAAAGCCTGTTCACCTATCTTACTAAAAACAGCCACCACCGAAACTAACACTGATCCCATACCTGTTTCTGTGGATGCATCAATGACAACTGACTGTTATACTCCTGTTAAATCTGACCAGCATGTCCAGGTGAAACCAGAATCTATGTCTGTTGCCTTGTCCCCGTTCTGCATCTCCAGTACAGATGATTCGACAAAACAAGAAACATGTGACACTTCGGCGATGACTGATGTCGTCAGTTTCGTCAGTCAGGGTGTGATGGTGAAACCTGTTTGTGTTGATACAATGACAATGACTGATTTTGCGTGTAAGAAGACAAGCGAAACATCGATGACACCTGTGAAAACTTTGTCAAAAGCAGGCAAAAGGTAACATACCAAGCTGATAGGCTTGGGTTGTATGTTGCATAATCCTATTCAGAATCATTAAAAAATACCAAGGAGGATATTTACTCTGCTGAACATTATCCAAGATGTTCCATATCCTGTGACTTTATCACAGGGGTAGCCAAGTAGTTAAAGCATTTGCTTGTCACACCCTACATTCGTTTCCAATCATTGGCCCAATGTGTGACGCCCATTTCTGGTGTCCCCAGCCATGATATTGCTGAAATATTGCTTTAAGCAGCGTAGAACCTAACTCACTCACCTGTGATTTTATACTGGTGTAAGAAAGCTTATGGTTAGTGGACGACATGTGTCATGTAAGTTTGCTGTTCGGGCCATTTTGTTTCTAAAGTTCATGTGTGTTTAGATTGACAGCCGAAGAAGTAAGAAGACAGCATCCAAGAGCAATAGCCAACCAGTTGGACACAACTCTTGTCTGCAATGAGCGACTTAAGTCTGACTTGAAGGTTGCAGAGAAGGAGCGGGACAGACTCAAGTGTATTGTCAAGGATCTGAGAGCTTCTTTGTCAACCAAACACAAACTCATTGAAGAACTGGAAGTGCAGAAGGAAAATGAAAAGACTGAACTTGAGGTATGTGTGCTGAAGTAATAATGTCCTGTAAGAACACATTGATGCTGGTTACCATGCATGCATTGTACAACAACAGTATATGTATGGTGTTTGAGGGTAGCCTGTTGTCTAAAATTCACTGTGCAGAGTTATATCCCTTTGTGATGCCAGAATCGGAACATTGTGGATTGAAAGTCCATTTTCACCCCTGATTTGTTACCAGGTTTCTCTGCACTAGACCCCTGTGCATGAGCTTGACCAGTGGTAAACGTGTGTGATGCATCCTAAAGTAATCTGTCATGCCAGCAGACATAGTATGACTGAAATACTGCTCAAAACAAAACACTGTTACGCACTGAATATTTTGTTTGAGCACTGGCTGCGATTCCACAAAACACACGTAGCACTACAACTGTCTTGTTAAAGTATGGGATTGGGAGTTACAATGACCCCAGTGCTACAGTTGCTTTGTGGAACGGACTCCTGGGCCCCGAGTGTTCGTAATGTTTCGACCTGTCGTAACTCTGTAGTATCATAGGCTTACGAATGTCATAGCGCTACAAATGTTGTCTGGACCCAGGTTATCGAATGACTTCTTGATTCTTTTTCATGAGAGATCCTCCTTGGGGTACATATAAGCATTAAAATGTCCATTTTTAATCCCTACGACAGTTGTAACTATATTTTGAATAAAATATTTACAAAACAAAAAAGAACATTTTTGTCGACCACCCCTACAGAACCCAGAATGGACCTGTCCGCCAAGAACAGGTAACTCTAGGCGCTAACCTCGTACCTCACTTTCCATGCTGTCGTTAGTCTGTATCGACGTATGTGCCCATCAGCTTACAAGTTGATTTCTCCCTTACGAGTTCTTCGGAAACAGCTACTGTATGTATGGTTATGTTCATGATAAATGTTCATTTGTTCATTTGTTGTAACTTTCGTCTTAGTCCCTGTTGGCTTGCCATGTGCTTGTCAAGATGGTGGACGGGAGGCGCATACACGCTTGCTTTTTCAGGTTAGCCTGTAGCTTTCTTGTCTAGGTTTGTGTGTTGTTTTACTGAATTTGCAGATATTTTGTCTCTTTTCAGGTGGATTATTTATATTACGTGATTTGCTCTAAATAGTTATATTCACGTCATATATGTTGCTTTATGGGCTCCAGGTTATGGAATTGGGCTAGCATGCACTAGTTCTTATTTAAGTACAGTCTATATGCTAGTATGGTTGATGGGCGCTGTCATGGGCCTGCTCCGTTTGTGGCTGTCGGTAGCTCGCTATTAGCCAGCCACTCAGCAGGCTCTACTTTCTCTGCCTTCCACCCTTTTTCCTGGGGCATTGAAAGTAGTTCGCAAGGCCGCCAAGGCGGTAAGCACTTTTAAGGACTCCAAGGCCTTACCAGAGCAACCCCTCACATCTCGCCAGCGGCCTGCACCTCCTGTTACTTCGTATCCTTCTGCGTTGGCGAAGGAGCCTGCAAAGTGGACTCCTCCACTGCAGGTTAAGAAGAGCAGGAGGGTATGAGGCAAGGGAAAGGCTGCAGCTGCGCAGCAGCCTTTTCAGGGAAAGGGGAAGCCAGCCCCGGCTTCCCATTAAATCTCCCTCGGACGCCCTTGTTGCCTCCCACACACGCAAGAGGAGACTTGCCGACTGTGGGAGTGCACTGCCTCATGCCACACGTCCCTGTAGGCGGCCGGCTTACACTCTTCCTCCCGGAATGGGTGAAAGCCCCTCAAATCCCTGGGTCCTGTCCACACTCAGGGATGGCCATATGCCACAGTGGAAGCGAGGTCTGCCACCGTTACCAGGGTGCGGCACACTCCTGTGCCCATCTCCCGGGAAAAAGCGGGCATTCTCAGTGCCGAGGTCCAGTCTCTACTGGACAAGACAGCCATCGAGGTGGTTCCGGAAGGACACGAAAACGAGGGATTTTACTCCACGTATTTCATAGTGACCAAAAAGGACAGAGTCTTCAGACCCATACTCAATCTAAATGGGCTGAACAAAACGAAAGAAGTGCCGTCTTTCAGGATGGAGACACTGCGCTCAGTGATCTCCTCTGTCGAGACGGGATTGGCTCACGTCAATCGATCTCAAAGACGCTACCCTACATGTACCAATGCACCCAACTTCAAGAAGTACCTTCGGTTTTCTTCGATGGGAAGTGCTACCAGTTTCGTGTGCCCCCCTTTGGCATCTCCACGGCGCCAAGGGTGTTCACCAAACTCATGTTAATCCCAGCTCAGTTAGCCAGGTCAGAGGGCAAGTTTTGTCATCCGTACCTCGACGACAGGCTGCTCCGGGCGTTAGGCAAGCAGTTGAGCAGGAATACCACACATCACCTGATGGATATTCTCATACGGCTGGGATGGATCATCAATCTCAAGAAATCAGAACTCGTTCCGACACAGGATCTGGTTTTCTTGGGAGCTTAGATTCAATACAGAGGCGGGATTGTTTCCCCTGTCTCAGAACCGCGATTGCCAGAGTTCAGAGAACTGTTTTACAGTTTCTTGGGACTCCCACGGCTTCAGCTCGGGTGGCTCCAGTTGCTAAGCAACATGGCGGCGACCATGGATGTGGTGTGGCGTCGCTGCCTGAGGATGAGACCTATACAGCAGGCACTGGCTCAGCTGTGGACCCATTCAGAGAGCTGAGAGAAGGTTCTCGTGAGGCCCGACTGGTCAACCCCTCATTTGCGGTGGTGGACGGACGCCGGGGAACTTATCCAGGGGTGTTCCTCTGGAGTTCCTGATGCCCACGCTCTCGATTCAGATGGGGTGTGTGTGTGTGTGTGTGTTCTGGGCAACAGGTCAGTCTCGGGCCTTTGGGCGGAGCACGAGATCAGTCTGCATATCAATGTGCTAGAATTGAGAGCAGTACGACGGGTGTTAGAGAGCTTTGTGGATCAGGTTCATGGCCAAGTGGTTTGTCTAGAGATGGTCAACCAGACGGCCATGACCTATATCCTGAAGCAAGGCGGCACGGTATCCGGGTCCCTGCTACAGGAGGCGTGGCAGTTTCTGCTATGGTGCGACCAGTACAACATACGGGGTAGACAACGTTCGGGTGGACGCGCTCTCCCGTCGTATACTAGCTCCACACGAGTGGATGCTAGACCAGGGGATATTCGGGATTATCTTTCAGTTGTACGGGTCATTCCAGGTGGATCTGTTTGCCTCTGGGGCAACAAACCAGATACCAGTGTATTGCTCTCGGATACCGGATACGAGAGCGATAGCCAACGACGCCTTCCAACTCAACTGGACAGACAGGGTACTGTGGGCGTTCCCACCGATACCACTGATACCACTTGATATCCAAGGTCCTATGGCAGTTGGCCACCCAACCAGATCTAGTCACAGTGCTTGAGTACCTCCAGTCTCGGTTGGAAGATGGGACTAGCCGCGGCAGGGGATTCTTGACTGTTCGAGGTTACTCAACGGCTATTTCAGCGTTTCATATACCTGTCAACGGTGCACTCTTGGGGCAGCACCCTCTTGTACAGCGTTTTTTAGCAGGTGTGGACAGAATCCATCAGGCTGTCCGTCGGATCAATCTCCCGTGGGACTTGTCAATCGTTCTTGATTGGCTGTCCGGTCCTCTCTTTTACGATCTGTTGGCTCTTTCCCTCCAGCTGTTGACGTGGAAGGTGGCTTTTCTTATGGCGGTAACCTCCGTCAGGTGAGTAGGCGACATTCATGCAATGTTAGCCGACCCCAAGCTAACTGTTTTCCATAAAGACAGAGTTAGCATTAGGTTGCGGGATACTTATCGTCCTTAGAGACAGCGCCTTTGTGTCACGGCGCCTATTGAGCTTCCAGCTTTCACTCAGCCTTCCCCACAGGGTACCTCTCTTGAACGCCTTAGATGTGCGTAAGACCCTCAAGGCTTATATCAAGCAGACATTGGCTATCCGGAGAGATAACCAATTGTTTTGCTGTTACGGTGTAGGTAAGGCTGGTCTTCCGGCGAACAAGCATACCATATCTAGGTGGCTTGTCTCCGCCATTTGTACGAGCTATACACAGAAAGGGCTAACACCACCTACTGGGTTAAAAGCTCATTCAGATAGAGCAGTAGCCACATCTAAGGCTTATGCTGCGTCTCTGCCTATTGAGGAGATCTGCTCCGCAGCTATCTGGAGCTGGCCGAGTACGTTCATCCGGTATTATCAACTTCACAGACACTCCAGTGAGCGTGCTCGGTTCAGTCAGTCAGTTCTCTCCAGTGGGTAGAGTCGTAACTCTCTAGCCGATTGACCTTTAGATTTATGATTTTATCTGTTTTTTTACTGGTGGCGGGTTTGCGGTCAACTTTCCTTCCCTTTTTGCCCTTACTTGGTGTTTTATGTTGGTTTGTATCACCGTTATCAAATTTTGCACATTATTCCTTAGAAATCTAGGCTTGGCTGTGGTTTCATGGGATTTAATGTCTCTCCCTCCCTAGGTATTTATGAAAGCAGAATATATAACCCCTGACCCTGGACCACGCCTTCGCCTGATTGGCTGAAGAGGTCACGTGGCCAGGTAAGTGAGCTGTTCCTTTTTCTTTTTATAGTTGGGAAATTCCACTTGTTGGGGGCGTAGTTTATCAGACAGAATACCACTCCAAGGACTCTCGTCTTTAGGAGTCTGTCTTATGCTTATATGTACCCCAAGGAGGATCTCTCATGGAAAAGAATCGAACAAAAACCTGTAGAGGTTGCTGATTCTTTGATGGGAATCCTCCTTGGGGTACGGGCCACCCACCTCCCCACATTCTGTCTGATATGTTCAGCATGGAAAGTGAGGTACGAGGTTACCGCCTAGAGTTACCTGTTCTTGGCGGACGGGTCCATTCTGGGTTCCGTGGGGTGGTCAAACAAGACAAAAACATTGTTTTTTTTCAAATTATTTTATTACAAAATATAGTTACAACTGTCGTAGGGATTAAAATGGACATTTTAATTCTTATATGTACCCCAAGGAGGACTCTCATCAAAGAATCAGCAACCTCTACAGGTTTGTTTGAGTTTTGTTGTCTAGCTTCTCCACCTTCCTGTACCTAGAGGTATTTAGCCAAGGTAATGATGGAATATACAACTGAATCCTCGTCAACAGTAGCCATGATTTGGAAATGACTTTTTCAGCAAATGCACTTTGAGGTTGTGAGGGACTTCCAGACCAAGATAGAGGAGAAAGACAATCGCTTGATGAGCATGGAGCAGGAGGTGCTGGACCTTAAGTCCCTGGTGTTGGAATCTGAGCAGGAGTACAAGAGTTTCAAGTCCAAGCTGGAGAGTCAGTGTGGGGAGCTTCAATTGCGTCTGGAAAGTCAGGAGCAGCAGCATCTCCAACAGGTACTCATGTCACACCCTGCAGGTACTCGTGTCACATCTAGTACTCGTGTAACGCATACAGCAGGTACTCATGTCACATCTTGTACTAGTGTCACCTACACTTCCAGGAGGTGTCACACCTCCGGTACTCACGTCACACCTGCTTTTGTAGTTCCAGTCGTCCATTACACAGTGATGGCAAGAACAATAGTTTGTTGTCTCTGCTGTTGGAAGATACATATCCTGATATTCATATATACGGTATACAAAAATAAACATTTTTTCTGGAATGGACATATTATGTTCATATTTTAGGTTCAAGTAATGAAAGCAGATTTTGAAAGCAATAACTACAAGGGCCAGTTTGAGCGGTCTCAGCAGATGATCCAAGAGCTGCAGGCACAGCTGGATGAGTTTGCTGGCATCATGGAGGACTTGGAGGTGACAGAACATCTGCAGGTAATTGCTGCAACTGCTGTATTCCTAGTGTACCAGGGGGTGGTGGGGTGCCCTAGTGGTTAAAATGTTTGCTCGTCACACTGAAGACCCAGGTTCTATTCCCCACATGATTACAATGGTTTAAGCCAGGGGAAAAACAAAGAAATCCTAGTGTACCAACATGTACCTTGGTCCTGCTTCTTCTGTCCATAAGAGGAGGTGGGCTAGTCCAGTGGTTACAGCGCTTTGTTTGCTGTTAGATGCCAAAGATAAAAAGAAAGTGATGAGAATACCGAAATTGCAGTATATTATATATATATATATATCTTGCTGGAAAATTGCTAAAAGTGTAATATTGACTGGAGAATTGCCACTTTACGTGTATTTTACTTTTAGCACGCTAACTGCCTATGACGAAGTACATCAGTGGTATTTTACAATCCAGTTACATCAGTGGTATTTTACAAGTTTCACGTGTTGTCAAAATAGGCACAAGAAACAAACGTCTCCTGGCATTCTTTGTTACCGCCAGGAGATGATTGCTTCTTGTGCTGTTTTGCCAACATGTGAAACTTGTTTTAAAATACCACTGATAAAGCTACGACATAACTTGTGGCAAATTGGGCCAGACATTGATACTACGAGTATGCTCGGGTGGCAGTCAACATGTTAAACCACTTTAATCATGTTCATTACTGGGATGTAATTCACATCAAACAACACTAAACATGTTCATCTTTTAAGATTATCTTTTTAGTTTTTCGGGTCATTTTTGCACAACAGCAGATGTTATTGTTTTCAGGGAGAGGTCCACTCAGCCATCAGTGAGACTCACAAGAAACTGAGACACGCTGGAGTGAAAAATGCTGAAATGAGGAAGAAACTCATCACTGAGGTAGGAAATTCTGGACAAGTAGCTGTGTACAATAAACAATGGTTATACCAAACTCAAAGGCACCACTAATCTTCTGTGACACTGCTTGTGTGGTTCTGCTTGTCAGTATGTGGCATTGCTAGTACATATGTAGCTCTGTATATGACACTGCTTATGCTGGCATACTGTTTGCATGTCAGCATGTGACACTGCTTATGCTGAAGTGACTGTATGTCAGCATGTGAAACTGCTTATGCAGAAGTGACTGTATGTCAGCATGTGACACTGCTTATGCAGAAGTGACTGTATGTCAGCATGTGACACTGCTTATGCTGAAGTGACTGTATGTCAGCATGTGACACTACTTATGCAGAAGTGACTGTATGTCAGCATGTGACACAGCTTATGCTGAAGTGACTCAGCCTGTGAAACTACTTATGCAGAAGTTACTGTTTGTATGTCAGCATGTTACACTGCTTATGCTGAAGTGACTGTCAGCATGTGACACTGCTTATGCTGAAGTGAAGCATGTGACTGTTATGTGATGTCAGCATGTGACACTGCTTATGCTGAAGTGACTGTTGTATGTCAGCATGTCAGCATGTGACACTGCATGTGACACTGCTTATGCTGAAGTGACTGTATGTCAGCATGTGACACTGCTTATGCTGAAGTGACTATGTCAGCATGTGACACAGCTTATGCTGAAGTGACTCAGCCTGTGAAACTACTTATGCAGAAGTTACTGTTTGTATGTCAGCATGTTACACTGCTTATGTTGAAGTGACTGTCAGCATGTGACACTGCTTATGCTGAAGTGACTGTTTGTATGTCAGCATGTTACACTGCTTATGCTGAAGTGACTGTTTGTATGTCAGCATGTGACACTGCTTATGCTGAAGTGACTGTCAGCATGTGACACTGCTTATGCTGAAGTGACTGTCAGCATGTGACACTGCTTATGCTGAAGTGACTGTCAGCATGTGACACTGCTTATGCTGAAGTGACTGTTTGTATGTCAGCATGTTACACTGCTTATGCTGAAGTGACTGTCAGCATGTGACTCTGCTTGTGCTGAAGTGACTGTCAGCATGTTACACTGCTTATGCTGAAGTGACTGTTTGTATGTCAGCATGTGACACTGCTTATGCTGAAGTGACTGTCAGCATGTTACACTGCTTGTGCTGAAGTGACTGTCAGCATGTTACACTGCTTATGCTGAAGTGACTGTATGTCAGCATGTTACACTGCTTGTGCTGAAGTGACTGTCAGCATGTTACACTTTGTGCTGAAGTGACTCTCAGCATGTTACACTGCTTGTGCAGAAGTGACTGTCGGCATGTGACACTTATGCTGAAGTGACTGTTTGTATGTGACTGTTTGCTGAAGTGACTGTTTGTATGTCAGCATGTTACTCTGCTTATGCTGAAGTGACTGTTTGTATGTCAGCATGTGACTCTGCTTGTGCTGATATGGGTTTTTTTGTATTTCAGTATGTGACAATGCAGAAACTGAAGAAGGAGCTGGTCACAGAGGTGGAGACTCATAAACAGGAGAATCAAGCACTGAGAGAGGAGTGCGAGTCCCTCGTCACTTCCCTAGAGATGTCTCACGACAGCATCACACAGGTCAGTGCAAAGATAACAGAATCCGTGCAAATCCAAGAGCAGATACACTGCAAAACCTAATACATGTGACCTTTGTCCCCTGTCTTTGGTACTTTAGCACTGATGTAGCAAAATGGTTTGGATCGTTCCAGCAACTATCATAAGGATTGTGACTTCAAGGCTGTTGACCAACATTGTTGATGGGGTAGCTAAATATTTGTTCTACTGTGTCAAAATATCATTCAATACAAGTCATGAAAAGAAGTCACACTGAAGCTGCTTTCTGATAGGCGTTTCATTTATTGGTCAAGATTGTTCTGACTTGAACTGTAATGGGATGTATTGAGATTTGTTTGTAACTGTAGGGACCACTAAGATCTAATATTAGTGATAAAAGCTAGAAATATGAGCGTTCATTATATTCAAATATCGAATGTGGAAACATAAAGTAACCGGTTACCAACACTGAATATAGAAGCATAGTAACGTGTTTAGCTCTCTCTTAGTTGCAGTCTCTCTACGCCAGCACGTCATCAGATCTCCTGCAAGCAACATCTCATGTGTGTCAACTTAACACTGAACTGGCTGGTGCTAGGAAAGGTAGTGATTGTAAGCATGCTTTCCTGAATCACAATGCTTGATAGTAAGTCAATCAAGTTGTGAGAATGTGGAACCGCATCTTGAAGGATTTTAGCAGATGATGATTGCTCTTTATGTGTAGGGAAAATATACTGAGTCAAAAAAGAAACTTCACAAAATGTAATTTGAAAAATGATGAATAATTTTGCTCTGATGATACATCTATGTATCCGAAATGGGATCCCTATCTTTCGACTCTAGAAAAACGTTAGCAAAACCCACTCAAACCCATCCATTCGTCATGCAAATGACGTTAGTGCCAAATCAGGTTTTGCTCGTGCAGTGATCTTCGCATCGAAATTTTCTTCATATGCATGTGTTTGCATTGACCTCAAGAATTGAAAAACACTTTTAAACCACAGTTCTAACGGTACTTGAAATGCCACGATTGTCAAATGTGCAACGCGAACGCATGCCGTTGGCATGTTGCAAGCGGGAAGATCAGTTATTGACGCCGCGAAGAGCAATGGGATGCAGCCGTCCGCACTGTGTATGACTTTATGCAGGTCGCTCTACAACAAACTGGCACCACTTCTGATCGCCTAAGGTCGGGTCAGGCCCACGCAGTGACGCCACGAGCAGAAGACCGCCAATCAAATTCCTCACGCCACCTACGTGACAGATTTCTGCCGGCTACATGAACCAGGGCTGAGATGTTTTGAGGTCGACTGTCCTCACAGACCATTCGAAATTGGTTGCGGGCTGCCAATCTCCATTCTCGACGTCCATATCGCGGGCCAATATTGACGCCGTTTCATCAACGTCAACGTCTGCTGTGGGCCAAACGTCACCTCCGATGGACCCGGGGCGGTGGGGTAGCCTAAAGGTTTAAGCGTTGGCTCGTCATGCCGAAGACCCGGGTTCGAATCCTCAAATGGGTACAATGTGTGAAGCCCATTTCTGGTGTCCCCCGCCATGATGTTGCTGGAATATTGCTAAAAGCGGCGTAAAACCAAACTCAGTCAGTCAGTAATGTTTGTTTGTTGTTTAATGCCCAGAGAGATATTCCAGCTCACCCAGAAGACTGGAATCGAAGTCGCCTTTAGCGATGAATCCAGGTTTACCCTCAGATTCGCAGACGGCAGGCATAGAGTCTGGAGACGACGTCGTGAACGGTATGCCCAATGTTGTGTACAGGAAGTCGACAGATTCGGGGCGGAAGTTGCATGGTGTGGTGCTTTCTGTGGGAACAACCGCTCCGACTTCTGGTCATCCATGGAAACCTCACAGCTGCTGCTTGCAGCGACCAGGTGCTCACCCCTGAACTTGTTTCTTTCATGGCGCTCATGGCCCAAGTCTACAGTTCCAGCATGATAGTGCTCGGCCGCATACCGCGATGGTGACACAAAATTTCCTTCAAAACGCTGGAATCAACGTCATGGACTGGCCATCGAGGTCCCCTGACCTTAATCCAATAGAGCACGTTTGGGATGCACTTGATAGAAGGCTTCGTGGTCTTAGGAACCAACCTCAGAATTTGCAGGAACTTGGCGCTGCCATGCAAGAGCAATGGCGCAGAATCCCCAACCACGTGTTCACAAGCATCAGGCAGTCGATGAGGAGACGGTGTTTGGCAGTGGTGAATGCGCGGGGCGGCCATACACGATATTGAACTGAGAAATTTTGCATTTTTATTCTTGTGACTTGACATTCTGTATACCCATGTTTTAGAACGGCGGTGTAGCCTAATGGAACTGATTATGGCACTGACGGTGTATCAAGTACATCACACAGATCTCAGCAATGAAATAATAACAATTTAACCATCTTACCATCTCTTGTTCTTTTATAGTGCCCTGAAGAAAGAATGTGAAGTTTCTTTTTTTGACTCAGTATATTTGTGTGGCTGACTGTCATAAGTCTGTATGATCATTTTCATGCTGCATTTTTTTTTGACGAATGGGGACCTGCAGTATGATTTTGTGGATATCCTTTTTAGCATCAGAGTACCTTTTATTACTATTCAGGGCCCCATTCCACAAAACGATCGTAGCACTAAGAAGATCGTAACTCCCATACTTTTACACTTACGATTGTCGTAGCGCTACAATCGCTTTCAGGAACGGGGCCCAGGTGAATGTTGGTGAAATCTAGTACAGGTTCTGGTTCTAGGAAGCAATCTCAGCGCTAAGAATATCGTAACTCCCATACTTTAACACCGACTTATGACTGTCATAGTGTTAAGATGGCTTTGTGGTACTGGGTCCTGTTTCAATATATAGCCTTGTTATGTAGTGATAGAATTTTAATGGTCTAAGATATGTTAAGTAAAAGATGTGTTCTCTCTGCCAGCTCTTCAAGACTTTGTGTTGACCAAGGAACTGCTGGTACAACATCTGTCTGATCAGAAGGACAAGCAGGAGGACCTGACACGCCAGCTTGACACACTCAGTACTCAGCATTGTCAGAAGACTCAGGATCTCCTGGAGGAACAGAAGAGGTAAGATTGTCTCTTATCACTGAGAGGAGGGAGTGCATGGGCCAGTTGTCTTGTACTGTGGTAATGTACTGTGCATAGATGCCTACTCAGGATCTCCTGGAGGAACAGAAGAGGTAAGATTGTCTCTTATCACTGAGAGGAGGGAGTGCATGGGCCAGTTGTCTTGTACTGTGGTAATGTACTGTGCATAGATGCCTACTCAGGATCTCCTGGAGGAACAGAAGAGGTAAGATTGTCTCTTATCACTGAGAGGAGGGAGTGCATGGGCCAGTTGTCTTGTACTGTGGTAATTTACTGTGCATAGATGCCTACTCAGGATCTCCTGGAGGAACAGAAGAGGGTGTGCGCATGGTCCAGTTGTCTTGTGGCGCCACAATTCACACAGTTGCCTTTATTACTTGGGCTTGCCAGAAGTCTATGATCACCCGTTTGAATCCCTGTCCTGATTATGTTCCATGGTTTGTCAGTCCTACAAAAGTAAAGTAAACTGCGTGTGTTTGTTATAAACATATTACTGCACCAAAGTGGTAGACATCTAATTCCTGCACCACTTTAGACTTTCCTGACACATTAAGGTGACATGATATGATGATTATTCAATACTTTGTCTGAAGTGTTACAGGGTGGTGGGGTAGCCTAATGGTTAAAGCGTTGTCTCGTCACTCCGAAGACCCGGGTTCGAATCCCCACATGGGCACAATGTGTGAAGCCCATTTCTGGTGTACCCTGCCGTGATGTTGCTGGAATATTGCTAAAAGCAGCGTAAAACCAAACTCAGTCAGTCAGTCAGTCTGAAGTGTTACATTACTTTCTTGCAGGAGTCAGGACTGGGAAAGGTTGGCTCTGGAGGCAAAGGCTTCTTTGACAGAGAAATGTGCTGAGTGAGTAATAATCAAAAGAAAATTTTATATGTTTATACCGGGTTACTTCTTTTCCCTGCTATTTTGCTCTTTGTCCACTGTTTATCCAAATGTTAAGATTCATTGTTAATATCTGATGATAGTGGTGATGGAGATGATGAGTGTGATGTTAAACAACAAAACACATTTTGATAACTGATCACCAACCATATAGTTCTTGGACGACTGAGTCACAGCTGTTTGTTGCCCCGCAGGTATGAGCTAAGCATCACCAACCTTCAGAGAACCCTGGACTACCGGGATCATGATATTGACATACTGGAAAAGGATCTGTACGAGTGCAGGGAGATCATTCATGAACAACGCTACCAGGTCGGACAGATGGAAGAAGAATTCGAAGCCTTCAAGCAGAAAGTCCATGTCCAACGAGTGGACCAGGCCGAACTCAAGGTGGGGTTTGTTCCAATTTTGCTCATGCGGAACCCCTGGGTTCGATTCCCTACATGGATAGAATGTGTGGAGCCCATCTGGTGTTCCGTGCCATGATGTTCCTGGAATATTGCTGAAAACGGCATAAAACTGAGTACCAATACTCTATCACTTACAGGCTGTAGTGAGAAAGCTAAGATAATACTAGCTAGTACAGTCTGTGATTAAAACTTTATACTCAGAACTTCATATGGACTTTCATTAGTTGATCTTACTGAACTGAACAGAATTCTGCTAATCTTAGGCTTTGGACTAGTGGTTAAAGTCACAGAGAGCTAGGATAAAATATCATTCATGCATTTACTGGTTGTGCTGAGGTTTTTTTATTTTATGTTATGTAAATTCTGCATCAGAACAATTATAATGATAGAAATCAGTTATTGTTTTGTTATTGTCACTTTTACTGAGAACAGGTGCTTGTTTGCAGTTTATTGATTCCCCGTTTTGTCTAAATGTGTGGGAGCTAAATACATTCTCTGTTGAGGTGCATCAGAGTATAAACTATTTAAAACCTATAATCAAGCTAGCCGAATCAGTTGATGAGATCTTTAGAGCTGTTACGAGAAGGCCATTTCCTAACTTTAAGGGAAAGTATCTGAAAAACAAGTGCTTACTTGCTGTGGCCTAATATTGTTTGTGTGCTCAACAGGCTCTACAAGACAATGCCGAGTTTCTGGAGGCTGAGAGAGGCATGCTGATTGACACGCTACGAGACTCTGAGGAGAAGATCCGCTCCACGTTCCTGCAGTTGAACCAGCAGCAGAAGACCCTGGCTGACACACAGGTCCAGTTCCTTGAGTACCAGACCACCATACAGAGTCTACAGTGAGTCACCCAGATCAGGGTCACCTGATTGTGCTTCTAGACTTGTCAGTTCCGTACCAGTGGTTAGTGTATCACCAGTGTGGTGCAGCTTGATTTATTTTCTTTCTCTTTTTTTTCTTTCCAAAGCAACTTATTGGGTTAGAATTAAGGAGATTTTAAATCAGTTTCTTTAGTTATACTGCTGGCATATTGCTAAAACGTCATTAAACAACTTTCATATCATATAAATATCAGTCTCTGAACAGGTGTTAGACAAATCCCTGTAGACGATACACACATCCAGTCAGAATTGACTTCAGCTTTGTGAGCAGTTCTGTTAACACTCTGAAACAGCATAGAATGGTAGACCCCTTATTGAAGTGTGCTACTTGTACTTGATATAGGGGCGGTGGGTAGCCATGTGGTTAAAACGTACGCTTGCACGCCAAAGACCTGGGTTCAATTCCCCTAACGGGTACAATGTGTGAAGCCCATTTCTGTTGTCACCCACTGTTATGTTGCTGAAATATTGCTAAAAGTGGCGTAAAACCCACTCACTCACTCACTCACTGTACCTAGTGGTTAAAGCGTTGATAGCCGAAGACCGGTGTTCAAATCCCACATGGGCACAATGTGATCTGTCTGTGGTCAATACTTGGAACTGCAGAGTGATAGTCCCCTTGACTGCTGAGTTACTCTGAGTCTGTGAAGATCGAGGGTTAGAATTAGGAGATAAACATACTGTGTTGGAAAATCAGAGGTATATAACAAAATTACGATAGCTCTAAATTTGATTTAAAACCATTTTTTAAATTGATAAATCAGAGCTTTTATTATTTCATTATATACCTCTGATTTTCCAACACAGTATGTTTATCTCCATTGTACCATAAATGTGTTAATAATATTTTAAAAAATACATTCTGTGTTGAAAAATCAGAGGTATATAATGTGATATATACCTCTCAATGCCTTTAATTAACCAATCACAATCCAGTATTTACTGAAGAATTGATCTTCAGTAACCCATGCTTGTCACAAGAGGCAAATAACAGGATTGTCTGGTCCAGACTTGATTACTAGTATTTACAGACTGCTGCCATATTGCTGGAATATTGCTGAGTGTGGTGTAAAACTAAACTCACTCACTCACTCACTCACTGAAACAGCAGGTAGAATGGTCAGTCCCAAATTTAACCAAACCTGCAGAGGTTTTCAATTCTTTGAAGAGAGTCGTCCTTGGGGTACATATTATGCATTTTCCGTCTGAAAAATGTCCTGTGACAGTTGTATCAATGTTTTTTGAATAAAAAGATTGAACAATAAAATAAACTCTTTTATTTATTATCGGCCCCTACAGGAGGTTGCCTCCCTTAAGCATCTTTCCAACTGGGTAGGCTCCTAGACCCGTATCTCATCATTCCTTCTGCTAGAATATATCAGTGAACAGAATTAGCGGGGAGAGGCCCTACCCAGAGGCCGACTTTCTCTTCAAAGGAATTGAAAACCCTGCAGAACTGGTTAATTTTGTAGATCGATCCTTGGGGTACATATTATGCATAAACACGAACTCCCAAAGACCGGAGGCCAGGAGGAGAGAATTCTGTCAAAGCACACACAAATATAGCGATGGTAGATCATGGAAAAGAAGTTGAACAGAGCGCCATAACACTCTCACCTGTCACTTGTCCCAGTTTTAAGCTTCCGAGAGGCATTATGGGAGGAACTGACAGGGAGGAATTGTGCTCAAAAGGCGACCTCACCTAGCATAATGAGACATTGCGTGAATGAATGTCAATGAATCCCCACCACACTAAGTGGCTTTTACATAAGAGCACCGTAGAGGAGATGCAAAATACCACTCACTAGCGATATAGTAACTCCCAGAGAGAATCGAAGGGATACAGGTTCTGGTGAGCACACAGTAGCAGACATGTCAATAATGGAATTATTGTACAGTAGCGTAAAACAAACCAATAAACCAAGACTCACTCGGTCAGGGTGGCAGGACACTGTCACTGGAGAACAATGCGTACGCTTCGCCATACGATTACGGGAATGTGATCGAGCTGATAATGGCGATATATAAGCGTGCTTTGGCGGGCTCAGAAATAAGCGGCCGAAGCAGATCTCTTCAATGGGGAGTGCGGTAAAGAAAGCTTTTGGCTGCCACTGCCTGACCGAGTGAGCCTTCAACCCTCAGGGGAGAGCTTGCCCTTAGCCTGATAAGCGGCACAAATACATTTAGACTAGCCAGCGAGACAAAGTCTGCTTGCTTTCGCTGGCAGACCAGCCTTCCACGCCACCGTAACAACAGAACAGCTGGGTACCCGTCACGGATTCCTGCGTTAGTTTGATATGAACTTTGAAGCGTCTTGCTACGGACATCCAACGGGTGAGTGCTTCGTAGAGTGGTCCCGATGTGGAAGGCTGGGTAAAGTAGGAAGTTCGATAGGAGCTGTCACATGGAAAGTGATCGACCCGGTCGGTAAGTATCTGGGGCGGAAGATACTGACCGCGATCCGTGTGAAACACAGTCAGCGCCCGGGATCCGGACGACATAGCATGTAAATGCGGCTGACCCTACGACCAGATATTTGCCGCCACCAGAAAAACAGCTTTCCAGGTCAACAACTGAATGGAAATAGCCGATAGGTGTGAGAAAGTGGGACGGACAGCCAATCGAGCACGATCGACAAATCCCAAGGTGGACTGGTTGCCATGAGAGCAGGTCGAATCCGTTCAGCGCCAGCGGCAAGCTATCTGCCGAGAGGTGCTGCCCCAGAAAGAGCACCATCGACAGGGGTGTGAAAAGTGGAAATAGCGGTGGGTAGCGCCGAATGGTAATTGAACCGCCAGGCCTTCTTCCAAGCGAGCTTGCAAAACTCAATACTTTCGGTTCTAAATCCGCAGAAAGGATCTGCAATCCCCTATCTGAACACCAGCGCTGCGCATGGCGGGACCACCCTATCCTGCGTACTGAGCGTTTGTTCTAATCCATACCGAAGCCAGGTTGTGTCTGCAACTGCTGCAGGAATTCGCGTGCCGCCGAGGTTAGACCTGACAGAGGCCAAGCCACCCACTGAATCCGTGGATTTGGGTGGGCGCTCCGTTCTGAAGTGAGAATGTCGGTCGCCAAAGGTAATAAAACAGGAGGCTGAGCCAGAAACCTGAAATTACCGGAAACCAGCTCTGTGACGACCAGCGGTGCCAGTAGCACTAAGCGAGCTGGCTGGGTGGACAGCTATGAAAGGACCGCGGAATGAGTGGTAACCGGGAAGCAGCCCAGAGCACTTTGCCCGTCCAATCCAGCAGGAAGGCGGGCAGCCAAACGCCCTGGGTCGGTATCGAGAGACAGAACACGGGTGTCTGGTCGTCCCGCCCGGGCGCCAAACAGATCCACCTCGAGCGACCATTACAACTGGGAGATTACTGTGAATATCTGCCTGTCGAGGCATCCCCACTTTTCGTCGGGGCCAGGATCGGCGGAAGCGCATCTGCTTTCGCCCGTTCTCCAGCCCGGGAGATAAACAGGGAGTACCTGACAATGTCGTACTGGTCGCATTAGCACCAGGAGAAAGTCCCACGCTTCCGGAGGCGCTGGGAGACACCGTGCCTCCTGCTTCAGGATAAATGGCATGGCCGTCTCTGGTTGTCTAACTGAAGGCGGACTACCTGGCCACCAGGACATGCTCTCTGAAGCTTTCGAATACCAACGCACAGCTCTCAGTTCCAACACGTTGATGTGAAGGTGGGCGGGAAGCCGGACCAGAAGTCCGGAAGCGACAGACTGCCAGAACACCAGCCAGTGAGGGCGCATGGGTCTGAACTGTGAGAGCTGGCGTCGGATTTCAAGGGAACCCCTGGTGAGATTCCCCGACATTTGTCCACCACTGAAGGTGAGGTGTCAACCACTTTCGAGGGGACTGTGAGACTGCGCTCCAGATCCTCCGTGTGAGTCCACAGCCGAGCCAAAGCTTTGCTGTATGGGGCGCATCTCAACGCGCCACACAGAGATAAAATCGCCGCCGCCATATGGCTCCAGTAGGCCGGAGCCAAGTCCGTGCTGGTGCCTGGGGCTGGGAGGAATGAAGATACCACATCTCGAACTCTGGTGACCCGGTTCGGGCGACAAAGGAAACAAGATCCTTGTTCGTTTGGAATCGCTCAAGAAACCAAGTCCTGGGTGGGTACCAGGTCGGTTCTTGAGGTTGATGATCCACCCCAGTCGAGTTAGAATGTCTATCACTGTGTGAGTAGCATCTTGATTTCGCTGGCTGTGTTAGTGCTCGAGCAACCAGTCGTCTAGGTAAGGTAACAACGCCTTCCTTGGCGGCGAGCTAGGAGTAGCTGGGACTAACATGAGCAGTGAACACCCAGAACCAGTCGATATGCGAGGGGAGCACCCTGAATTGGTAATACATCCGATCGTAAAGAGAACCGAAGGTACTGCTTGAGCGATGGATGTATGGAGTACATCCTGAGATCGCGATCCTTTAGGTCGATTGGCGTGAGCCAATGGCGGGCTGGAATAGATGAGATCACCGCGCGCAGTGTCTCCATCTTTGAAGGATGGTGCCGAACATCGCGATTCAACCCCTTGAGGTTGAGAATCGGTTGAACCACGCCCGTCTTTTCTTGGGACGCGGAAATACGTGGAATAAAAATCCTGTTCCTCTCCCGGTGGAATCTCGCCGATTGGCGGACTTGTCCAGCAGAGCCTGAACTTCGTCGCGCAAATATGTCCGCCCTGGCTTGACGCCAGACGGCACCCGGATGCGGCGTATGCCCGGTGAAGGGCGGACCTCGCTTCCACAGTGGGGAGATGGCCTATGCTGACCGTGGCCTAGCACCCAAAAGCGTTGTTGGTAGCCTTCTCCCATTCGGCAGGAATAGAAGAGCGACCTCCACTGGGATATGGGAGTAGGAAGCGCGTGTGGCAGACCCGAGTAAGCCGGAGCTGACTGGGTGACACACGGCTTCTGAGCGGCAACCTGATGGGTTAACGGAGGTCGGGCAGACCTCCCAGCGCCCGCCAGGCTGGGAGCTGATCGAGGACTGCTCCTTGCCCCTACCCTTGGCGGACCTGTTCCTCCGCCTACCCCTTAGCGGCCGGGCTGCACCCGGCGGAGGAAGGTGGCAGGGAGCTGCTGGCGAACACCGCTGGTGTCTCAACAAGGCCTTAGAGTCCTTGAAGGAGGTAGCTGCAGCGGCAGCCTCGTATGACCTGCTGGGCCCCTGAAAAGAGGGTCTCCCCCAGGCGGAAGGGGAGGGCCAGCAAGGTCTGCTGTGTTGCTGCCCGGTACCTAGGCGTCGACAGCCACAGCCTGCGCATCCCCATGATGCGCACATCACCGTCGACGCAGCAGACCGCTAAGAAAGAGTCGCTAGAGCGAGGTGAACCTGCACTTCCTAGCTGACGGAGCAGCAGCGACATGCGGCGACATCGTCGCCAGCATGCCCACCTCCGGGCCTCAGGGCCGACCTCTGAACGAGGAGAGGTAGGCCTCATGGACTCACCACCCGCCTGCATCGCTGTCGGTAGACCTCCTCAGTAGGTCCGCGTCTGCGCGTCGCAAGGGAGGGCAAAAGGTGGAGTCGGCGCCCTTGCCGAGCAGCCGGAGCTGTTCGAGGAAGCCGAGCCTCCCCAGAAGCGGCGAAGTGAACACACATTCGTCTACAATTGGCACAACGAACAGGAATCCTCCTGCTGGACGTAGCGCCCGCCTGCGAGATCGGTAAGTCAAACCGTACTTTTCGGGCACCAGACAAGAAGGGGATCGACCCACGCCCGAGACCAACAAAGGCAGAATCGCGAAGCTCGCGCCTGCGAGGGTTGCCTGGGGCAACCAGCCTTCATGGCAATAAGCGGAACTCAGTGAGAGTCCACGCGAACCAGCAGGCACAGCGGCCTGGGGTAGCCCTCGGCAATTCTCTGCGGACCTCCCGCGAAGGCGAAGCAAAACGGAAGCCTCCATCCTGCTCCTCAACCTCCCCAAGCTCCATTGCCCCGCGGCCGGAGCCCGAGTCAGAGGCTGGGTCTCTCCGTCAGAGGACCCGAACCCGACCCGGTGGACTGCCTAGCTAGGAACCACAGGGAAGGGAAGAACAGACAGACGGCTCCATCGCCAGCCAGCCGGCGGCGTGGACCCGGTCCAGGCGCTGGAGGCAGGCCAGGCAGAACTGGTGCCTCCGCCTCTCAGAGGCGGTGGGGCGCCAGGACCGAATACCAGGAATACTCAACGGTCCTTGCGCTGCTCGAAGAGGGACTGGGAGCACCTCCTTCCCCGAGCAGCCGAGCGTCGGATCCGGCCAGAGGCAGCGGATCTACAGACGCCAAGGCTGAGGGGATCGAGCCCGAGCCCGCGATCCCAACCCGGACTCTCCGCCCCTCGTCGGGTGGGCGAGAACTCCTGCCGAGACCTCCAACCGACTCGAGCGAAGGACTTCACGCGAGTCCATATGCTGCTGAAACATAGAGTCCATTACCGACATGTCAAAACCACTTTCGAAGTGAGGAGGAAGGGCCTCGAGTTTTCCTTTTGGACGTCGCGTTTTGTTTTTTGAGACGGGGGACTGCGTCAGGTCCCCCTCCGCCTCACGCATCTCACGATAAAACGCCTCTTCTGGGCCCGGGGGGAAAAGGCCAGACAAATAGGGCAGGACTCAGCGTCGTGGCCCGTCTTCTCAAGACAGGCAACGCATAGCTCATGCCTGTCGGCCCGTGGAATTTCTCTCTGACCACAGACCGAACAGGATGAAAAGGCCTGAAAGCAAACACGCAAGCATGTAGCTAACAGCGGCCAGCAGCTTATAAACACGTAGAAAACATTGAAAAATACGTGAAGGTTACCACGGAAAGTAATAGTTGGTTTTAATACGCAATATTATGACCACATGGCCGCGCTAAACTTCCAGCCATGGCAGAGCAACACGTCGTAAATCGCGGGAAAGTTAACGTAATTTGTATTAATACAAAGTCACAGAAACAACCAACTGTAAAGCTTTACTGTTCCTTGTTTTAGGCAAATAAAGACCATACATACAGGTGGTGTCTCAGACATAGCTTTCTTAGTAGCTTTCAGCTGTCCGGCTCATGAAGTGTGTTCTATTATAAACACGTCTGTTCACGGCAGTGACAGAAGAAGGAATGATGATACGGGTCTAGGAGCCTACCCAGTTGGTACGCATGCGCTAAGGGAGGTAACTCCGTGAGGTAGGGGCCGTATAATAAATAAAAGAGTTTATTTATTGTTCAATCTTTTTATTCAAAAAACATTGATACAACTGTCACAGGACATTTTTCAGCCGGAAAATGCATAATATGTACCCCAAGGACGATCTCTCTGAAAAAGAATGATGTGTGTTACTTGTACTTGCTAGAGAGGAGCTGTCAACATCCAGACTTGAGCTGCACTGTACCCGGCAGGAGTCGCAGAGGACAATGCTGCAGCAGCAGGGGGAGCTGCAGGAATGTAGGGAGGCAGTGACAGGGCTGGAGGAGAGGATGTGCACCATCCTCGGGGTGCTCAGGATGAAGGTGGGCGTGGAGGTAAGGACACATGCTGTTATTTGTCCATCAATTCACTGATTCAAGAGTCTTTTACTGAAGTAAAATAATGATCTTGCCAACCTTAAGAAGGATTGCACACATACTTGTGCTTATCAGTGTTCAATGAAAGTGAGTCCACTGTTTTTTTCCCAAACGATGCTGCCACAGTGAAATAACAACAAAATCTAGACCAGATAAGTTGCCTAGTGGTTGAGGTGTTTGCTCATTTCACTGTTACCTGGGTTCGATTTTCCCGTATGGGAAGACAATGTAATTGTGCTAAGTGGCGTAAAACGTTACTTACAATGTAAGTGAACCCAGGACTGTTAACTTGTTTTACTTCTGAAAAACATGATATCAGTTTATACAAAATTAGCATGATCACTACAGGTGTAGATGTCATCCTTCTTTCAGACAGAAGAGGACACGGTTGATGCTCCAGTACACTCCAACATTTCCTCTGAGTCTCTGGTGTCCAAGGTGCTTCATGCTGTCAACGCATCCATAGATACATCAGAGGAAAAGGATGCCTCATTCAGCTGGAGCAAGTCCCGACCTCCGAGTGAGGAAGCCAGCCCCACAGAGGGCAGCACCTCCCAAGCCAGATCTTCCACCGACAGTGGCTACAACAACTCCTTCGCTAGTCCTGGTGAGGCAAGCAGATCCAGGTTGGGCTTCTCACAAGCTAGTGCCTTTGTCCCTGTGAGGAGCGCACCACAGTCACAATCTATTGAAGATGAGGACAAAGTACAGATGCCAGAAGATAGGGACAGAGTAGAGATGCCTAACAATGATGGTAGAAGTCATAAGTCCATTGTTAAACAAATCTCAGTTCTCAGCGAGGTTCTGTCTGAGATTGTTAGCATGGCCAATATTTTGGAGAAAGCTTCTGCATTGTCGCTTCAGGATCTCAAAGGAGACAAGTAAGTAGAGATTGGGGATCAGTTCAGGGTATTTTATCTGGAATCACTAAATGTGACCCATGAGGTTATTTCTTTATTGGAACTTAGCAAGTATCTTCTGAATTTACATACTAATCCTCATCACATATATAAGTAAGGATAAGATATACAGACAACTTCTTTATTAGCAAGGAGAGACATTTCAGTGTAGCTTCTAACACTGTTATCAAGCATGTGATGTTCAGGGTCTGGAGGGCAGTGGAGTAGCCAAGAGGTTAAAGTATCTGGGTTTGATTCCCCACATGGGTACAATGTGTGAAGCCCATTTCTGGGTCCCCCCACCGAATATTGCTAAAAAGCGGCGTAAAACTAAACTCTGTCAGTCACCTGGATATAAACATAGGTTTGTTTTTATTTGGCATATACATACCACTGTGAGCTACAGTTAAGTTTTCGAGCCTGGTATTTACATCATGCACATAGGACTGTGACTGATCGATATCTTGGATAGTAAGAAAATATGTAATGGCCTTGATCACAGTTGATTGAGATTGGAATCTTGTAATTGCTTCTAAGAACTTTCAAACCTTGGAGTCCTTGAGGTTGATTGTGAGGGGTTTGACTTCATCCCACTGGATACTGTAGCATAGGTTGTCCACACATGGTTTGTTTCACCATATTTGTAACTTAGTACTCCTAACTGCCTCTCATAGAGGTCATCACACATGTTAGCACCAGTTTTGGAGTTCGAGCAGTTGTCATGGAGAAACAATATCTGCCACGTCTGCAGTTAATCATGTCTGTATCTTGCAGCTGTCTGTTGCGGGAGAAGGTGTGTTGGTTGGAGGGCGAGGCGTTGAGATTGCAGCAGGACCGTGTAGCAAAGACAGAGGAGCTGACCGAGGCCAACAAGCTGGTAGAGGAACTGAAGAACAGGATCAGGGATATGGGGGATCGAATCATCGCACTCTCAGACTACCAGTTTGAAAATAAGGTAGGATTCTGAAGTACAAAATGGCTGCCTTCCAAGATGTGACCATCTCAAAGGTTTATCTGACTGAGTGCTGACATTAGTGGTTTGATTTCCATCCACATCCTACAGAAAGATGTTACTTGTTGTTGCTCTACCTGCATGGCATAATGGGGAACACTTGTTTTCTCAAAGTCAGTAATGTGTGGTCCAGTGGGATGTACCTGTTAATCAGCAACATAATATCTTAGCCCTCTGACAATGGGCAGAAAGATTTCCATACACCATATATAAAAGGACATTAAAAGATGTTACTTGTTGTTGTTGCCTGACACTTTGTATTAAGGGGATAAACCCACAGACTGGTTAGTTTGGTTTTCTGTGCCTGAACAGGACATGAATGTTATTAAGCAGTGTTATGAGTTGACGGGCTAGTACAATAAAACTGACCTTTATCTGCATGAGTACAAGTAGCTTTGCAATACAACAATCTTGAATGATGTTGAACCCCCTTACAGTCCCTTGTATGTTTGAAGTGAGCCTGATCTGTGTGGTTTCAGAAGATGCATCAGGATATGATGCAGCTGATGGGCGATGTGAAACGGCTGGAGGGGGAGAAGGAAATCCTGGAGGAACAGCTAGCCCACACCACCCCACACCACCCTGGCCAAGTCGGCAACCCCGGACACAGCATGCAGGGACAGGTGATCTCACTCAAGAAGAAGGTGAGCTGTGTGTGCATAAGACAACTGACTAATGAGAACACAACATCTACTATACAGGGATGGCAACAGGAAAATCTATTTTCTGCTGAAAACTTAATATTATGTCACGAATGGGGGTTCAGGGTTTCTCAACAGATTTAGACGATTCACTGAATTGATCACTTTGAAATAAGATCGGTGGAAATCCCCAGATCAGCAGAAAATTGCCATCCGTATGTTCACATCTTCATCTCTTTTCCCGATGGGTGCTCATGATGTCAACCACTGGTTTGTCTTTCCTCATCAAGTTTACCGCCATATAGCTGGAATATTGCTGAGAATATTGCTGAGTGCGGCATAAAACTAAACTCACTCACTAAACTCATCAAGTTTAATTCCAGTCCCTTGAAATATCTCTGACATGTCAGTAGCTATCCCAGATATTACATGATGTTATTGTTTGATTCACCTTGTCTCATCAACCTTGTCACTGTAGTTGTATTTTCCTTTCAGAACCAGCAGCTTTTAATCCAGTTGATGGAAGAGAAAGATCGCTACCAGGAAATGGGGAGCAAGGCAGCTCGCAAAGTAAGCATGGACATAATATTGTTGAAATCTTCCCAGGAAATAAATTAGATGTAACCGAGTGTGATTTCATAAATAGATATTTTGATATAAACTGTATTGTGCTAGCCTTCATATACATTAGTCGTAATGCATGGTATCCCCTTCGAAGGAATAACCTGTCTCCATAATTTCAGATGAAGATCCTTGAAGACAACTGGAAGAAAGCGGAAGCTGAGGTGTTTCGGTTTGATGAATTGGTGGATTCCATACAGAAGGTAATGTCTATCAGATTAGTATTAATGATTGTCCAGAGAGTCACATGATGATTCATTTTGATGTCATGTATCAATAATGGACAGGATCTGTACTTTTATGCTATGTGTTATTTTAGGGCTTTAAACTACAACCTTCTTGACAAGTGCAATAATACTGGAACAAACTAGCACCAGGTGATCTTTGCTTGACATCTCCATTGGAGACAGCTATTATGATTGATTTGATATTGTTATGTTCTAATTCAGCAGGCCTTCAACATTATCAGTGTCATAAAATATTCTCCTTTTTCTGATTTAATACACTGATGCAGAAAAGAGTTTCATGGTCAGCCTGTTACACTGTGTTTAACTGAACAAGTTTATTTTCAAGTACTATCCTTACTAAGAAAGTGTAATCCAAATATAACATGGGAACATGGAATAACTATTCCATCAGTAAAAACAGAATACAGTTGAAACACACCATCATTTCTTTCTTTCAGATTTTGGAAGACAATCGTGAATTCATCTCCCGAAACCCTGAGCTGCTTCTCCTGATGAAGGTTATCAATGGGGAGGATACCATCCCCTCTGGGGGCTCACTCCAACCTAGAGCCTCACTCTCAGGACCCTCACTCACAAGACCCATTCAGAGACCTTCTCTAGCCAAAATGCCAAAGTTTTAATTCCTTGTGTTATGGATATACAAAATATGTCATATCACTAAGAGACTATAAGAACTCGCTGTAAGCGGTAATTTCAAAATTTGTAAAAAAAAATAAAATCATTTTACTTTTTTTCAGATCGAGTGATATATTTGTCAGGGACAAATACATACTTACATCTGTACTTTTATGAGAAGATTCATGAAACTCTGTTTATATGCAGTCTACTGTTGAATATTTGTTTCCCTTTTAAAAACTTTTAAAAGTCACAAAAAAAAAACCCCACTTTATTATGCCCGAAACATGTAAATATATGATTATCTCAATGATTGAGACCATCAACACTAAAATGAAATAAATATTTATTCAGTGCTTTCCTGTGTTGTCACATACTTGAGTTGTAAATATTATGGGAATTGTCCATTTATATGCAGCCACTTAGCGTTAGAAGCTGGGATCCTCTTACGTAATTGTTGATAAATATATTCAACAAAAACGTCAAGGACCACCCCAATATTAAAGTATGTAATACTTCATATCATGATCCATATAATATTTACATACTGAATACTGGGGTGGTCCTTAACTTTTTGTTGTTGAGTATATATATGAACTGAGTCTACCGAGTGTAATCCCAAATATAACATATGTTGAGTATACCAAGTTCCTTTTTATGTTAAATGCTAAAGAAAGGTTAATTTCATTGTCTTTCACTCATTCCTGCGACAGTTTGTAAAAAGTAATCTGGCGTTCATTTGGGTCAGTGAAAATAATTTTCAACCACATGACTCTATGTTTGAAACGTTAATTATTTCTTCAAAGAGCAGTTTAGTTATCTTATTACAGACATCTGAAATAAAGTTCATCTTTACACAAGTGTAGAAGTGAGCATAACTCACATTACCCCGCTTCCCACTTTGGGACATAGAAATTAAATTCTAATACACTTTAAAATAGCAGGCACAACTGTGGGTCATGATTAACTTGTGTATTAAGTTTGGTGAACCTAGCATGTATAGTTTTAGTGATATGCTCTGGACAAGATAACTATCAAACACATTTTGCACGAAGTCATGTTTCTTTAGAAACAGCAAAAAATAAAATTCTGATAAACTTCAAAATAGCAAAAGGCACATGTGTTGGTCATCATGAATATGTGTGTGAAGTTTGGTGAACCTAGCATGTAAACTTTAAGAGATCATTATGCTCCGGACAGATTCAGGACAGATGAATGCTATATAACCCAGTTACTTCGTAAGCGATGGTTTAATAAACCATATTTCACGGTACACACCTACAGATCATAACAAACCAATACATTTCAAAGATATTTATTTTTAAATTAAATGAGTGAAATGAAAGACTATATGGTTCAGAACTGGCTTCTAAAATGATGAATTGCACAAGTTTTATGTAAAGCCTCCATGCAACATTCTGTAATAATTGATGTTTCATGTCACAATTTTAGAGAAATTTTATTGCTTCCACTGACAAAACATGCATAGATTAGAAAACTGGTTCTATAACATTAAATAAATCTGGTTTATGATCTAGTAAATCTTAGTCAGAATAGGATTTTGGTGTTTTTTTTAAAAATAGCAGTGCACACATTGCATTGTTCCATATTGTGTCTTTGGGGGAAAAATATCACAGACTCATAGTGTTGACACTTGAAATACGACGCATTTCTCACAATGCTTAATTTAGCGACTTTCAAAAATTGTTTCACATGTCTTATCTTATAATCCCAGAAATTATGCTTATGTATTCTTTAAACTGATGATTATGAAAATATTTTCTGTGCAAAAGAAAAGACTGAAAATACCACAGGAGAATACAACAGCAATAGACTGGTCAACTGACACAGGTATCAACTGACACAGGTATCAACTGAAGCAGGGCTAGGTGGAATGGCAAAAGGGTGTACACAAATTATTCACTTAGATTGCCCAATTTACAGACACAAATATCCATCTATATTCCCAAATCAATTCATACTATATCTACTGACAGCATCTTTTATGATCAGCACTGTAACGTTGACAGATTGAAAACACTTTCTGCATCATGTGAATCATGGTGCGAAATCAACATAGTAAGAGGCTCACGAGCTGATGCTGGCCAAGTTCCGACTACAATGACCTGGGTGCCCCAGCTTATATCTTGCCCTGCAGGGCTGGGTGCTCATACTCTCAACCACTGGGTTTGATCACAACTGAAAATCTGCATCAAGCATACAGAAAATAAACATACATGAAAATGGAATAAAGTGCAAATATTGAAATAACCCACATTATTTCAAATAGCACTTTCACAAAGCTTTGATATGTAAAATAATATAAATAGCATAAGGAATATAATCGCCTGCATTATCAAACAAACCACCTAAGAGATCGGAAATTCAACATTCCTTATTCAAACGAATATTTTGGCACATATATGTATCATAAATACAGCCTGTAACAGATGCAGCTTCCACTATCACTATCATGGATATTCTAGTGTAAGGCACAACCTGTACATCACACCATCATAAATATATCTGTACAATCCTCAGTCTTTGGCATTTATACATATATATTTATACATATATATTTGGCATATATACTTTGACGAGTATCACTGAAGCATTCAACAACCTTTACTGATGTGCTACTTGTAGTGCTCAAGCATTCTGATAGTGCTGACCAAGCCTAAGACTTGTGGGATTTTCCAAACAGGCTTTTCTTGTTGGGTTTATCTTGACCAGCCTGTAACAGATAAGAACAAAACATATATTCTATTTATTAGTGGGTGAGTTTAGTTTTACGCTGCATTCAGCAATATTCCAGCTATATAGTGGCAGTCTTTAAATAATCGAGTCTGGACCAGACAATCCAGTGATCAACATCATGAGCATCAATCTGCGCCATTTGGATACAAAGACGTGTCAACCAAGTCAGTGAGCATGTCCACCCAATACCGTTAGTCGCCTCTTACAATAAGCATGGGTTACTGAAGATCAATTCTAACCTAGATCTTCACAGGCACAGGCCTGACTCTAAGGGTGTGAGTTCGAATCCCGGATGGGGCTCAACTAAAAAAAGTACTAGAATTTGAACTTTACTAAGAAAGTGTAATACCAAATATAACATGTAGCACTTTATCAGTTCTGTTTATTATATATCATACTGATCTCTGAAATCCTACCTCCGTGGTGTAGTGGTTAGAGCGGAAGGTCGCAAGTTCGATCCCCGACTGCGTCATACCAAAAGACGTTAAAATATGGTACTTGTTGGTCCCTGCCTGGCGCTCGGCATTAATGGTCGGCTCGGAGTCAGTATAATGTGTCTGAGTGGGGTATTCATGCTTCACTGCGGCGTGGTATCTCAGTGGGCTAGCACCATAAAACCAGCTTAAGTCTGGGCTAGTACAAGCAGCCGCACATACACATACACACACATGCACATCGTCATAGGAGGAAATATTCTCAAGCACGACGTTAAACCCAATTTCACATCACATCACATCTGAAATCCTAAATGACTTGTCTCATTTGGTGCTATATGGATAATGCAGGAATCCATGTCTAAAGACGTGACAGGTACATCATCCATTACCTGCATGGTACGAAGTGTTCTCACTGTCACCATGCACTGTCTGTAATGCTATTTACAGGATAATCTGTCTCAGTGTTCAAACCTGAAGGGTTCTAGGGTCTTTGAGGTGTGTATCTGTAGTATTTGTAGATACTAAGGACCCCCTACTGTATTGGGTGGGTCTTGACAAGGACTCCAATTTCAAGTTTAGTTTTGAACACTGCCTCCTCAGTCTGACCTTAACACACATGACTCACAAGTAGTTTTGCTCCCAGCAGCATCTGCATCTTGGCTTTGTCTTCCTCCTGCTGTACATCAGTCAGTGGTACATCATCGCCGGCCCGGGACTTCATGTGCAGCTTCTGCTTGATAGCCTACAACAGAGCACACACCATCACAAATCTCCAGCGATATTGTCCCATTGTTCTCTTCAGTGTTTTTTCCTGTGAGCAAGTACCTGGATACAATCAAATTAAAAGTCGGGACTGACTCTGAATATTAATATTCATGAAACTTCCATGATGGTAATTGAAAGTGCAACCAGTGTGTGTGTTTAGTTTTACCCCACACTCCGAATATTCCTTCTGTATGGTGGTGGTCTGTAAATAATCAAGTCTGGACCAGACAATCCAGTGATCAACAGCATGAGCATCAATCTACACAATTGGGATAAGATGACGTGTCAACCATGTCAGCAAGCCTGACCACCCAATCCCGTTAGTCGCCTCTTACGACAAGCATGAGTTACTGAAGATCAATTCTAACCTGGATCTTCACAGTAGCACTTTATCCCAGAGATTTTCCATCTGAGCTAGCAGTGCAGGTGATTAAGTAAAGGTTCACTGAGCACATTTTCTGCACGGTTAGTCCAAGTGTGCATGTGCGAAATTTAGGCTGGTTCTGTGGTCCCTGACTAGAAATAATTCTTCAAGACCACTAAATGATAAGTTTGCAGTGGTCCTGTGGCCAGTGATTTTTTTCCCCATCTAAATAATCAAAGTTGTCTTTAAATTGAAAAGTGAGATCGTATATTTCAGCGAGGATTCAAATAAAGTAATACTCTGAAGTCGAAGGATTACTCAGAATCACTGTAAAAAGTCAATAGTAAATTTAATGTTTAAAGTTCAAATGAATATAATAGTATTGATAGTTAAGGAAATCTACAAATGTTATTTTGGACCAGTGAAGTACATACAGGGCCACTAATTACTGTTCACTCACTGGTCCTGTGGTCTAGTAGGAAATTGTGAAAGGTTTCTAACACCGTAAATGAGGATTAGACAAGCCCTTATGTATCAAATAAATATGTTTGAGTAATGTGTGTATCAGCCTAAGATGTCCGATCATTAATAAGTGACTTGCCTGTGACAACAGCGTCCTCTTGCTGTGGTTCTTGAGAGCCATGAGAAGATCAAACCACGTCCAGATACAGTTGTGGTACTCCATAGTGGGCAAAACAAAACTGAAATCATGGACATCTTCGATGTTCTTGTCCTTCTGACCCTGAAGTCCAGACAGAATAGACACTTTTATACATGACAGAGTAGGACTGATGATGAGGTAGACTGGGGAGGGAAGGGGAGTTTGGGAGGATGAGATAGGAGGTGAGGTGAAAGAATATTTCACTCATATGACGATGTGCATACGTGTGTATGTGCGGCTGCTTGTACTAGCCCAAACTTAAGCTGGTTTCATAATGCTAGCTCACTGAGATACCATAACGTAGTTAAACATGAATACCCCACTCAGACATACCGACTCCGAGCCGACCAGTCCTTGTTGTACCCATTAATGCCGAGCGCCAGGCAGGGACCAACAAGTACCATATTTTAACGTCTTTTGGTATGACGTGGCCAGGGATCAAACCTGTGACCTTCCACTCTCCAGGTTTGACGCTCTAACCACTACACCACAGAGGTGGTCTTAATGCGATAGGAGGTAAGGGAGAGAACTGCTGCCCTGACTAATCTTTAGCTACTGAGATTTATCACATTTATGTATTCATCATATAGATCACATGAGGTGTCTCAAAAGAGTCATACAGTCTGATACATGCCTTGCTTGAATTTCCCATCATGCACTACCCACCTTGTAACTGACCCTGAGATTGACCTCCGGAATCTTGGTGTACACAAACGTGTTGTTGTTAGCTGCACGCTCCTGGAAACAACATTAAATACAACTTCCAGACCTTCCACAATTTAAAGGCTGTGCAATACATACCAGCTTTGAGAGATTAACTTTAGTCTAATTAAAACCTTGTTTTAAGCAGTATAAATGAGTTGGATTGTATGCTGATTTGAAAAGTTGAAAAGTAATCACATCACTTATCTCCCTGCCGCTGAAGCTGGTTAAGCATACTTTTTACACTCATGAAATTGTTTATTACTGTTTTCAAATTGAAAGTTGGAAAAATGATTTAGGATGACAGAAGAATCTCATTCTTCTTTGATAAAAGGTTAGGACTCACCACATCAATGACTTTGATATATTTGATATCAATAAACACACTTGAGTTTCTCTACATCTTAGGGAAGGATAAACTACAAGTGACCAAGAATAAATCAGATCTAACAAATTCCATCCCATTAAGCGAGTGAGTGAGTTGAGTTTTACGCCACTTTAAGCAATATTCCAGTTGGGGGACACTAGAAATGAGCTTCACCCATGTGGGGAATTGAACCCTGGTCTTCAGTGTGACGAGTGAACGCTTTAACCGTTAGGCTACCTCACCACCCCAATCCCATTAAGAAAATGACAGCATGAAATCAACCATTCAACTCCATTCAAACATTCATTATCAAGTATCCTTGATTTATTTCTGAACACTATTTTACGGGATGACTCAAATTCCCAGCAGTGATGCCCCACACAAGAAACCACTGACCCTCATCTTGTCAATATCGTCGGTGTTGTTAAACGATGGAGCCTTCTTCACCGGGGTCTCCTTCTTGGCCTTCTTGTCCGACTTCTTCTTTCCCTTCACTTCTTCCTCCTCTGAAGAGCGGACATAGAGGTAGAGTAATGGACATACACATGTACCAGTAAACAGTCAAATATTACTTGCTCAGAGGCTTTTTTAAGTCCACAAATTCACCAATGTTACAAAATATTACATTCAAATCTCTCTTTTTTTTTATTTCAGTCAATCTTACTTATTAAAACAATAATAGTCACAGACTGATTCCTTGCAAAATTTACACACGCTCATAGACAGAGAAATGTTTGCTAAAACTTGACACACAGTGATGACAGAGACTGTTCACTGTTTAGCCAATACTCGAAGTTGTTGATTCTATTTGTAATGTCTTCATATACAAATAACATATTATAGGACAGTGATTCTGAAGCTTGTTTGTTTTGTATGATATCACCAGAAATGACCTGGTTTCACTGTTTATCAGGTAACTCCAAAGTCCATGCTACTTTGTAGTGTCCTACAACCAAGAAGTGATGAAATACCAAACTCCTGCTCTCCTGGAACCTGTTCAAAATGACAACTCGAGGACCTTGATTATTCAGTCAAGATTCAATACAGTAAAATTTGTTTGTCTCCATTTTGTAGCATTGCCCACTCTATCTGCTTACCTTGCTGGTCATCCGTCTCAATGTTTTTGTCCGGGAAGAAGAAGCCCATGACAGCTTGGTAGAACTGGTACGTGAGTTGTATCTGTATCGGTACAACGTTCACCTCAAAGTGTTCCTTCACAGCGATGCCACCCACTAAAAGTACAAGTTTCAAGATGCAGTACTCATCAACACAGACCTACACAGGTTGAATATCTCACAGACGATACACAGGTCTGATACCTCTGACATCCTACAGATGTGTGACACCAAGGAGGTTCAATATCCCATACATATCTCAGAGGCCCTACACTTGTGTTAGATGTGTGAAAGAAGAGCAACTTCGTGTTGAAGAACCGTGGCTATTTATTCGGTACAGGCTTACAACTTCCAATAATACATGCACACACAGCAACGTCTACTAACTGACCCTCACAACTACCTAGATACCTAATGGTGCACAATATGTAATAATCATGGTTACGTCACAAATAGAACACAATTATCTTACCTCAGCATTCGTTAGTTCCTATGGAGACTGCCATGTTGGATATAAATCTCGCTTACGAGATTTCATGAGACTAGCAATATCATACTTCCCAAACTACAACCCAACACTTGTGTGATACCTCTGACACCAAGGAGGTTCAATATCCCATACATATCTCTGAGGCCCTAAACTTGTGTGATACCTCTGGGATTCAATAGGCAGTACAGAAGTGCACTCTGTCTGAGGCCCTACACAGGTACGATATTTTAGCAATCCTATACATATTTGAGGCCTTACACAGGCATGATACCTCAAAGACCCTAAACAAGTGTGACATCTCAGAGGTGTGGTGTGAGCCTTACCAGGAGGTCTCTCACTGCAGACAATCCTGAGTGTCATCATCCTCTTGTCGACATCTTTGTCCTGGGCACCTCGAGGCACAAGGACGTCCTGCAATGTGCATACATACTTCATAGTGACAGTTATTCAAACACAAAAAGGTACTAAACACAAAAAGCAGCAAGTCCAGGGTAAAATGTAATTTTCTGACTAAAATTGATATTTTATACTTATCCTGACTCATGCTTATTGCTTGTCTCCCTTTCCTTCCGAATGCTAGTGGAACACTTGAATCCCCTTTTTGAAGCTCCCTTAAAAAAAGCGGACGTAAAATCACTTACCAGGAGTCTCCTCCCTTGCCAGGTTTTGGCGGGAACGGCGCCACCCGTCTGCCATGCTCTTCACTCTCTCCGTATTATAACCCGACACACTGGTTTACTGGGAAATCCAGAGTGCCTTGAGGGGAGGTTGGGAGGGCTTACCTCATGAGTCAGGATAAGTATAAAATATCAATTTTAGTCAGAAATTTCATATTTTTCCATATCCTGACTCATGCTTATTGCTTGTAGAATCCGACGGTATAGGTGGTGGGTCAAGCCACCTCTGGATTCCTTAGTGATGAATTTATGTCCTATATACCCCCATGGGAACTTTAAATGGCACTGCTGCTGTTGATCCATATGTCGAAATAATTTGGTAATTTGGGGGGACCACAATATATCAAACTCTTCTGTAACCGTACATGTGGATTTAAATAACTCCAACTCTTGATGTTCGTATCAAGTGGAGTAGTGACCCTAACCATGTACAAGTAATTCCTTACCAGTACAGGGTCCAATATTCATGCTAGTCTGTTCTAGACGTGTACATGGACTATAAGCTCTATTCCTTGGAGTACGAGCTTTGCATGACATGCGGTAAAAGGGCGAGATACACCTCAGCGCCTTTGAGGGACCGTCAGCTGTTGAGCTACAACCAGAGGTCCAAACTGGTGGATACCGGAGACGTCCTCGGTAGCAATGTCTCTGAGGTAGTGGTTAGCAAATACTGTCTCCGATTTCCAAAAACACCCTTCCATGATCGGGGATATTGAGCTGTTTCCATGTAGAGCGAGTGTAGATGCCAGTGCTCTAACTTCGCGCGGATTGGAGGCTCGAGAAGGCTCAAGTCCTGCTGCCTTGTAGGCTCGTAGTATGATTGCTCTCATCCAAACTGATATCGTAGTACGTGAGATCTCTGTGGGTGTCTCCGACGATATGGGGATGAAAAGGCGTTTGAATTTTCGTCTCCTGGTTTTAGACTTCTGTAGATATATTTTCAGCGCTCTGTCTGGACATAGGAATAAATCTTGTATATCCTGTGGACCAAGGATTGTAGATAATGCTGGGATGTGGAATTGTCTGTCCGGTTGACCTGGCAGTTGATTCTTAGCTATGAAATCCCACCTCAATCCTAGATAAACCGTGTTGTGACGTGTGTCAAACCGTATCCGTTCAGAGTCCAGCGCATGTATTTCTGACATCCGCGCAGCGGTTGCCAAGGCGATCAGAAATAGCGTTTTCTGTGTAAGAAATTCGTAAGAAGCTCTTTCTAGTGGTTCGTACACATCACTGGTGAGATGTCGTAATACCGGGATTGAGATCACAAGCCGGCACTTTAAATTTCCTTTGTTGGTCTTCCAGTTTAAAAGAGCGTAGCAAGGCCAGTAACTCTGGCACTTTCGTCAGTTTCACGCCTGTCTTCATAGTGATAACTGAGCTGAGAGCCGCTAGGTATGTAGATAATGTCGAACCTTTTAATTTCCTCATTTGTCTGAGATGACAAAGATATTCCGCCACTTGAGGATGTGTTGCTTTCACTGCAGTGAAACCTTTCCTCGATGCATATTTCTCAAAGCTTTGCCACTTGTCGTCATACAAGTTACGAGTAGATCTGCGTAAAGCTAGTGTAACTGCTTTCGCTGCTCTGGTGGAGTATCCTCTTTTCGACAAGCAATTCGGTGATACGTTCCATAATGTAGGTGGAATAATCTGGGATACTTGTGAACTTGCTTGGTGTGAGGATGAATTAGTAGATTCGACCAAACTGGAAGTTGTATTGTTGGTTTTCCGATTTCTTGTAAGAGAACGGAAGCCACGTTCTTGCTGGCCAGTAAAGTGACCAAAATCAGTTGTAGATTGTTTGTCTGCCTGATTTTCTGTTATACCTGTGGTATGAACGCTGGCGGGGAACGCGCGATGCAGCGTTTAGCCCTTCCATGGGATGCTTAGAGCGTCTGTGCCCCATGCTTGCGGATCGGGGTTGGAGAGACAAATGTTGCCAGTTGATTGTTGAATCTCATGGCGAATAGGTCTACGAGTGGAGATCCTATCGTCTGTATGATGCATCTGAACGCTTGTGGATGTAACATCCATTCTGTTGGGGATGGTTGATGTGGTCGAGATAACGCATCTGCTATTACATTTCTGGCTCCCGGAATGTGACATGCTTTCACATAAATGTTGAGATTGTCTATTATGTTGAATAGTTGAAAGCTGAGGTCTAGAAGATTGCAAGATCTTGTTGATCCTTGTTTGTTTATGTAGAACGCCACTGTTGAGTTGTCCGTATGGATCATCAATTTTGCGTTCCTTAGTATGTTGGACCAATGCAGTAGGGCTCTTACTACTGCTTTCATCTCGAGCATGTTGATATGCAGATTCATTTCTTGTTTCGACCATTTCCCGGCAACCACTTCGTTGTCGAGGTGTGCTCCCCAACCGTGCAGTGATGCGTCTGTGTAGAGGTGGACGTTGCACTCCGGCTCTATTAAGTAGTTTCCGCCGCAAACATTCGACTTCTGAGTCCACCATAGTAGATATGGTTTTAGCCTGTCTGGTATTTCGAAGGGATCCAGACTGTGTAAGTGGGCGTTCACAAATCTCTGTAGTGGACGCAGTTGTAGTCTCCCTCTGCGTGTCATGTCTTGAGCTGACGTGAGGAGACCTAATAGGCTCTGCCATTCTCGTAGTGGTAACGGAGAGAGTAGAACTTGAGAGATCATTTGTTGAATCTTGATCCAACGATCCTCTGGAACGAGAATGCGATTCTTCGTTGTTATAAGCCGTATTCCTAGGAATTGCAAGTCCTGAGTAGGCTGTAGTTCCGACTTGAGGAGATTTACTAGCCATCCTAGTTGAGTGAGAAGTCTGATGGTGAAGTTCAGTTGCAGTCTGAGTTGACTGGGATCTTGCTGAGCTTGAATCCCGTCGTCTAGGTAGAGAACGCACTCGCGTGAACCTCACGATGTAGATATATATTGATGGGCTTTGTCACTCGAGTAAACAACCAGGGGGCCGACGATATTCCAAATGGCAGGACCTTCCATTGGAAATGACGTCCGTTGAACAGGAATCGTAGATATTTCCTTGACTCCTGATGGATCGGGATGTGTAAGTATGCATCCTGTAAATCTATGCTGGCGAGATAGTCTAGCGGACGTATGAGCTGTCGTAGCTGTGGAAGATGTATCATCTTGAACTTTGCGGGTGGTAGGAGGTAATCTTTGTTGAATTTCCTCATGTTGTAAATGAGTCGGAACTTTTCTTTTGAATTTTTCTTTGGTACCAGAAAAATTGGGGAGTAGAAACCTGGTGTGACGCAGTGTTTTATCTCTTCTATTGCCTCTTTCTCTAGTAGAGATGTGATGGCTTCTAGTAGATTTCCCTTCTGGTCTGCAGCGTAGTTGTGAACCATAGGGTTGATTGTTACTGGTGGTACTGCTTGTAGCTGTATCCTGTAACCTGTGCGTGGAATCTGAGATACGAAGTCGTCTTGAAGAATTCCCCAATTCTTCCAGTAGAGTTGCAGACGTCCACCCACTTGTGAGGGTTGTACTGGAACGGCTGGGGGTGGAAGACTCCAGTCGTTCCGAACCTGTATTTCATCGTCTGGAACTTCTGGCGCCTCGAAAGGGCCGACCTCTTCCGTAGTTACCTCTTGGAGCTGCGGATGGGCGACGAAAAGAATCCTTATTTCCTTTAGCGTTGCCTGATTTCTTATCCCTTGCTCTCTGGATGCCTGCAAACTTCGATTTGCCGGAATAACATTGGGAGGTCTGACGTATTACACTGGCCAGTGTATCGATAGACTTGATCATCATTACTTTTCGGGAATCTTTAGCGACTTCCTTGGCGACTTCATCAATTTCTCCTGCAAAAATGGATGGTGCTGACCAAGGGGCTCTGTAGAGTGTCTTGGTAAACTTCTCGCTCCAAGTACATGAAGATAACAGTCCTTGCCTTCTTGATAATGTTAAGCCTGCAGAAATGGATGATAGGTGTTCAGACATGACCTGATGATCCTTTTTCTGTGTAAGTAGAGCTGAATAAATCATTCTATCTTCCTCTGAAGTTGAATTCTTAAACTTCGAGATGAGAGTCTCGTTGACAGCTCTTGACCTGGCTAGGCCGAAGAAGGTTCGATCTGGTTACTGTGTCTAACTGTGCCAGCTTTTTATCTTATACCGTATGCGGAAATTTTTGAGGTATCTAATTTTCGAGGTTTTCGAGGTTAGAAACGCATAACCTCGAAAATATTATATCCATGAATTTTCCGAACTTCAAACCTTTGGGTTAGATTTTCTATCGATAAGCATTTCAACTGCTGGCAACCAATGACTTCCTGACATGCTCATTAACTCTTTGATGCATGTCTAAACTAATAAACAAACAACAGAAATGCGGTGTCGAGACTATTTAATTGTGTTGTAATTGTTGGTCCAGAACAACATGCATTATAAAAATAGGTAATTCAATCAGTGTCTTACATGTGAAGTCAAACCAACTGTCAATACACTCGATGTCACTCTGTAAGAAACGGACTGCATCGGCGATGCCAGGTTTGATGAATCTGGGCGTCTGTAAAGGGGATGGTTTACACAAACATCCTGGGGCTGTAAGGTATCCGTGCAGTTGGTCAGTTTCGTTAAAGAGGTCAACTTGTCAGCTTTCTAACAACAACATAGTTTCAGCAGAGACCCATGCATACATGCTTATAGTTAGTTGTTAAAAAACAATATCGTCCTGAGCAAAATGGCGTCATGTTTGAACACTGCCGACAGGTCATTTATCACAACAAAGGATCAAAGGGTTGTTTTCATTACTATTATTTCTGCCATGGACTGGTATACCGGTAGTTATAACAGTCAGGCGGCGATCATCACTGGCTACTTGCCGATAATTCACTGAGTATTAATCCGGTAAAGTCATGTTTGTACCACTTTCTTCTAACCTCGAAATTAAAACTGTCTAAAATATTTATATATTTTAGGCCCCAAAACTCTCGAAATTTAAATCACCTCGAAAGCTCTGGGGGTCTCAAACCTCGAAATTTTAGTACCTTGAAAATTTCCCGGTATACAGTATCTTGTAAGCTTTAGTCCGAGTGTAAATTGGATGATCTTATAATTCTCATCTATCTCTGGGGCCTTCATGAAGGGTTCCATGTGGTGTAGAGAGAATTCTTAGCGTTGAGCGACGGAATACTCTGAGTCTGGTATTTAGTTGCCTTCTTGAAGGCTGTGCTGAGGTTGTCTGGAGCGTCTAAGACTGTGTTGATAGGTGGCATCGTGAGTGAGTCTATATCATCATTCACCATCAAGTATGATAGTGCTTCGGGTCTCCTTAGAGGGTGATCACGAGTTCCAAACCGTTGGCCATCCATGACTTGATTTCGAGTCGAAAAATATATTTCCGCCGTCATCTTCCTGCTCTGAGGATGGATGTCTTCTATTGTCGTCTGAACGAGGAGATCTGTAAGGTGATCTGTAAGATGATCTGTGTGGTGACCTGCGTGGGCGATCTGTAAAGGCGACCTGCGTGGTGACCTTCCGTGGCAAAACCATACATTCGTGAATGTGTTCGTGACATCCCTACGGGGACCTGCGTGGAGATAGAGGTGACCGTCGCGTGCCTTGGCGCGAACCTGCGTGTTGGTGAACGGCTTTGTCGAGGGTTGGAGTCTTGTGACGAATCTCTATGCCTTCGTACGGATGTTGATTCTCTTCTCCTTGGTAACGAACCGTTGCGTGCAGGTTCGTGACGAACGTCCGTATCTGACGTCGATGATGATCTGCGTGGGTTCGGCGAACGTCTGGTCCTTCCGTCGAACGTAGTTGGTGCGGAGTCCACGTTGGTATGGCTGCCAGGTATTCGTGCGGACGCTGTAGTCGAGCTGGAATCTTCCTGTATGCTCTGCAGGACGTTGGTTCCCAACGGGCGTGTTGTGCTGCTCAGTTGACCTTCACTGGGTTAAAATCGCGCCGGGTTCGCCAGACGTCGTCTTCGTCGCAGCTCTCTCGCCTGCGAACCGTTGATCCATCAGATCCAACATCTGTTGGGTAAATTGCTGCATAAAGGCGCCCGGGTTGAAGGTCTGCGTTGTCTGTTGTACTGACGACGCATCTGAGACGGATGAGGCTTCTTCCGAAGGGCGTAGATCCTTCATGCCGAACGTCTGCGTTGATAGGATGTCCTGCGTGGTCACTGTAGAAGACGTCTTCGTCTTCTTCTTAGATGTGATCTCAGGGATGAGGATGGGCGGCTCATCGTAGACATCTACTTCTTCCAGAGGGACGATCTCAGCTGAAAAAGATCTCGTCTTCTGCGTTGCCCCGTGTGGAGACTTCGCCGAAGTCTTAGCTGTAGCTGCCTTCTTCCTCTGGGAAGACGATGCCCTAGTCTTCTTAGACTGCGAAGAGGGTGTCTCAGATGTAGATGACCTCTTCCTCGAGCCAGCGTTGTCTAAGGCGGCAACCTCCTCCGTGAGAGCGACCCCGGTAGACCACTGGAATGGTGTATCTGCGCAGACACCAACTGCCGGTCCTCTGCAAGCTTAGCCGGTTTAGACATGTCGTGTAATTCTCGTCTGGACCTGTCCTTTGCACGTCTAGACAGATAATATGAATATTTGTAAAATGCAATATCAGACAGGTGAAAACACAACTGACAACGAGTGTCAGATAAACATATAGGCTTGCAATTAGGACATAGGTTATGCGGATCAACAGCAGACAAACGACACCTACAGTCAGAATAAGATTTCATCAATTGTAAACAATGTGAATAATCACGTAAAAACGTGACAAAAACGGAGAAATTTGAGAATTAATTCCGTACAATATTGTAGATAAATGTTAGCTAAAGCCTTATACAGCTAATTTAGAAGAAAAGCCTAAATAATAAAAGGATATAAAGCCGTATAGGGGACCAGGTGCTCTCACAACCGCCCACTCGGGGGAATCAGGAGAGAGTGAAGAGCATGGCAGACGGGTGGCGCCGTTCCCGCCAAAACCTGGCAAGGGAGGTGACTCCTGGTAAGTGATTTTACGTCCGCTTTTTTGAAGGGAGCTTCAAAAGGGGATTCAAGTGTTCCACTAGCATTCGGAAGGAAAGGGAGACAAGCAATAAGCATGAGTCAGGATAAGGAAAAATCTTCATATATTGTACTTGTGTGGGGAACTGAACCTGCGTCTTGAAGTGTCACAAGTGAACACTTTAACCACAAAGCTCCCCACCAGGTGGAAAAAAGAGGTCAGGATTCAAAAACTGGGCCTGAGAGCCCATTTTCCTTAAAAATTCTCTATGATTGAAAAACATAACTTTATGACTAATTTTCATTGTACTTCATTAGGACTCTAACGATTCAGTGGGGTCGTGACACATATTCAAACACTACAGGTGGTACTTAACAATTTGTAGCACTTTCAATTCATGAGATGATATTCTTTTTTTCTGTAGGTGAATCACAATCCTGAATGATTTACTTTAACATTTCACAGATCAAAGAAGGGATTCTCACTTACACCAAAGAGTATCCTAACTGTGTTTAAGAGTTGTCTACCCTGAAAACAGCAGAGTTACCTACCTTGTATATAGAACTTGGCAGGAGGTTTGTCATCCTCACCCATCCCAGCTCAAGTTGATGGGTCCATGAGTCGTCATCCCTGTTGGTCTTGGTGTAGCTGCAACATCACACATGGCTACAGCAACATCATCACACACAGCAACATTGTACACATGGCTACAGCAACATCATCACACACAGCAACATTGTACACATGGCTATAGCAACATCATAAAAACAACATCTCACACAGCAAAATCACATACAGCTACAGAAACATCATCATCATATCACCATAACAGCAACACCACATACAACAGTATCACACTCAAGTCCAGCAACAGAAAGTAAGAACAGACACTTGCTGCCATATTGAAACAGGTATCAAAACATAAGTTGAAGTAGCTGCAACATCACACACGGCTACAGCAACAGCTACAGCAACATCATAAACACAGCCACAGCAACATTATAAACACAGCAACATCACATACAGATACAGCAACATCATAAACACAGCAACATCACATACAGATACAGCAACATCATAAACACAGCCACAGCATAAACACAGTCACAGCAACATCATAAACACAACATCATAAACACAGCCACAGCAACATCATAAACACAGCAACATCACATGCAGATACAGCAACATCATAAACACAGCCACAGCAACATCATAAACACAGCAACATCACATACAGATACAGCAACATCATAAACACAGCCACAGCATAAACACAGCCACAGCAACATCATAAACACAGCAACATCACATACAGATACAGCAACATCATAAACACAGCCACAGCATAAACACAGTCACAGCAACATCATAAACACAGCAACATCATAAACACAGCCACAGCAACATCATAAACACAGCAACATCACATACAGATACAGCAACATCATAAACACAGCCACAGCAACATCATAAACACAGCAACATCATAAACACAGCCACAGCAACATCATAAACACAGCAACATCACATACAGATACAGCAACATCATAAACACAGCCACAGCAACATCATAAACACATCAACATCACATACAGATACAGCAACATCATAAACACAGCCACAGCAACATCATAAACACATCAACATCACATATACAGCAACATCATAAACACAGCCACAGCAGCAACAACATCATAAACACACAGCAACATCATAAACACAGCAACATCACATACAGATACAGCAACATCATAAACACAGCCACAGCAACATCATAAACACAGCAACATCACATACAGATACAGCAACATCATAAACACAGCCACAGCAACATCATAAACACAGCAACATCATAAACACAGCCACAGCAACATCATAAACACAGCAACATCACATACAGATACAGCAACATCATAAACACAGCAACAACACATACAGATACAGCAACATCATAAACACAGCCATAGCATCATCATAAACACAGCCACAGCAACATCATAAACACTGCCATAGCAACATCATGAACACAGCCATAGCAACATCATAAACACAGCCACAGCAACATCATAAACACAGCCACAGCAACATCATAAACACAGCAACATCACACACAGATACAGCAACATCATAAGCACAGCAACAGCAACATCATAACACAGCAACATCACACACAGCAACATCATAACACAGCATCATCACACACACCAACATCACACACAGCAACAATCATAAACACAGCAACAGCAACATCATAAACAGCAACCTCATAAACACAGCCACAACAACCTCATAAACAGAATGGAATCGCTCAAACAAAGTTATGAACAATGATGTCTACAGTGGTATTACTCACACAAAGTTACGGAGAGTGAGATCTGTGATCCCAAGTTGGCCATCTTTTTCTGTGAGTCTCCACTGGGCAAACTTGAAGCACACCTCGTTGAGTCTGTTGACTGTGGCCTGCTGGGCTGTGGACAGAGAGTCAGGGCCTCACAAACTGATGTACAAATGGTCATCCTCCTCATCCTGACAAAACAGCCACAGGAGTGAGTGAGTGAGTTTAGTTTTATGCCGCTCTTAGCAATATTCCAGCAATATCACAGCGGGGGACACAAGAAATGGGCTTCACACATTGTACCCATGTGCGGAATTGAACCTGGGTCTTCGGCGTGATAAGCGTATGCTTTTAACCACAAGGCTCAATGGGACACCAGAAACGGACTTCCCACAAAATACCTATGTGTGAAATCGAACCCAGGTAAAAACTTTAACCACTGGGCCACAACAGGTATAGGATGGATGTTTGTTGTTTAACGCAACACACAGCAATATTCCAGCTATATGGCGGCAGTCGTAAATAACTGAGTCGGGACCAGACAATACAGTGATCAACAGCATGAGTATCGATCTATGCAGTTGGGATACGATGACATGTGTCAACCAAGTCAGCAATCCTTACCACCCAAACCCGTTACTCGCCTTTTACGACAAGCATGGGTAGCTGAAGGTCAATTCTAACCCAGACCTTCGCAGGTCTAACAGCAATAACCGCCTCCGTGGTGTAGTGGTTAGAGCATCCGCCCGGAGAGCTGAAGGTCGCGGGTTCGATCCCCGACTGCGTCATACCAAAAGACGTTAAAATATGGTACTTGTTGGACCCTGTCTGGCTCTCGGCATTAATGGGTACAACAAGGACTGGTCAGCTCGGAGTCAGTATAATGTGTCTGAGTGGGGTATTCATGCTTCACTGCGGCATGGTATCTCAGTGGGCTAGCACTATAAAACCAGCTTCAGTCTGGGCTAGTACAAGCAGCCGCACATACACATACACACGCATGCACGTTCGTCATATGAGCGAAATATTCTCAAGCACGACGTTAAACCCAATTTCACCTCACCTCTAACAGCTATAGGAAGTACAAAACATAATAACTTCCTTACCTTTCTCCATCTTCATTTGGGCTTTGACTTGCAACTGACTTTCCTTGTAACAACTGGGAACAGAAAACAGATACAGTAAACATAACAAACATGCATGTAACAAACAGGAATTTGTTCATCCATGTCTCTTGTCGTGTATTTCCATCCAAATGTGTACGACAAACTATGGTAACTGCGAACTAAAACTAGTGGTCCCTTTGAGTTCTGTACCCCAAATACTGATTCTGAAATCTTGTGAGATGGGTCAAATTCTGAATGTGCTCATCTACCTCAGATTTATCCAGGAATTTCATACATAAGCCTCTGTCAGGCCAGTGAATGAACATTTTTGTTCTCTAGTAGTTTAAAATCTACTTGCTTATCTTGTACAAGTGTGAGCTTTAAGCAGTTAATTGCGGCCTTGTTTCACTGCATATCTGTTGGTTTATGAAGAGCTTTGCTAAACGTTAGGATGCCTAAAAATTCTAATTTCATCATGTCCCACAATGCATCCTAACGGTTAATGCATTGTGGGACATGATGAAATTAGAGTTAAAAAATATAATACCGATAAAGAGGTGTGTAGGTCATGAGAGACAAACGGCTAATCTGACCAAGTCTTAAATGACTTAGTAAAATCATTCTGACACTTAAATGATGGATATACAAATACCAAATGATGAATTTATAGAAATTAAATTATGAATTTGTATATCATATCAATTTCATTCTCAGCTCCCTTAGGGACCGTTCATAATTTATGGCAAGGGGGTGATGATGACTTTTATGCAGGAGCATGTACAATGTGAATAACCCCCCTAAAATTTAAGTACAAAGAAAGATACTCCCCTTGCATATCATGTGCAAAATCAATGACCCTTCCCCCTTCCCATAATTTTTAAGCATAAGTTTTAATACTTTTATGTACCAAATTGCTGACACCCCACCCACCCATTCCCTACATGTGTACAAAATTTTCATGCCAAAGATTCAGGTTTCATTCCCCATAGAAGTACAATGTGTGAAGCTCATTCTGGTGTCCCCTGCCTTGATATTGCTGGAATATTGCTAAAAGCGGTGTAAAATGATACTAACACCCTGTACAAGACGGCAACAACCAAACAGAAAGCTTTGACCGTAGGGTCTCCGTGACCTTCCCATGCTTAATTCAACTGACCTGATTCTGATAGACAGCTCTTCATTGAGTTTGTTGATCTGCTCCTTGACGGAGTAAACATCATTCTCCAAGATGTCACTCCGTTCAGACAAACTGTGTAACACAAACACACAAAAACACCAGCATCAATGTAAGAATGACACAACTGACAAAGAAATAATCTCTAGAACAAAATGACAGGGCACTTTTCACACAGGCTTATGCCTTTTATCCAATTGTTTGATCAGCATTCTAGAAGTTGGTGAGTCAAAAATGAAACATACAACTTTATGGATGACAACTTCTTGTTTATTGCATAGAGCTTTATGCAATAAACAAGAAGGTGTCATCCATACAGTTGTATGTTTCATTTTTTACTTTTATAAATTTTATGTGAAATCAGGTGTAACAACAAGTACTACCTCTTAAACCCTTACATTGTGTCACAGCTAGGCACCTGACAGGGGATGCTCTACCCACTACACCATAGGGACATCTGTACAGATAATGTTAGGATTGAATTTCCCTAAAATCAAATTGTTGCAGAGCGGCCTTGTAACAAACTATGGTCCAACAAAGTAGAAGGAATCAGTTTAGAGGAAATATTCAAATGTCATCCCCCTGGATAATGTGGGTATTTATTGTTAGAAACAGAAGAATATCTGAGTAAGAATCAAGACTACTTACTCATCTTCAGAAGGACATTCCTCCAGGTCCTTGTGAATCATGTAGAGATCCCGCTCTAGCTTCCGCTGCAGCAACACCTGCCCTCTGCAACACAAGCGTTATATCACTCTTGGGCCCACTTGCACAGAGGCAATCTTAGCGCTACAATGATTGTAACTCCCATTCTCCAACATAGGCTTACGATAGTCGTGGTGCTAAGATTGCTTTGTGCAAGTGGGCCCTGAAGGTGTAGCAAGAAATGTGTGTTACCTGTGAGCTGTTGGATAAAGTGTGCTTCCTGACCAACTCCCAAAGCTGTTCGTGTGTGTGTTAACCTGGCTAGCTCCTAAAGCTGCAGCATAAAGTCTGTGCGAGCACGTGTGTGAGCGTGTGTATATGTGCTACCTCATTTGCTCCTGAAGCTACAGTAGAAAGTAAGTGTGTGTGTGTGTGTGTGTGTGTGTGTGTGTGTGTGTGTGTGTGTGTGTGTGTGTGTGTGTGTGTGTGTGTGTGAGAGGCATACATACGATTGTGTGTGCATGTATTACCTGACTTGCTCCTGAAGCTGCAGAGGAGTGTGTGTGTGTGTGTGTGTGTGTGTGTGTGTGTGTGTGTGTGTGTGTGTGTGTGTGCGTGTGTGGTGCGTGTGTGGTGTGCGTGTATTACCTTTGCTCCTGAAGCTGCAGTAGAAAGTGTGTGTGTGTGGTTGAGAGCGCAGTGAGATACATACGTGTGTGTGGGTGTGCCTGTGTGGCTCCTGAAGCTGCAGTAGAATGTGTGAGCGTACATACGTGTGTGTGTATTACCTGACTTGCTCCTGAAGCTGCAGGATGGGAGTCTTCTGGTCCTCCACACAACACAGCATCAGCTTGAACCTCATACTCTGCAGCTTCTCACTGGCCTCCTGCAAGGGGATCACACACATACACTTCACCTTCATTACTCAACAGAAAATATGTTATCACTAACATCGCAGACGCCTCACAATCATTTTTTAAGAGTGAACAATTAGTGATATTCTAATAAAAATCAAGTGTGGCACAGGCTGAATGAGCAAAGTCTGATGCTGCTGCCAAATATGACCACCCAATTCAATTTAATCACTTGATAGTATGCTGTACCCTGTCTACTGTCACTCAGTGGGACCTCATGCACCAATAATCAGAACATATTCATCATTGGCCCTTATCAAAATTCCCATTTTCTAATAAATTCCGCCCGAGAGCGGAAGGTCGCACAATCCCCACGTCATGCATATTCAATTAATGGGTACAAGGTCATGGGTATTTCTCTAAATCATCATAGTGCAAGCATATTTTTAGTCATAAAGATGAGAATAATGCTGTACTGCCTGGATGACAATTTACATATCTTTTAACAAAACAGAAATAGAAATACGTCAGTATATTATGAAACTACAATGCCAGAGTCACAGTATTGAGTTGTTCAAGTGACAAGAAAGACAGGTGTCATGCAGTGTGACCTTGGCCTTGGGCTCCACTCGCAGCAGTAGGTTGTTCACGATGTCTAGGATCATGGAGTACTGAAGCTGAAACAACAGGTGCATACTGGTCACAACAATTCAAAAAACTAGTCAAACCTGAAATTAGGATTTCCATATATGCTCAACATTTGATATTAGATGAGATGTACTTAAGTGACTTGGTGACATGGAAATGGATTTGCATTTCCTGGATGAGAAAGCCTTAGTTTACAATCTGTGAACCATATTGACGACATTGATGGATGTTTATCCGACATGGGTCACTGATACTACATTCACAGATTCACAGGGATCTTGGCTTGCCCAGCATCTATACATTCAAAGTTTCTACTTGTAACTAAACTTTCAACAACACCTTGACTAAATAATCTAGTGAAATATTTTCAATGCAGTTCTACGATCAGTTCACATGAATTGCACAAAAATCAGCACATGCAACATCAAGATCATTTGAAATCATGTCACATGTCATCGTAATCCCAATTGAGCAGAACAATGATCATGATGTTGATCACTGGATTGTCTGGTCCAAACTCGATTATTTACAGACTGGTGCCATATAGCTGGAATATTGCTGAGTGCAAAGTAAAACTAAACTCACTCACTCACAAATAACACTACAGCAAGTGGTGACTTACTGTGTTGGAGCACATGTTGAGGTCATGATGTAGAAGGGTGAAGGTGTCCACTCCTTCCTCCACACCCATCATGTCCTCGTCCTCGGCAGGCTGCAGGCACAAAACATCACGAGTGGCTGAATATAGTCTTACACCCCTTTTAGCAACATTACAGAAATATCCTGTGAGGGAACTCCTGAAACGGCTTCACATGTTGTACCCATGGGGGCATCAAACCCTGTCCTTCAGTGTGATGAGCAAACACTTGAACCCCTACCCCAAATGCCCCAAACATCTGATGAGGTGAGGTGAGGTGAAATTGGGTTTTACGTCGTGCTTGAGAATATTTTGCTCATATGACGACGTGTGTATGTGTATGTGCGGCTGCTTGTACTAGCCCAGACTGAAGCTGGTTTTATAGTGCTAGCCCACTGAGATACCATGCTGCAGTGAAGCATGAATACCCCACTCAGACACATTATACTGACTCCGAGTCGACCAGTCCTTGTTGTACCCATTAATGCCGAGCGCCAGGCAGGGACCAACAAGTACCATATGTTAACGTCTTTTGGTATGACGCGGTCGGGGATCGAACCCGCGACCTTCCGCTCTCCGGGCGGACGCTCTAACCACTACGGCGACCTTCCGCTCTCCGGGCGGACACTCTAACCACTACAGCACCGAGGCAGTCCAGCTTAATGTGGGATAATGGCAGGATGATGCATGCCTGACACGTTAGTACTAGTGGTGTGACAATGCATCGATGCATGAGCCGACTATACTGTGAATCGATACAAAGTTTTACACTGTCCAATATCCCGATACGATACGTCAAAAGGGCCACGATACATCGATGTTTAACTTTGAATATTGCCAAATCGCGATATCTGTCCAGATATACCGTTTTGAAAAGCAGCACAAATTTCATTCTATTATGTGACTGCAGTGACAGCATCCAGCAACATGCAGATATTAAAGATGTTTTTGATGTATGTTTAATTTTTTATATATTTTGTACTTGTTAGTTTTTTAAAATGCCTAATGTGACTTTTTTCAAATTAGAGTTCTTTCATTTAAACATTGAATTTGTTTTGATCTTAAGGCGTTTTACAGTTAGTGTTAGAATTAAAGGTTTTAGTATCGCCACCCTTATATCAGGATTTATATCGTATCGCAGCTTAAGTGCACAATACTCTGGTAATATATCGTCGTGACTAAACTTTCAGTATCATGATTCATCATATCACAGGTTGTATGCCAATACCAGCACTAGTTAGTACATCTATGGTGTAGATATCCCAGGATCGCAATCAGGGCCTGTTATCATCGATGGTGTATATGACTGTGGAGTTTGAGTACAAGGAACTGACCGGCTTGGGTACTTGTGGCATCTTCTCAGGTTCCACCTCGCCGTAGTTGACATAGAACAGCTGACATTTACATCGGGAGATGATTCGCTGCAGCTGGATGCCGTCACTGGTGGAGCTCTGTTGTTGGAGAAGACACACTATCTTACTATAATAGAGGAATAACTGCAGGATACAAACAACAGGCCTATCAAACAGCATGAGCCAATAACTATCCGAACATGGTATATCTAGCATGAAATAATCTCCTCTGAAGAATCATTTTCTCTGAAGACCTCAGTGTGTGCTGCTGGACTCTCATTCAACTGTATGCTTGGATGCCTGACTGCCAAAGACGACCAGCTCCATGTCAGACCTACACAGCTACAGACCTACAGACCAACTCACCTCCTCCGAAGGTCCCACGGTATCACCAACCACTCTGCCCACACTGTGGCCACTGCTGACCATCTCGGGCACGTCAGACAGATCCTCCTCAAATTACTATACTCTCATTCAACTGTATGCTAGGATGACAACTACTCCTAACTCACCTCCTCCGAAGGCCCCACGGTATCACCAACCACTCCGCCTACACTGTGGCCACTGCCAACCATCTCGGGCACGCCAGACAGATCCTCCTCAAACCGATCTTCAACATTCTCTATGGTCAGCCAGGGAATGTTCTCATCATCAAAGTCAGGGCCTTGGTCCACTGTGGCATAGTACTGAAATATTGACAGATACATCATATCCCAATTGCGCAGATCGATGCTCATGATGTTGATCACTGGATTGTCTGGTCCAGACTCGATTATTTATAGACCACAGTCACATAGCTGGAATATTGCTGAGTGCGGTGTTAAACAACAAACAAACAAAACTGACAGATACATTTCACATCACTGGCATACATATAGATAGATATTATTACACTCACATGTGTGTCATACTGATTTTATAATATCTGTGTGAGAAGTTTACTATTAAGTGTGTGAGTTGGGTTTTTCGCAGCCCAATTCAATATTCCAGCAATATCAAGTCAGGGAACACCAGAAATGGGCTTCACACATTGTACCCATGTACGGAATAGAACCAAAGCCTTGACGAGCGGACGCTTTAACCACTAGGCTACCCCACCGCACAAGCAAGGGTAATATATAAATTCTTAAATAGAATTATTTCTTAACCCTCTTCAGCTCCCCTAGCAAAAATGTACTTATCGCGACTACCATCTCAAAAATGCTAAATGATGTCAGTATTCTTCAGCCATGATGTCATTTCGTGTGACACTGTTCCGACCTTACTCTGACCTTGACCTCCATGTATTCCAGAGTCCACACAGATATGTGACTGACCTGCATGCACTCCACGCTGCTGACCCACGTGGTTTTGCTGCGCAGTTGACTCTGCTTCCAGATTGGGTGATGGTCACATGACAGCACCTGTGCCTTGGCCGCACTCACGATCACGTAGCCTGGTGTCTCGATCCCCTTCATCAACATCTGACTGTTGTGGAGCTCGACTAGAGAAAGGAAGACGGTGAGTGAGTGAGTGAGTGGGTTTAAACATAGTTTTTAGTAGTCTTCCAGTCATATTATGGTGTGTCATGTTAATGTGGAAGTAAAGCCTGATGTGATGTTTGTATCACCGTATATTACCGTCTATAAGCCGAATTTTGAGGACCGAAAAAAGCAGTCTGTAGAAGGGGGTCGTCTCATCCATGGGTTACGCTTTCGTCAAACTTTTTTCCAGGGGTAAGAAAACAACATCGTATCACTTCGCGTGAAGAAACAACAGAAGATGACTTTGTCAGTAGAGACATTAAATTTGCAATTACACATCACTAGACAAGATTATTTACCTTTAAGTTCTAAGTTGTTTTGCTGGGCATTGTATTATTTGCAGGGATTAAGATTACCGGCAATCAAGTTCAAACATGCACAATAACATAACGGGACGAATTCTGACGCAGTCTTCAGTAAAATACAATACAGAGTACTATTATTTAACCCAAAGAAATATAACCTAGCATTGTGTAATTTTAATTACAGTTTTATGTAAAATATATATAATCAACACTAAGGTTATAATGGACCCTCATGAGCGTGGTAAGCAGAAGCTATGCAACGCACATGGAATGGGGTAAAATACGGAAGCCATTTAAATTCACACATTTTTACCGATGTTACTGTAAACTAGCAGTCAATGGAAAACGAGGCGGTAATCAGTTCGTGATTGTTGAATGGGGTAAAATAAGCAAGCCAGTTTGTTGCTACAATAAATATGATATTTAGAGAAACAAAATATATTATGCATTTTCTGTCAACTACACTTCGTTTCGATCCGTGAGTAGATGCAATATATATGATTGTGAATTCTTTGAATAATGTGGACCAAAGTTATAATTATTGGTAACTGCCAGTTGTCTGTGGTCTGTGTTTGCCGCGATTAGGACCCCATCGCGGGGGATCGACTTATGCACGAAACATACCATTTTGACACTGATTTTAAGGGTCAAGTTTGGGGGTCATCTTATCCATGGGGTCGGCTTATAGACGGTAATATACGGTAGGCATCTACTATGTTGGTGAAACTCACAAGCACAGGTCTGGTACTAACAAACCAAAAACTCATCAACTCATCGATTACAGATTTTTGGCATATAAAGGGTTGAAACACTGCAGAGTGTGTGACACAAGTTTCAGAGGACTGACACTGGTCATGCAGGGAGAATCTGACACAAGTAGATCCTGTCAAGTCTAAGGGAGGCAACTCTGCAAAGCAATTCGGTCACCTGTGTTACCCTAGATAACAGGGGTCAAGCACAAATCTCATACATGTAGATCCTGGCATGTCTAAGGAGGCAACTCTGCAAAGCAATTCGGTCAACTATGTTATTCTGGATGTACAGGTCGTTGATGTTAAACTATAACAGAAGGATCCATGCATATAGATTTTGATACATTACAGAACACCCACAATCTTCAGAGAGAATGTACTAAAGCTATTTATGGATCACTTCATCTGTTCCTGAAGGTTCTGTACAAGCTGCTCCTCCTGGCAGAACAGTAACACGAAGACACTCACTGTGCCAGTTCTTGCGCAGGACGTCATCCGTCTGACAGGCTGCTATACCTCGGAGCTGCTCCACGTTGTCACTAGATGGCTGGAGGTGACACGCAATCATAAGTCATTCATGATAAACCAGTTAATTATTAAAACAACATTAAAATAATTGCTCCTGACAATTCATAACAATGTTGATAATAGTCGGTTAAAAGACATTCCAGCTGTGTGACCGCTGGCGTACACATTCATACAAGAAACTTGTACTTGGCCTATAAATCTAAACAATAAACTGGATCTGGTAAACTTTGAACTGAACACACAACATCAGTCAACGACATCAGGATAAGATGAAACATTACTGGAAACACTAATGTTTTTAAATCTGTACATACCTACATTCATAACACTAAACGATTTAAATAACTCTGTCGAGAGGGCTTATTTAAGTTGGATAACTTGTGCCCAATCTGTTTGTTAATTGAATAAAATATGTTTCAATCAATCAATCAACACTACTGGCCAGTCTCCAGATCCTGACCACCTCATCCCAATTTTGGCGTCTGCTACACCAATCATGAGGTAATGGAGACCTGGATCCACACTGCTCACCTCCTCTGTGAAGGCGATCGACTTGCTGTCGGACTCAGACACCAGCTTCATCAACATGGACAGGGCATGGCCAGACTGCATCTTGGTCTGACTCGGGCGAAGTCCGACGTAAACGGTGAGTTCGGGCTGATACAGGATGAGGAACGACTCTTCTGAAAATTGAAACGCTATACAAGTTCCCTTTAAGCTACAAATTAAGGGCACATCATCCTTCACAAGGCATCACTATACGCAAGGTGTGTTGTTTCTACAGTGAGAAAGAAAGTGCCAGTGAGGAAATACAGAAATACGGTAGAATGCAGCTTCTGATATGTCACAGAATGAACAAGTGTTTGCCAATGATATGGCAATGTTCCCCGCTGCTAAAGAATGGAATATTCATAACATTTTTACTGCTTTTTATTTTTTGGTCACATACAAGATGCCTGAAATGACTGGTGTCTGCATAATCACCCCATGTAGGCTGTCAACATAATTGAACACATTGGGTGCAATGTTTAATGAGATATCGCGTTTACGTAAGTTTGAAAAGTGGTCAAAGTGTCGTGGTGACCTTGAACATAAGGTCAAGGTCAAACAAATCAACTGCTGTCTGCATAATCCCCCAATGTAGGCTGTCACCAAATTTGAAGACATTGGGTACAACAGTCCATGAGATTTCGTGTTAAAAAGAGTTTGAAAAGAGGTCAAAGTGTCGTGGTGACCTTGACATTATTACCTCCTTAATTATCAAATCGATTTGATAGGAAACCAAGGAATTCTTGTGTGAGTACATCTCCATAAATATAAAAAGACCTCCCGGACTACAGTTCATAATATTGTTGATAATATTGTGGTCAGGCTCGTGCTGAACATTGTCACTGATTTCTTACTGACTACAGTTTTTGTGTCTGTGAAGTTATTTTTCTTACATAATTGTAAGCATTGTCTTCAATATATCTGTGTGTTTATGTGAGATGTAAAACCAGTGTCTACACTGTGTAACATAAGAGATAACATGACTTTGAGTTCCTCACCCTCTGACTGTCCTCCACCTTGAACCCCTTCAGGGCCTCGGAAGACACATTCCGTCTCAGAGTGCGGGCCTTCTGGATGCTGTCGTACAAGTTGATGACCACATTCCGGTTCTTCTTGGTCCAGGCACCCTTCATGTCATAGATCTGGACCCGCTGGTGGGGCTCGTCCTGGAGGTAGCAGGTTTTAAGCATGAATGCATTGTTTTTCTCTGGAGCTTACTGATTTCTGACCAATTCCCCCAGTGACATATCATTAGGCAATTGACATAAGTTCCATCAATTAATATTATTGTTACTAGCTAACTAACATCATTGACCTTAATTAAGTGTTCCAAATATGTCGGAGAAGCTTTATCTATATGTTCCTCACTACTATCATAGTATACCCTTCATCTGCACAGCTTTCTAGCCACCACCACGCTGTATGTATGTATTGTGTGTTATGTAATGTACATGGGCCTGTGGCCTTTAGACTGAACAGACATCTTCTAATCTTGAAACTTACAGTGTGCAAAACACATCATCATCATCATCATCATCATCAACATCATCATCATCGTCATCATCATCAACAGTATGTATGGCTGTACAGCACCATCAGAAATGTTCCAGTTATGTCATGTAAACTGTTTACCAACAAATACAACTTACAGGTTCCATGCTGCCGAGCTTTGTCTCATTCTCCCAGCTGGAATCAGATCTCTGGTAGGACACTCTGGAATGGAGAGAAGCATCACACAATATATTTCTCACCTTTTTATTTGGGGTGTGTCTGGATGCGGGCAATGATTCAACATACATACCATTAAAGACCACATTCACATACCTTGCTATGCTCATGAAGAAACTCTTCTCCAACGGGTTCCTAATGGATACATTCATCTGAAATACATAGTCAAGACTGTAGATGTAAAACATGCACAGGTGAGGTGAGGTGAAATTGGGTTTAACATCGTGCTTGAGAATATTTCACTCATATGACGACGTGCATGCATGTGTATGTGTATGTGCGGCTGCTTGTACTAGCCCAGACTTAAGCTGGTTTTATAGTGCTAGCCCACTAAGATACCATGCCGCAGTGAAGCATGAATACCCCACTCAGACACATTTTACTGACTCCGAGCCGACCAGTCCTTGTTGTACCCATTAATGCCGAGCGCCAGGCAGGGACCAACAAGTACCATAATTGAACGTCTTTTGGTATGACGCGGTCGGGGATCGAACCCGCGACCTTCCGCTCTCCGGGCAGACGTTCTAACCACTACACCACGGAGGCGGTTAAAACATGCACAGGAGAAATAGTAGCATCTCAATAACTACATCACAATGCCATCGCCCTACAGCACTGAACATGACAGGCTGACTCACAGGCAATGATGTTTTCACAGAACATATTTTTTTCCTTTACTCATAAATGAGCCATGACCGAGTGAGTTGGGCTTAATGCTGCTTTGTACAGTACAGCATGTTCAAGATGAACATAAACATGAAAACAAGGTTGGGGAAGAAATAGCCTAGCTTGGACAGAATCTCCCCCTTTTGATATAAGAACAAGGGTTTGAAACAATTAGCCTTTAAAGTTGATTCAAGGGTGGGGAAAGTTTGGCCTAGGACAAACTTTCCGAGGGGAAGATAAGGCCAAGGGGCAAACTCCTAGGCCAAAGTTTCCCCACTGGTATTTCTGATATATCATGAATAGTGTGACATTTCACTTGCCATAGCCACTAGTCACTAGATTTCACTGCTAGTCCTTCTTAAACAAGAGACAAATTTTTAGTATATTTACATTTTCTGTCAGTTTTATACAGTTTCAACAAAATTGAAGCCTTGGGTCTCCATTTACTATACAGCTTTCAAATACTACCAGTCAACAACAACAACCACCATTAATGGATTTATCTTGTCCATGGCACACTTTTAGTTGTCTCAGGCTAACAGACTACCAAGAATTTCAAAGGCTGATCTGACAATGATATTATCATGATAACACATACAGGTGAACTTCTGCACATAACTCCTGTGCCAAATAGTTTAAAATTACAAAATCATAACTGGGGTTGTGACAGTTACCCGAGTAACCTGGTCAGGTAAATAGTTGTCATTATTCAGATCCACACCTGTTTCATCACATGACTGGTCACGTGTTACTGATAGTCTGATGCATTACGTAAATTCACTGAACCAAAATAATGAACCAAACTTACAGTTAACAAGCATTGTCACTAAGGTGACATAATTCCCCACTGCAAATTATCAAATAGAACTTAAAAAGTAATGAAAGTGAAGGTCGTAATTTAAGATGAAGATAAATGTAAACAAAAACATGACCAGTCAACCTCTCTTGATATCTTGCTCTGTGGTTGTTCAAACGCCCAAATATTTTCAAGACTCACTTTGACCTTGACATGAATGTCTTAGTGTATGAAATATGCAAAAATAGTAATAAAGAAACTGCTTATTGAAAAACATTCAAGGGAAGTCTTGAAAGTCTATGAAGAAAATCCAGTGAACTGTTCTTGAGATTTCTCGCTGACAATCTTAACACGCAGTTTAAGATGCTGAAATCTTCAAAGTGTCGCCATGACCTTGATAATTAAGTGAAGGTCACCAAAATCGACTGGGCCTTGCACCTTCCCCGGAATGAAGCTTGGTGTCAAATATGAAGAAAGTCCAGTGAATGGTTCCTTGAGATATCCCACTGACAATCTTTACATGCAGGTTAACATGCCGAAATCTTTAAAGTGTCGCTGTGACCTTGAAAATTAAGGGACGGTAACCAAAATAGACTGGGCCCTGCACCTTCCTTCGATGAAGCTTGATGTCGAATATGAAGAAAATCCAGTTGACGGTTCTTTAGGTATTTTGCTGACAAGCTTAACATGCAGCTTAACATGCTGAAATCTTCAGTGTGTCGCCATGAGCTTGAAAATTAGGTGAAGGTCACCAAAATCGACTGGGCCCTGCGCCTTTCCCAGATAAAGCTTGGTATTGAATATGAAGGTCAAGGTCACCAAACTTGACTGGGACCTTTCTTTTACTGTGATGAACCTAGGTACCAAATATGAAAAGAATCCAGTCAACGGTTCTTAAGATATTCCAATTCGTACAGACGGACGGACGGACAGAGCCTTATACTATATCTCACCTGCTTCTCGCTAAATGCGCGGCGGGGATAATAATCATTCTTTAATCCGAAAAATGAGCACGATTCTGTATAAGGCTTTGTGTCACATTTGTGTCACCCAGCCCCTATCATAACCCATGGTTAAAGGTATTAAGAAATCATGTATGTACGGATGAGAATGTTATGGATGTCATCATCTTTATTATGAGGAACACAACATTTTTGGAGTAAATACTTACTCCTTCATCCACCTGATGAAGAAGTAAGTATATACTCTACCTGATGAAGAAGTAAGTATCCCAAAACATTGTGTTCCTCATAATAAAGATGTTGACATCCAAAATATTCTCTTCTTTACGTATATCACTTCTAAATATGATTTAAAGACCTCCTACATGTAGGGTCAGGGCAAGGGTTAAGTTAATACAACCCAGATAAATTTTGAAGTAGGGGGTTACATGTGTAAATCTTTCCAACAAACACACCTCTTCCTCCCGGTCAGCCCGAGACTTGCACAGCCAGAGCTTGGTGGTGCCCAGCTCACAGTTGAGGTAGCGGACACTCCAGTCTGCCCGGGGGCGGTGACTCAGCCCGTCCCCTATGGGGACCAATGTAAGCTTGTTACACATGTGTAGAACGAAGGAGTCTGCCAGCAGCTCACCACCATGTTGGTTGGAGAAAGACATCTTGTAACAAATCTCAAAGCGATGAAAGTTGACGTGTAGTTTGATTTTTCTGGAAAATTAATATTTGATAAGGATGTACTGTTATCTCTCTCTAATAAATTACTTCTTCTTCATTAGTAATATAGAGTTAATTTGATCACTCACTTCGTGTGCTGGATATTAGGTGCCCCACTCTTGAGGGTATGGTTAGAATCTGGGACTCAGCCGAAAGTGTGCGATTTCATTTATTTCACTTGCACAGTAGGCAACCTGGCTTATAGGTTTGGCTGCACCATAAAATAATGTCATAGCACGATGACAGCTCTAAGTTGGAGGATTTATTGTTACCTGCACCAGCAGCAACCTGTTACTAAATGTAACCTGCACCAGCAATTTTAACATGCACCAGTGCAGGTTGTAAATAGCAAAATTGCACCAAGTGTAATCCTAAATATAACATATGTTGTAGTGGTGTACCTGTAGTGTCTAGTCAGCTGCAACTTCCTGGGTGACGTGACATTGAACAGCTTCCCTCGTCTGACTGGGCGGGTGGTGCTGAACATACATTGCTGAAACAACAGGTGCTTGTGTTACACAGGATCATCCTTGGAACATCCTGACACACTCCTGTTATCTAGACTAGTATAAAAAACAACAGGTGCTTGTGTTACACAGGATCATCCTTGGAACATCCTGACACACTCCTGTTATCTAGACTAGTATAAAAACAACAGGTGCTTGTGTTACACAGGATCATCCTTGGAACATCCTGACACACTCCTGTTATCTAGACTAGTACCACAAACAACAGGTGCTTGTGTTACACAGGATCATCCAGTGAACATCCTGACACACTCCTGTTACCTAGACTAGTATAAAAACAACAGGTGCTTGTATTACACAGGATCATCCGTGAGAACATCCTGACACACTCCTGTTATCCTAGACTAGTATAACAAACAACAGGTGCTTGTGTTACACAGGATCATCCTTGGAACATCCTGACACACTTCTGTTACCTAGACTAGTATCAAAAACAACAGGTGCTTGTGTTACACAGGATCATCCTTGGAACATCCTGACACACTCCTGTTACCTAGACTAGTATAAAAACAACAGGTGCTTGTGTTACACAGGATCATCCGTGGGTGCTTGTGCTAACATCCTGACACACTCCTGTTATCTAGACTAGTATCAAAAACAACAGGTGCTTGTGTTACACAGGATCATCCTTGGAACATCCTGACACACTCCTGTTATCTAGACTAGTATCAAAAACAACAGGTGCTTGTGTTACACAGGATCATCCTTGGAACATCCTGACACACTTCTGTTACCTAGACTAGTATCAAAAACAACAGGTGCTTGTGTTACACAGGATCATCCTTGGAACATCCTGACACACTCCTGTTATCTAGACTAGTATCACAAACAACAGGTGCTTGTGTTACACAGGATCATCCTTGGAACATCCTGACACACTCCTGTTATCTAGACTAGTATCAAAAACAACAGGTGCTTGTGTTACACAGGATCATCCTTGGAACATCCTGACACACTCCTGTTATCTAGACTAGTATACAAAACAACAGGTGCTTGTGTTACACAGGATCATCCTGTTATCTAGAGAACATCCTGACACACTCCTGTTATCTAGACTAGTATAAAAAACAACAGGTGCTTGTGTTACACAGGATCATCCTTGGAACATCCTGACACACTTCTGTTATCTAGACTAGTATCAAAAACAACAGGTGCTTGTGTTACACAGGATCATCCTTGGAACATCCTGACACACTCCTGTTATCTAGACTAGTATAAAAACAACAGGTGCTTGTGTTACACAGGATCATCCTTGAACATCCTGACATCCTGACACACTCCTGTTATCTAGACTAGTATCAAAAACAACAGGTGCTTGTGTTACACAGGATCATCCTTGGAACATCCTGACACACTCCTGTTATCTAGACTAGTATAAAAACAACAGGTGCTTGTGTTACACAGGATCATCCTTGGAACATCCTGACACACTCCTGTTACTCCTGTTATCTAGACTAGTATAAAAAAACAACAGGTGCTTGTGTTACACAGGATCATCCTTGGAACATCCTGACACACTCCTGTTATCTAGACTAGTATCAAAAACAACAGGTGCTTGTGTTACACAGGATCATCCGTAGAACATCCTGACACACTTCTGTTATCTAGACTTGTATACAAAACAACAGGTGCTTGTGTTACACAGGATCATCCTTGGAACATCCTGACACACTCCTGTTATCTAGACTTGTATACAAAACAACAGGTGCTTGTGTTACACAGGATCATCCGTAGAACATCCTGACACACTCCTGTTATCTAGACTAGTACCACAAACAACAGGTGCTTGTGTTACACAGGATTATCCTTGGAACATCCTGACACACTCCTGTTATTTAGACTTGTATACAAAACAACAGGTGCTTGTGTTACACAGGATTATCCTTGGAACATCCTGACACACTCCTGTTATCTAGACTAGTATCAAAAACAACAGGTGCTTGTGTTAAACAGGATTATCCTTGGAATATCCTTACAAGCTCCTGTTATCTAGACAATTACTGACCAATTCACAGGGAGAAGATCTACATATATAATGTTTAATGTGAGCTGCACAGATCACCTAGGTCCCGTTCCAATAAGTAGTCTTAGCACTTGACTATCATAAGCCTATATTAATGTATGGGCGTCACAATCAGGTTAGAGTTAAGAAGTTGGGGTAGGTTGTTAGGCATATTGTAGGGTATGTCATGAAGTAAGATGGCCACCTTGATCTTGTCCAGAAAGCGCAGGGTGCTCGCATAGCAGGTACAGCTGGGTATCCTGGGGTCGTCCTCAGACGTGTCCTTGGTGTCGAGGCTGATGTCCAGGTTCAAGTTCTCGGACCGGAAAGCTCGGAATGAGTCATGTTCCTGGATGGTACAACACCATTACATTTCACATGACAGTTTGCACTTTGTATACTTAATGGTTGCATGATGAAAAAGAGAAGGTGACACATTTTGGTGACATTCCAAGAATAACAAAGCAGAACGCCAAGAAGCATCATTAAACCTATGTCGGAAATCAATCCTGCATCATCCATGACCAGGGCCCTGTTGCACAAAGCTATCATAGCGCTACGACTGTCGTAAGTCTATTTTACAGTATAGGAGGTACGACAGTCACAGCGCTACGACTGTCGTAAGTCTATTATACAGTATAGGAGGTACGACAGTCACAGCGCTACAACTGTCGTAAGTCTATGTTACAGTATAGGAGGTACGACAGTCACAGCTCTACAACTGTCGTAAGTCTATTTTACAGTATAGGAGGTACGACAGTCGTAGCGCTATGATAGCTTTGTGATCCGGCGCCTGACCTTTAATATAGTTTACTGCCATATATATGGTATGAAGATATACATGCTAACATATACTGTTTATGTAAATTTTAATACTGAGTAGAAATTTAGTACATTTCCTGTTGCATGTTATAGAAGTTGACTGATGATAATGTTATACTGACCCCCATGGAGTAGTCCGGGACCTTATCAGGGGCGCACGGCATGACAGAGTGATGGTCATTGGCCCCTCCCAGACACAGCCACTCCAGGCGAACACTGCACACAAACCATTGGTCAAATATCATGGCACGTAAGGAAACATATAAAATTAAGGGACTATTCATTTATTAATCAGGAGGGCCTATATTTGTATATAGTACAATTATTTCTGTGAAAGGAGGAACTGTGAAATTTAATTTGTTTGTCCACCAGACAATTCTTTGTTTGGGGCAAAACCTGAGCACAGTTTTCAATATCCCAAGGAACTACAGAATATGATTTAGTCCGTTTGAAGCACCTAAATATCAAAATTCATGAATATCGGGAACTTATGTCAAGCATTAAAATATTTTTGTCATTAAAATAATTTGTCATTCGGAATAAATGCTGTAAAAACAGGTGCACTCACCAGAACCGCACATTTGGCAGATGCAGAAGTCGGATATCGTCGTACTTGGAGGCAGTGCGTGTGTACACATCAAGGTCACCCTTTAACACCCATTTACCTGGGGGATACAAACTCACATCAGGATTTCAAAAACATTTGAAAATATTTTGTAATACAGCGAAACCTCATCAGATTTGGACCATTTTATTCTGGCTGGTTGGTTTGTTGTTTAACACAGCACTCAGCAATGTTCCAGCTATATGGCGGCGGTCTGTAAATAATCGAGTCTGGACCAGACAATCCAGTGATCAACATCATGAGCATCAATCTACACAATTGGGATAATAATAATAATAATGTGTCCATTTATATAGCGCCAAACTCCACACTAGGTAGGCTCATAGCGCTAACAATCAAGGCACAGCACATTATTACCCCGGATAACCCAAGCTGCCTGTTAGGCGCTAGAAGGTTATAGTCATATGACTTTTTTCTCTGAGCTCGACGCCGCTTAACTTCACCGATTTGTGACCTGAGCTTTGAGAACAGGACGACGCGCCACCACAATACGATGACATGTGTCAACCAAGTCAGCGAGCCTGACCACCTGATCCCATTAGTCACCTCTTACAACAAGCATGGGTTACTGAAATCCAGTTCTAACCCACATCTTCGTGGGTCCAATTATTATTCAGGAATTTCACCTATCAGACCTGTACTAAACATAAGGGTAATAAAATAATGAATTTGGATTGTTTTCCCAAAATCGACAACCAATGGTTCTGGGAATCCTAGATAAACCCCTTGATACTACAATAATATCAAGCCACATCAATACTGACCGTTTGTCCAGTCAACAATAACCCCTGTCCATGTCCAATCCATGAGTTCCGTAGTGTTGAAGGGGTCGAAGGAGGCATGGTACTGCCAGCTCATCTTCTGGATGGACATGGTCAAGCGTCCATGCATCAGCAGACGTATCTTGTCCCAGAAGGGCAGCGGGGCGCTGGGGTCGATGGAAGGCTTGTTGATGAGATCCATGGAGAGGTTGAACAGAGCGGCAGTGGGCTCCCAACATACTCCATAAGCCATTGTGAAGGAGGAAACGTCTGCAGGACAGAAACAGCAGAATGCTTGACCATAAACAGCTGAAGGAGACCTCATAATGATATATGCAAATACCTTGCCTCAGACTATCCTAATGTTACGACTGATGTTGTTGATTTTTTTTGTGTATACTCAACATTATTCCAGCCACATGGCCATAGCTTGGATTATACTAAAAAAGTTTCAGCTGCATAGAAGTTGAATACCATATATTGCTGCATAAAAGTTTTTTTGTACCTACAGCTAGGGCAAGAATGATGACAATTTTTCTGGATATACGACATCTTTTATTCTGTGAAAGGCAATGTTTCAACATAGATTCTAATGTTGTTGTCAAGCAAGCGTCTGTCGAAATGTCGCCTTTCACAGAATAAAAGAAGTTGTATATCCATAAAAATTGTCATCATTCTTCTAAACTCAACTCAACTTCTAAAATGCCCATCAAAGAAGTAGAGCTAGGGAGTTTTGAAGGGGGGTCACCATAAGCAAAAGAAGATTTCATTTTTTCCTTTTACTGGCATCAGATAGCCACTGATGTTGTTTGATAGTCCCAACAGTTCATTTTATTTCTATATATTTCATTCAAATAATCCCTGCATTTCCATAAATATTTATCCACTTGCTACCATAAATATGAGATATACAGTATGTGAAAGTGAATATCAGACGACCAAGACACCAAGGCGTAAGCCCACTGACTTCTGTTGAGCAAAAGGCAAACATTCTTGAACATACACTGCCACAGAAACGACTTCAATTTCATATAAGCATGGTACTTCACATACTAACACAAAATAGTTTGCAGTGTACATAAAATCAATCCCTAACACTCTTTTAAGACGACTGACTCACCACAGCTGAGATCGTAGAAGAACTTGAGAGGGGGCAGACTTCTCTCCACGGACATGTTGCCCCATGGTTCATCCACCTCAACCACGCATGACCGCCTGGCTGAACATCAAGGAAAACAGACAATGAACTACACTGAAGACCACAAGAAAGTAGGCATGAATGAGTGAGGTTGTACGCCACTTCGAGCAGCATTCCAACAATCAGAAATGTCTTCACATATTCTACCCAGGTTGTGAATCGAACCCAGGTCTTCCGCAAGATGAGCAAACGCTTTACCCTCAGTGGATTACTGAATAGGAGAATACATCCTTAAAACCCCACTATGAAACAAAATCCACATGTTTGCAAGTCAATGGAAGTCAAATGCCACAGCAATAATTAAAATCTGCAGTACAATACTTGTCTTCATCACCTAAAAGCAATATGTCAGTTTCAAATATTATAAAAAAGACAGATGTCTCTTTAAAAAAGCCATTGGTCCATAACAACACAAATTAATTCATTTCAGACAATACTTGTTTGGTGTATAGTGCCACACTCAGAAATACCTAAACCTTAAATGATGTTTGGATCGTTCATCTGTATACACGGGCATGTTTATCTTTCTATGATACACAAAACTGATTGATTTATAATGTCAGTTCTATATTCAAAAAGAAGGATACATCTGATTATTCATATCAAAAGTTGAGTAGTATATAATAAGCATCTATTCACACCATCAAGGTATGACATGCAATCAACCATGTCTTAGCCTAGTGTACAGTACATAACCCTGTGCACTTCAAAGAACCCACAAATCCGTTGGTATATGACTAGATGGTGTCCACATGAATACGTGCAAAGACCTAGTTGCGGGTACAGCAACATGCAGTAAAACTTGGACAAAGTACTGTGACTATGTGTCCCAGTCACATTAACTTGGTGCGCCTAGTGGCTGCCCAAGTTGTATGCTCTCCTGGGAGTTGAGATTGAAAAATTTGATGCGCCATTGAGATTGACATCCAATGATTGAGGGAAAAAAACAAAAGCACTTTGAGCATGCACATGGGATGGACTATAGTGCTATATAAATATCCATAAAAAAATAATATGAACCACTTGACACAGTTTGTTGGCCGGATCCTGTAATTCATTCCTTACAAAGAAAAACTATATTGCAGGTTAAATTGTAACAGGTGAACACTGCATACCTCTCTTGTTTCCTTCCTGCTCGGCAGCCATGAACAAGCCCCACATGTTCAGGTCCTCCACGTCTATCATTGGCTGGGAGTAGTCTCGCAGCCGCACTATCCAGGATCTGATGCTGATGTTTACGTTGCGGCACCACAGCGTGGAGAACTCCAGACCCTCGTCAGGGTACGGGCTGGAACATCGAGTCAGTCAAGTCACCCACATTCATCCGGTTTACCGTTGTCTTTCACAATTAACATCTACAAACAGTCTCAAAATTAATTACTTCAGTGTTATGAAAGTCTAATGAGTATGATTTGACGTTACTTTAGCATATTTCTGGCAAATATGGCCATGGTTGACACCAGGAATGTATCCATTAATCACCATTCTAACATGTAAAGCACCATTGAGTAGCTGCATATAGCTGGAATACATAGGCTATACAAACAATTATTATAAAATGACGAAAGATGGATAGAATTTTTACGACCTATATCTATGAATGCATTCAGCAAGACATATTTTTTCAATTTAATAATCATGAACATTCACAAGTGTAACAAAACAGATGGGAACAGTAATGTAAAACTAGAGCTAAGTTTGGTAGATGTCCTGAATGTTTCTTAACTATTTACATATACGTCCATCGCATCCCAATTGGATAGATTGAGGCTCATGATGTTGATCACTGGATTGTCTGATCCAGACTCAATTATTTACAGACCGCCGCCAAATAGCTGGAATATTGCTGAGTGCGGCGTTAAACAACAAACAAACCAAACATATTCATCACACAGGTCATTCAAGTGGATTCTGCATGTGGGTACAATGTGTGAAGCTCATTTCTGGTGTCCCCCGCCATGATATTGCTGGAATATTGCTCAAATCAAAATTTAAATAAACTCACTCTCTCATTCAAGGGAAAACCATCAAATCCAACACAGATGACATTCCTTTCTATACATCCTAATTGAATAAAATGCATGATAAGGTATGGCCCTCTGATTTACAGGTGCATGTTCAAAGCCCTACCATTATTATATGGGTCAACAGTGAGTGTTTGGCCAATTTCTCAACTCTCCGGGAAGTATACAACTCAAACTGCCACTCAGGTTAACAGTCACATAACCATCCTATCAGGTACCCATTCACTGCTGGATGATCAAAGGTACATTTCAAACACAGTCACCTGCCTAAGGAGACATCTCATGGTCTAAGTCATCCTTTCAAATATTCTTTAAGACCTTTGATGCTTAATACCCCGTGAAGACCCAGGTTTTAACTGATCTTCAGTAACCCATGCTTGTCGTAAGAGGCGAATAACGGAATCGGGTGGTCAGGCTCGCTGACTTGGTTGACACATGTCATCGTATCCCAATTGCGTAGATCGATGCTCATGCTGTTGTTCACTGGATTGTCTGGTCCAGACTCGATTATTTACAGGCCACCGCCATATAGCTGGAATATTGCTGAGTGCAGCGTACAACTAAAGTCACTCACTCACTCAATCGATGCTGATTTGTGGTCTGTGTGCTATGCACATGAACATGTGACATCATTGCTGTGTGGTTACTGAGGAGACGTCAAAAACAAAGTAAAAACAAGATAAATTTGTCAGGGTAAGCAAAATAGAATACATCTGTGTGTTTGGCCCACCTATCAGGGTCGACCTGCTGCATGTGCTTGACAACGTTCTCCTTGCCGTGGTAGGAGCGGTCAGCCAGTGCTGTTATCTCCAGGTCCTCAAAGGTCCAGGTGAACAGTTTGGTCCTCATGGGGGTGTTGCTGTACTGCTGCTGACACCGCTGGATGTACACCTCCGCACTCCGCATGGCCAGGGACAGGTACAGCTCCTCCTGCTTGTCCACTGACAGACAACATCACCGTTAACACCAACACCATCACTAACAACGAAGGACATGTGTGATCAAGCACCTGCTTGTCCACTGACAGACAACATTACTATTTATACCAACATCATCATCAAGGAGCAGCTTCTTCACTGACAGACAACATCACCGTTAACACCAACACCAACACCATCACTAACAATGAAGGACATGTGTGATCAAGCACCTGCTTGTCCACTGACAGACAACATCACCGTTAACACCAACACCATCACTAACAACAAAGGACATGTGTGATCAAGCACCTGCTTGTCCACTGACAGACATCATCACTGTTAACACCAACACCATCACTAACAATGAAGGACATGTGTGATCAAGCACCTGCTTGTCCACTGACAGACATCACCGTTAACACCAACACCATCACTAACAATGAAGGACATGTGTGATCAAGCACCTGCTTGTCCACTGACAGACAACATCACCGTTAACACCTACACCATCACTAACAATGAAGGACATGTGTGATCAAGCACCTGCTTGTCCACTGACAGACAACATCACCGTTGACACCAACACCATCAATAACAAGCACCTGCTTGTCCACTGACGGACAACATTACTATTAACACCAACACCATCATCAAGGAGCAGCTTCTTCACTTACAGAAAACATCACCTTTAATGTCAACAATGCTAGATACATGTATTCAAGGACCAGCTTGTTCACTGACACACAACATAACCGTTAACATCAGACAGAACTACATTCGGAACAACTGTTGTCAACAGTGGATGGACACATTAATATATTCAAGGACTAGCTTGTGTAGTGCAAGAAAACATCACTGTTAGCATTAGATAGGCACATACTAGTACATTTAATACTATTGTCAACATTGGACAGATATTTATTCAAGGACTAGCTTGTCCACTGAGACCATTAACACCAGATGAAGATACACCACTACATTAAATGCCACTGACAAAAATAGGATGGTCACATTTATTCAAGGGCAAGCCTGTCTAATGACAGAAAACATCAATGCAGGGCTCCTGATAATTTTTCAACATCAGGCGTACGTACTCATTAATTTTTCAATATAGGAGTACTGCAAAAAACTTAGAGTACATTTAGAGTACTGAATAGAATTTAATGGCGAATCAGTAATATTGTGTTTCGTTTCATATATGCACCACAACATTGCTACTCTTGTGGGGGCGGTGGGGTAGCCTAGTGGTCAAAGCGTTGGCTTGTCATGCTGAAGACCCGGGTTTGAATCCCCACATGGGTACAATATATGAAGCCCATTTCTGGTGTCCACTGCCGTGATGTTGCTGGAATATTGCTAAAAGCGGCGTAAAACCAAACTCAGGCAGGCAGGCTACTCTTGTGTAAACAGGTCAATAAACAACAATACAATACTTTTTCAGATAAATACGTCTGGAAATGATTCTAAGACCGTACACCATTGCTGTGGTGCGTATCTGCTACGTTTTCTAAATTATTTCCTACCGTATCGTGCATATGTTTTATCCGTACATACGCGGATACGGACCTTATCTGGAGCCCTCTCAATGTCAACATTGGATGGAGTGCTGTTTTTAGAACTGCTGGCTTTAAATGTATTCATTGACCAGATGTTTTGTTCACTTTTATATCCTGGATTAATGAGGTAACAAATACTGTGGACTGTTGTGGTCTACTTACAAGGAATCCTGCGTTTATTTCTCTGCAGTTCCAGAATCTTCTTGTCCATTAGTGTCCGCCGCGTCTCATTCTGTTCCCCTTCGTCCTTCAGCAGCTGGCAAACACAGATACACATACAGATGCAGCTCGTGAAGTTTGTTGTGTTGGCCATCACAAAACACAGCACTTTACCTATGGATATATTTTACTTTATCCCCAGCCTGCTTCGGACCCAAAGACGTTAAAAGATGGTTGTTAAAAGAGGTACTGAACATTTAATCTTCTGGGCAACCAAGGATTGTTGTTTGATATTTTGTTTCGAAATGTGAAGAATTCTGAAAGGAGCAAAATTTTCCTTCACTAACATGCCAGCAAGACATTCAGTCATTTACTGGACTCAGCTCTAATCCCAATCCTATCCGATAGCAATTCTAATCTAATCTACATAATCTAATCTAATCTTATCAAACCTAATCTACTCTAATCCGATACCAATCACAATCCAATCCAATCCAATCACAATCCAATCACAATCACAATCCAATCACAATCACAATTCAATCCAATCTGATAGCAATCAGAATCCAAGAAAAATCCAATAGCAATCACAATCCAATCCAATTGAATAGCAATCACAATCCAATGCAATCAAATAGCAATCCAATCCAACCCAATCCAAATCAGACAGGATAACATCAGATCAAACAAAATCGAATTAAATCAAATCAAATTTTTCCAGTAGTTTGGGAGAACAAACTATTGAAAAAAATGAGTGCCAAACCCTACAAACCTCATAGTTGTCACCAAGTTTAACCTCAAAGGGGTCATCACAGATCTGTACACTGAAGAACTGGAAAGGAGATAGGAAACATTTAATTTCAGGATAGAAATGTAGGGTTAATCCAGTGTACCACAGTGCACTCACAACAGTGGTCGATATTTAAGGTACAACAGGCAGGACACAGCTCTTTCATTGCATCATTCACGTAGTAAAGTTCATGTACAAGTAACACCTCAGGGGTGGAAATAACTTTAAAATTGCTAGTGTACTCCGGTACAGTGGCACATGTAAAATCACTTGCCCTGATAATTTTTCCACTATACCGGCCGTTTTCTTGTTGATTTTTTAAATAAACAACATAATTAATATTGGAAAGTCAACTGGACACCGATACAGTGTGATATAAAAATTTGCTTGCCCGACAGAAAAAAACTATGGACTCGGGCAATGGGTTATTTCCACCCCTGCACCTTGATCAGTAAATAAGGACCTGTAAGACATACAGGGTCCCGAACCACAAAGCGTTTGTAACGTTACGACCTGTCATAACTCTTTAGTTTGTCATAGTCTTACGACGTCATACTGCTATGAACGTTTTGTGCATCAGCACCCTGGTTCGAAAGCTGAAAAAGTTAGATTGGGTAATGAATTGATCACAGTATTGTACACCTTTGAGTTGATTCATGTATGCAGGCAAATCAGAATTAAATCATGGTAATGTAGTGGTGGCGCGTGGTCCTGTGCACAGAGCTCAGGTCACGAATCAGTTGAAGTTAAGCAAGTTGAGCTTGGACAGTCCTTGGATGGGTGACCGTGTTTGGCAGCTGGACTTCTGAGAGTTTCTAGGACTTCAGTCCTGCCCCACAACGAAGCACATGTGATACATGTGGTCTCACCTTAGGCAAGTGAGTTTGTTCAAATTGCCTCTGTTCACCCAGCAGAAAATGGGTACCCGGTTGGATAAAGTCATGTGACTATAACCTTCTAGCGCTTAACAGGCAGCTTGGGTTATCCGGGGTAATAAGAATCAGATTCTGATTAAGCACCGCGAGCAATCACTTGGTGTTAGGAAATGTGCGCTATAGAAGATGACTTATTATTATTATTAATGTTGATTTTACAGATTTGACACAAATACACACCTGGACCCCATTCCTCAAAGCGATCATAGTGATAAGATGATCGTAACTCCCATACTTTAACATAGACTTACGACTGTCGCAGAGCTATGATCACTTGGAGGAACGGTGCCCTGATCGGAAGCTGTATACAATCACTGCTTACCTTGACTCTGATTTGCAGGTCTGGAGGGAGGGGACTGTCAACTGTGAAGGGTTTCTTCTTAATGTGGTGCACCAGCTTCAGCCACTTCACAAAGTTCATAACCTAAGATGGAACAACTTGAAGGTTTAAATCCCATTGCAGTTTACAAGACATGCCTTTGTATGGAAGAATTAACCTGTATCATTGGAAAAGCACATGTAGGCATCACACTGTCTGTTGGTTTATAAAGAACCCCCGAGTCCTTCGGTACTGAAGCTTATCTGTATTCGCTTTTTGGTGTTTAACGCCACCCTCATCAATATTCTAGCTATATGAAGGTGGTCTGTAAATAATCGAGTCTGGACCAGACAACCCAGTGATCAACAGCATGAGCATCAATCTACGCAACTGAGATACGATGACTTGTGTCAACCAAGTCAGCGAGCCTGACCACCCGAGTTGCTTCTTATGACATGCATGAGTTGCTGAAGATCAAACCTAACTCAGAATTTCACAGAATTCATCGGTGTTCACAGACATACCTTTCAAGGAGTGAGGATTGTGCAACATATTTTGCAAATAATACTCAATAATTGGATACAATGTTTTTCGTAAATCTTTACTGTTTCAGGACAATTTCTGGAATGTTGTGGTGAATGACCTAAAGCTTTGTTAAATACTACTCAAAACAGATTAAGGAGGCCCAAAGTATTACCACAGTAATATGAAATGATGGTGTCCTACTAAATTTGTCAAGAGTTGTATATATTCTGACAATAGAATAATGACAACTTTAATGATATCCAGGATTCCAGAATATTCGAGCAAGTGGACACCCTTTTCTTTTTGACACTGACAATGATGGAGACAGGACTTGCTACAGACAACACATATACATGCATTTTTCTGGAACATATTAGAGAAAGGGTGTGCAGTCTCACCTCCTCAAAGCAGGCAGCAAAGTTGTACTTGTAGGGAAACACAACCTCAAAACTGTTAAATGATATGCTCCTGAAACAGAAATCAAAGGTTCAATTGATTGCTGATTTCACTCCTCCAATAATAATAAGAGGTCACACTTAAAACATTCTTAAGAGTTTACATGCACAAATCAATTATTTTCGCTTATATTTGCAAAAGATTTTTTATCATCAATTTCTTGATCATATCAAGTTTTTCTTCCAAATACTCGACACCTTTAAACTCAGTCATTTTCATTATTTGTTTGTAGTTTAACGCCACCCTCATCAATATTCCAGCTATGATGGTGGTCTGTAAATAATCGCGTCTGTATCAGACAATCCAGTGATCAACAGCATGAGCATCAATCTACCCAATTGGGAACCGTTGACATATGTGTCAACCAAGTCAGCGAGTCTGACCACCCAATCCCATTAGTCGCCTCTTACAACAAACATGGGTTGCTGAAGACCAAATCTAACCAAAATCACTAGTACATTTTTACTCAATGGAATTAAAGTACACCAAATGTATTCTGACCACAATTAATCTGACATGGCTCTTGCAATTAAGACAACAATATCATCAGCAAACTTACTGATACTGGTCATCTATATTCCAACCTAGAATTCCTGTATTTTCAGGGAAAAGACAAGGCTGAGGACCCACATTGTTAATTCAGGGACAGTGAACCTGTTATCCATCATGGTTGGTAAAGTATTCAAAAGAACTCATGTACAAGCCTGAACTGATCTCACCATGCCTTGTTTGTTGGGAGGGTGAGTTTCTGGGTCTGACTTGGACTCACCATGCTTTGTTTGTGCGGTGGGTTTCTGGGTCTGATTTGGACTCACCATGCTTTGTTTGTGGGGAGGGTGAGTTTCTGGGTCTGACTTGGACTTACCATGCTTTGTTTGTGGGGAGGGTGAGTTTCCGGATCCCTTGTCGCACAGCACTCAGTGTTGAAGGCTGGAGAGTTTCCACTACAAGGTCCTGAAATCACAGACATGGCAAATTACAATGTAGTCACGCTCGCCTTTTTCCTTCTAAAATACTGTTATCAAGCAACTTGTTCTGTAAATAAGACAACATGTTACATGTTCTTGAGGTATATATACTACTGCAAAACGGCTAAAGAGCACACACAATTTATTCATATGACCAAAGTGACTCTGGCATGACTGACTGGACCACCCATAGCCACAAAAACACCAAAGAATACTAAACACCAAAGATTACTCATTTGTTCGTTACGATGCCGTGAGAAAGATACAGTGTGAGGTGCTGCATAGGGTTGTGCAATATAACCGGTTTACCAGTATTTACCGGTTCAGACATGAAAACGATACGTATTGCGATACGCTGATCGAAAACCGGTATTTTGACTTGCATTCGGAAAACTTCGTAACACTCGGAAATTTTCGGATATTTCCTTGTTTCGTTTGTGCCAAATATTATTCACTTTTATTTTATCATGATTAAAAGTTGTTATTAAAGCTTAATCAAGCATAGTGATTTTGTTGTGTTTTTGCTCTATAAATCAAGCATTAACTCGATTATAAGTAGTTTTTTGTTTATAAATACTTCATGCAATATATTGCAATACATATCGCAATACATGCTTTCGCATCGCAATATATCGCAATATGAAAATTCTCTGCAATACCCACCCCTAGTGCTGCACAGACATGCCAGGCCTACCTTGATGGTAATTATCCGATGCTGGTCGAACTGCACGGTGAAGTTCTGTACTTCCATCAACATGTCAGGCAGAGTGGCGGTGAGCAGGATGCTGTCTGTCGTCACGGAGACACTGGAGGACAATCATATTGTTATCACATCAACAAGGTGGAAGCTCATGCTTAACGACAAATGACATAGACACTTACCTGTGTCCGCAAGACACCTACTTCTTTCACCTGGACACCTACCTGTTTCATCTTGACATGGGGCGGTTGCATAGCCCAGTGGTTAAAGCGTTCGCTCGTCACACTGAAGACCCAGGTTCGATTCCCCACATGGGTACAATGCGTGAAGCCCATTTCTGGTGTCCCCCATCGTGATATTGCTGGAACATTGCTAAAAGCAGCGTAAAACTAAACTCACTCACTCACTCATCTAGACACCTACCTGTGTCCTCTAGACAGCTGCAAGGTCAGCCTGGTTTCTGCATGAACCAGGACGTTCACACAGACACTGGAAGACTTCTTAGTGGAAGACTCAGGGGGTGATAGAAGATTTTCTTCTTTTGCTGTCAAAATACGTAAGTCTTCATAATCATTTTTGGAAACAAAGTAGGAAATCATTTAAATAGCTTGGTTCCGAGTTGAACGGAATGGACGTATTACTTAGTAACAGGGATGTTTATTGACGACATGTTTAGCGATTTTGGGAACAGAGGGTATAGCATTGGGCTGTTCTTAATGAAAACACAAGGTAAACAGTAGGTTTAAAATGAGATTATGATGGTTCCATTTGTTACTGAAATCCAATTTATTTACCCAACATTTTTTATTATTTTCTGTCTTTACCATTTAAATACCATTCACAGAAAGTTAGGACTTTTACCAGTTATTATTACTAAACCAAGCACTAAAAAGATGATTGAAAGATTGTGCTCACACCTAATACACTGTCTAAATAGACACTCCAGGCTATAAAACAGTTTTTCAAACTGTAAAAAGATTTATAGCTTGAACACTAGTTTACACCCACTGAGCATAATTGAGGTGAGGTGAGGTGAAATGGGGTTTAACATAGCACTTAAGAATATTTCGCTCATATGACGACGTGCATGTATGTGTAGGTGCGGCTGCTTGTACTAGCCCAGACTGAGGCTGGTTATATAGTGCTAGCCCACTGAGATACCATGCCGCAGTGAAGCATGAATACCCCACTCAGAAACATTATACTGACTCCAGCCGACCAGCTGTTTGTTTTACCCATTAATGCCGAATGCCAGGCAGGGACCAACAAGTACCATATTTTAACGTCTTTTGGTATGACGCGGTCGGGGATCAAACCCGCGACCTTCCGCTCTCCGGGCAGACGCTCTAACCACTACACCACGGAGGCGGTCCTGAGCATAATTGACACATTACTGACGTCATGTTTAGCGATATTGGGTACAGAGGGTATACCATTTGGCTTAATGTCAAACAAATTGTAGGTTTACAATGGTTATCTTTGTTATTGAAATCGAATTTACTTCCCTTACATTCTTTACCAACATTAACATTCTGTGCAAAACAAACAACCTGGTGCCCACTTCTACTGGAGTACCAGCTTCAGAAGACAAGCAATAAATATCTTGGGTAGTTACCAAACACTGGCAACCCATCTCAACACAACCCAACCACCAATGATCACCTGCCTTTGAGTATTGCCTTCAGGTGGGTGAAGTCAAGTAGAGCCTGCTGCAGACACATGTGACAGGAGGTGGTCCACACCAGCCCTAGCTCCTTCAGGATGTGTACCTGGATCTCCTGAAACAAGGAACAGAAGGACACTGTACAGACACATGAGACAGGAGGTGGTCCACACCAGACCCAGCTCCTTCAGGATGTGTACCTGGATCTCCTGAAACAAGGAACAGAAGGACACTGTACAGACACATGAGACAGGAGGTGGTCCACACCAGCCCTAGCTCCTTCAGGATGTGTACCTGGATCTCCTGAAACAAGGAACAGAAGGACACTGTACAGACACATGAGACAGGAGGTGGTCCACACATGAGACAGCCCCAGCTCCTTCAGGATGTGTACCTGGATCTCCTGAAACAAGGAACAGAAGGACACTGTACAGACACATGAGACAGGAGGTGGTCCACACCAGCCCTAGCTCCTTCAGGATGTGTACCTGGATCTCCTGAAACAAGGAACAGAAGGACACTGTACAGACACATGAGACAGGAGGTGGTCCACACCAGCCCTAGCTCCTTCAGGATGTGTACCTGGATCTCCTGAAACAAGGAACAGAAGGACACTGTACAGACACATGAGACAGGAGGTGGTCCACACCAGCCCTAGCTCCTTCAGGATGTGTACCTGGATCTCCTGAAACAAGGAACAAGAAGGACACTGTACAGACACATGAGACAGGAGGTGGTCCACACCAGCCCTAGCTCCTTCAGGATGTGCACCTGGATCTCCTGAAACAAGGAACAGAAGGACACTGTACAGACACATGTGACAGGAGGTGGTCCACACCAGCCATGAGACTAGCTCCTTCAGGATGTGTACCTGGATCTCCTGAAACAAGGAACAGAAGGACACTGTACAGACACATGTGACAGGAGGTGGTCCACACCAGCCCTAGCTCCTTCAGGATGTGTACCTGGATCTCCTGAAACAAGGAACAGAAGGACACTGTACAGACACAGAAAGGAGGTGTAGTCCACACCAGGAGGCAACTCCTTGTAGGATGAATGTACCTGGATCTCCTGTAAACAAAGGAGGAAGGACACTGTAAACAGAGTGAGTATCAGTTCAGGAGGTGGTCCATACACAGAAGGATGTGTACCTGGATCTCCTGAAACAAGGAACAGAAGGGACTGTACAGACACATGGTAGACAGGAGGTGGTCCACACCAGCCCTAGCTCCTCTGGAGTAACAGGATGTGATTTGTGGAGTAACCTGGATCTGGAGTGAAACAGAAGGAATCAGTTCTGGAGTAAACACAGAAGGAATCAGTTCTGGAGTAAACACAGAAGGAATCAGTTCTGGAGTAAACACAGAAGGGATCAGTTCTGGAGTAAACACAGAAGGAATCAGTTCTGGAGTAAACACAGAAGGGATCAGTTCTGGAGTAAACACAGAAGGAATCAGTTCTGGAGTAAACACAGAAGGGATCAGGCCTGGACAGAAGGGAGGGGTGAGAAGGTGGAGTAAACACAGAAGGAATCAGACCTGGAGTAAACAGAAGGAATCAGTCTGGAGTAAACACAGAAGGGATCAGACCTGGAGTAAACACAGAGAGACCTGGAGTAAACACAGAAGGGATCAGACCTGGAGTAAACACAGAAGGATCAGTTCTGAGAAGGGACAGACCTGGAGTAAACACAGAAGGAAAAGTACAGTAAGCACAGAAGGAATCAGTTCTGGAGTAAACACAGAAGGGATCACAGAAGGGGATCAGACCTCAGTAAACACAGAAGGAATCTGGAGAGTAAACACAGAAGGGATCAGTCATGGAGTAAACACAGAAGGAATCAGTCTGGAGTAAACCTGGAGTAAACACAGAAGGGACCTGGAGTAAACAGACCTGGAGTAAACACAGAAGGAATCAGACCTGGAGTAAACATAGAAGGGATCAGACCTGGAGTAAACACAGAAGGGATCAGACCTGGAGTAAACATAGAAGGGATCAGACCTGGAGTAAACACAGAAGGGATCAGACCTGGAGTAAACACAGACCTGGAGTAAACACAGAAGGATCAGACCTGGAGTAAACAGAAGGGATCAGAAGAAGGATCAGACCTGGAGTAAACACAGAAGGGATCAGACCTGGACCTGACCTGGAGTAAACACAGAAGGGATCAGACCTGGAGTAAACAGTTCACAGACCTGGAGTAAACACAGAAGGATCAGACCTGGAGTAAACACAGAAGGAATCAGGAGTAAACACAGAAGACCTGGAGTAAACACAGAAGGAATCAGACCTGGAGTAAACACAGAAGGAATCAGACCTGGAGTAAACATAGAAGGGATCAGACCTGGGGTAAACACAGAAGGAATCAGACCTGGAGTAAACACAGAAGGGATCAGTTCTGGAGTAAACACAGAAGGAATCAGACCTGGAGTAAACACAGAAGGGATCAGACCTGGAGTAAACACAGAAGGAATCAGACCTGGAGTAAACACAGAAGGAATCAGTTCTGGAGTAAACACAGAAGGGATCAGACCTGGAGTAAACACAGAAGGAATCAGACCTGGAGTAAACACAGAAGGGATCAGACCTGGAGTAAACACAGAAGGGATCAGACCTGGAGTAAACACAGAAGGGATCAGACCTGGAGTAAACACAGAAGAGCCAATTCAGCCATAAATATAGGGTAAGATACTACACATAGAAAGGATCAATTATGGAGTGAATTGTGTAGTAAAAGACAGAAGGCGACAATTCTACCATAAAAGTAGCAGACGACAAAAGTAATTAAAACATAAAGCACCAATCATTGAGTCAACACAAAGGTAAGTTTTTTTGGTAATGTATACAATGTTTAGATGTCATATGGTGTTTCCCTGCTATTATATCGCTGGACTACTGCAAAACTGGAATGCTCACTCACACACTCACTCTACCCTAACTGAGAAATAAACACTACCTTTTCAGCAGACTTGACTTTGACTCGTATTTCCCTGATCTGAGCGGCTGGACTGGTCAGCTCACTGGACCGGGTCAGTGTGTACTGCTGCAGAGGTAAAACACAGGCTGAAACAACATCTGGGGCACGGCAGTGTTGGTGCAGTAACAAGGGAATATACTGGTAAATCAATATTGTAATCAGACACAAACAGTGCTCCTCGGGGAATCTACCTTAGTGTTGTATGACGGTAGCCTTGTGGTTAAAGCGTTTGCTTCTCACTCCAGAGCCACAGGTTTGGTTCTCCAATGGGTACAATGTGTGAAGCCCATTTCTGGTCCCCTGTCATGATATTGCTATAGTACATCAACCTACTCTCACTATTTGTCCCACCTTTACGCTGTTGGAAACCATTTGCAAGTGTGCCTAACTATGCCATACCTGGCATCCATTAAAGCAATCTTAGTGCTAGGTAAATCATTAGTTTAACACAAGCATACCATTGCAACAGACTGAACAGGACATGTTTATCCCTTACCTGTGATCACTGATTTTCTGTGATCCATGAATATAATTGTGAGCACCATAACCCCCTTTGCACACAATGCTCATTATGGTGTCTTGGCAAACAATAGAGACCGATTATTCTCTGGTGCAGATGTTTTGAACTGAATGTGGACTAGGCCCCTTGTCCTTAAGTTCATAAAACAAATAACTTTTGTCAAATCTCTTAGAAGTTATGTCTTTGTGTCTTGACGACGCAAAGAGTCCATGTTAGAGTATGGAAGCGGAGAATTTATCCAAGTTTTCATTATGGCTCTGCCTTAGTATAAAGCTACTTGTGTGCAAACTAGTTATCACTGGCCTCAACTTACATCATCTTCTTGAGGCATGTAGACAATCTTGGCTCCATCCACAGCCAGTGTAGACAGAGATTGTCGATGGTCCACTGTGATGTTGTCAACTCGTAACATCAAACACACTGGAGGAGAGGCAAACATTCAGTCAGCAACCATGAAACCATGAATATGGCTGTCAACATTTAATTCTGGTACTCACATCTTGATTACATCTGCACTGAGCAATATATGACAGCAGTTAAATAATGAAGTTAATGTGTAAACCTGTGGTAGATATAATGAGCAACAATACGTACAATCAGTGTACCATGGCACTCTAACAACCATGCCACGGAGCCTTCCTATCCAATACATTAAGTCGCCTCTTACAAGGATAGCCATCTTGGAACAAGTTCTACCTCAACATCCTTATGGCTGGTAACTAGCAGAAGAATTTACCGGTACTGGTAAATACAAAAATACAAAAGAGGGCAAAATGGACAAATTAGGGAAACACAGTACAGTATTTATAGATACAGTGGCACATTCCAGCACCGGTAAATACAAAAACACAAAGAGAGTGAAATGGTCAAAATTAGGGAAACGCAACCCAGTATATATAGATACAGTGGCATATTCCAGCACCGGTAAATACAAAAACACAAAGAGAGCAAAATGGTCAAATTAGGGAAACGCAACCCAGTATATATAGAAACAATGGCATAGTCCCGTACCGGTAAATACAAAAACACAAAAGAGGCCGAAATGGACAAATAATGGAATATGCAACAAGTTGCTGCACAAACTAAAATATAAATTCACATTACGGCTGGTAACTACCAGAAGAATTTACCTGGTTCATAATCACCAAAAGATTACAAGTCTGCACTGACCTTTGAAATTATTGCACAGGAATATATTGAGGTCTGACACATCAAACTTGACTGAGATGAGGAACTGATTCAGTAAGGAAGTCGTCGTGTGGGTGGAGGTAGGGGAAGGAGTGTGTGGGGGAGACACAGCCTGGGTGGTGGGGGCAGGTTTGATCTTGTTGAAGCTTGTTATGAGGCTCTGCAGAGAGGTCAGCGTGTTGGTTGACCACTCCAGCTGGACGTTGTCCTTCATGCCTTCTATCTTCAACTCCCGGGCCTAGTTTCTTCATCTGGGTACCAAACAGAACACGTCACACTCACTGAAGCCAGCAGCTCCTGTCGACTCACACTTAGATAAACACGTGTAAGAAACAGATGACTAAATTTATCCATTACCTTAACAGAGGCCCAGATAAGCTGCGTATCCAGGTAAAATACGCATAGAAAATTTTCAATTAAGCATTGAAAAATAATTCTTGCGTACCAATTACGCATTTAAAATGTCAGATACACAAAAAAGTTTAAAACAAATGCGTACAGAATATATTTATAAAAATCGCTTGCGTAATGAAAAAGACATCGATTGCTATCAAGTTGTACTGTTAGTATAGGACTAGTGTTGTACTGTCAGTATTGTTTAAGTGATTTTTTTATGAAATCATTTCCATTATATTGAAGTTGGTTTTGATTAGGTATGATATAAGGCAGGACATACCTGCTTAGTAAACTTACTCAATGACATAATACTTAGGTGAGTAAAATGACTGAAATACGCACATATTTGAAAGCAGTGGGTAACGGAAAATGAAATACCCACTCAACATTCATACCCACTCCAAAAAAATTACAGTGGGTACAGTACGAGCTAAATCTTATCTGGAGCTCTGCCTTAACATGACTATGATAGATAAATTATCTATTTACTCTGCTTTAAAAGTAAACAGCTTCTGAGTGACCGTAAAATTGTGTCTCAGGATCCATAAATACCCATTCTATCTGTACCACTGAACCTTTAAATATGCTACTCAAAAAAGTTTACACACACCAGACTCTCTATTGATAATGGGTAATCTGTCAGCCATGACAGTTAAACTACAGTAGTATTAAAATATTGCCTGTTCTTTAACTGTGGAACAATAGCAAGTAATATAAGTCAAAGACCCTGGGCCCCAAATCACAAAGCATTCGTAACATTACTCTTACCATCAGTATTCCACAATTTACCATAGGCTTACAAATGTTGTAGTGCTATGAACGCTTTCTGGATCAGAGCCCTTATTCTCGAAACATTCGTAGCCCTAAGAATTCTTAACTTTGATCGTAGCCAATGTGTTAAGAATGGGCTTACGGAGTTCGTGGGGCTACGAACGTTCGAGAATAGCTAGCCTGGGCCCACTTGCACAAAGCGATCTTAGCGCTACAGTGATTCTAACTCCCATCCTCTAACATAGGCTTAAGATAGTCGTAGCGCTAAGATCGCTTTTGACAAGTGTGATTAAGTCTAATTCTGACACATTTCGCAACATTCAACAGACTGGAAGAAACCTTATTCATTTTAACCTCATCGATCCACTGACTTTAACAGGCACAACTGCATCCGATATAAAGGTAGGACACAGATATTCAACAGACTGACAACATTTATCTCGTTAAGTTGTCACATTCCCAGCTCTAACCTTGAGTATGAGGATCCCCAGGTAGAATACCTGGTCCCAGTAGTGTTTCTTACGAGACAGGTTGTCAACGGCAACCTTCTTGTCGGCATGGCAACAGTAGATATTTTCCGTTTCCAGCTCACAGGTCATGTCATGTGACTGAGTCCAGGATACCTCTTCTGCCTGCTCACCATGTCCTGTAACAATGGTAACAGCCAAGTGAAAGTAAAGGCCTTTGAGAATTGGGCAGTGTAAAGGGCAGTGTCAACTAACAAAGACAAATTGACTATCTTCTTTATAAGAAACACCCACGAAAATCCGGGTTAGAATTGATCATCAGTAAGTAACCCATGCTTGTCGTAAGAGGCGACTAACGGGATCGGGTGGTCATGTTCGCTGACTTGGTTAACACATGTCATCGTATCCCATTTGCGTAGATTGATGCTCATGCTGTTGACCACTGGATTGTCTGGTCCAGACTGGATTATTTACAGACCAATGCCATATAGCTTAAATATTGCTGAGTGTGGCGTAAAACTCACTCACTCACTCACTGTATAAGAAACAGTTATTATACAAAAACCCACAGAAAACTGCACAGGTATCAAAGAGAAACGAGGCTGTCTCACCATTGAGCCAACAGACATGAGGCTGTCTCACCACTAAGACAAGAGGTGAGGTGAGGTGAAATTGGGTTTAACGTCGTGCTTGAGAATATTCGCTCATATGACGATGTGCATGCGCGTGTATGTGTATGTGTGGCTGCTTGTACTAGTCCAGACTGAAGCTGCTTTTATAGTGCTAGCCCACTGAGATAACACGCCGCAGTGAAGCATGAATGCCCCACTCAGACACATTATACTGACTCCGTGCCGACCAGTCCTTGTTGTACCCATTAATGCCGAGCGCCAAGTACCATATTTTAACGTCTTTTGGTACGATGCGGTCGGGGATCAAACCCGCGACCTTCCCACTAAGACAAGAGACATGAAGTGGACTTACCACTGAGTAAAAAGACATGAGTTTGTCTCACCTTTGAGTCCGGGTTTAAAGAACCAGGTGAGTTTGGACCTAGTGATGCCAAGCCTGAAGCCGGCACAGGACGCTGTAGAGAACATGGAGGACAGGTCTGTCATCACAACCACAGAGTTGCATTTCTTGCCCAGCAACCAAGATGTCAGGAACAACCTGCAACAGCCAACACCTCTTACTTACACATACAGGGGATTCTGTGCAGACATAGCACCATTAGGAAGACCTCCAAGTATAACTGCATGTCCACATTAACATCTACACCTTAATACCTTAACATTTCCAAAGCATATTTATTTTTGTATAAGTCTTGGTGCCTTGTCACCCACAACTGAGCATTTGAAGGCAAACAAATTCCACTTAACACAAAAAGGTAGCTTCTTTGAGTGGTATTTTAGAAGTTGGGCAGTATAATATCGACACACTTCATGGATAACAACTTCTTTTATTACCTGAGTGCAATGTTGTGATACAGATTCTTGTCAATAGAGGTGTTATGAGTACTTGCTAATCACAACCACCTTTTTAGTGCAATTTCTTCAAAACAAAAGAAGACATCCACTATATTTATGGATTAAGCATTACTTCTTCAGGAGAATGTGTGTTAAATTTTTCTGTCTTTATTGTTTTTATATTTGATTTCTTTTAATCTATCACAGTAAACTACGTTATCTCACTTTGTTGGTGATGGACGTGCAGGCTTTGGTGGTGGAGGTGGAGTAACCTCCCCCTGTGACATCTTTGACAGCACCAGGACCCAGTACTGGACCTCTTCGTGATGGTAGTGGAAGAAGCCGTTCAGGACGGAGATGTTCATATTGACCAGGTCCCCCAGGAGCTAAACACAGATCAACATACAGTACTGGATGAGTCCTGTTGACACTCTTGAATGGCCATGAATACCATTACAAACAGTAACAGCTTAAGAGATGAACTAATGTGTACTTAATTTGGAGGTTTCAAATGTACCGGAAGATTTGATACCTGTAAATATCATTTACAATGTACAGGGAATGTGTATCTGTGTTGGATGAGGTTGAAACATTATTTACAGAAGCTTTATAAACTCTGAATGAAAGAACTACATTCGTGAGAAATACAGATGAGTGAGTGAGTGAGTGAGTGAGTGAGTTAGGTTTTACGCCGCTTTTAGCAATATTCCAGCAATATCATGGCAGGGGACACCAGAAATCGGCTTCAACACATTGTACCCATGTGGGGAAGAAATACAGATGAAGGCTGACTGATCAATGAATGGATAGTGTTTTATTCATAGATATCAAAGCAGTGTCCTAGATGAAAATGATAAAATAAGACAAGAGTAATTCCACTGACCTGAGTTTTGATGTCAATCTTTTTCAAGCCAGCAAAGTGGTGCTGGGGAGAACTGGTATAAAAGTCTGGAAATTATGAAAAGAAACACATTAATTCTAGCAATAGTACCTGGTAAGTTACGTTTAGTTAATTACAAAACTTCTGTGAGTAGCTTTCACAGTTAAAAATCTCTGGACATACCTTTCTCAGTCCAAAATCTTTGGACAAATTATAACACAATCATATCTCATATTTTATTTTGATTAGACTCCCTTTCACATCCTTGTTCACACAACAGTGTTGGAATATTCATTTTTCAATCAAGTTACAACCTTGTCTCTTGGTCCAAGATGACATCGTTTGTAATATTTTATTGACACAAGAGTTACAATGGTTGCCAAACTCAAGGCCTTTTTTGCTACAAATTCACATTCAATGCCAGACTGCCTAATGAAGAACTTTCCAAGACCAAATTCAAATTAAAGGTATTTTCAAGGCAAAACTGCAGCAATCAAGGTTGATTCAAAGTCTAGGTATTTTCAAAGCCAATTTTTAAAATTAAAAGTTGATTCAAATTTAAGGTATTTTCAAGGCAGAACCCCCAATTCTAAATGGTATCAAGGGCAAAATGCATGAATCCAGGTTTATTCAAATTCAAGGTATATACAAGCCCAGGCCCCGATTTCTCGAAACAAACTTAAGTCTGAGTTTTGACATAAGTCTGAGTTTTTACTCAAATTTGAGAAAACGCAGGAAAATGCATTTCCCAGAATAAACTGAAATCAATATTAAACTCAAACTTAGTAGACAATTTGAGTTTGGTTGATAGATTACCTAAGTTGTTTGGGCTTTTTTTATTTAAAAAATGCAGTTGAGTTAAAAATTCAGCTGTTTCAAATTGTCAAACTCAGTTTGAAATTTGAGTAAAAACTTAAGTTTGTTTCGAGAAATCGGGGCCAGACTTGGTATTTTCTAGGCCAAACCTAAAATTCAACTTTGATTCACATTCAATATGCTTTCAAGGACTAAGTCATAAGTCAAAGCCTTTATAAGACCATGGCCCCATTCCTCAAAGCAATCATAGTGCTACAAATGCATACCATATATTACCGTCTATAAGCTGACCCCTTAAACTTGACCCTTAAAATCAGTGTCAAAATGGTATGTTTTGTACATAAGCCGATCCCCCACGATGGGGTCCTAATCCAGGCAAACACAGACCACAGACAACTGCCAGTTACCAACAATTTTAACTTTGGTCCACATTATTCAAAGAATTCACAATCATATTGCATCTACTCACGCATCGAAATGAAGTGTAGTTGACAGAAAATGGATAATATATTTTGTTTCGTTAAATATCCTACTTATTGTAGTTGGACGATCACATGTCAACAAACTGGCTTGCTTATTTTACCCCATTCAACAATCACGAACTGATTACCGCCTTGTTTGCCATGGACTGCTAGTTTACAGTAACATCGGTAAAAATGTGTGAATTTAAATGGCTTGCTTATTTTACCCCATTCCATGTGCGTACAACTTCCGCTTACCACGTTGAGGGTCTGTATAACCTTAGTGTTGATTATATATATTTTATATTTATAGAGCAAAAACTGTAATTAAAATTATACAATGCTAGGATATATTTTTGGGGGTTAAATAATAGCACACTGTATTATATTTTACTGATGACTGCGTCAGAATTCACCCCAATATATATTATTATGCATGTTTGAACTTGATCGCCGGGGGAACGTGTGCACAGCTGATTGCTATTTCCGGCTCAAATACACATGGTAATCTTAATCTTAATTAATTTATAGAGTAAAATCTGTAATTAAAATTACACAATGCTAGGATATATTTCTTTGGGTTAAAGAACAGTATTCTGTATTATATTTTACTGATGACTGCGTCAGAATTCATCCTGTTATATTATTGTGCATGTTTGAACTTGATCGCCGGGAAGCGTGTGCACAGCTGATTGCTATTTCCGGCTCAAATACACACGGTTATCTTAATCCCTGCAAATAATACAATGCCCAGCAAATACAACTTAGAAAGGTAAATAATCTTGTCTAGTGATGTTTAATTGCAAATTTGATGTCTTTACAAACAAAGTCGTCTTCTGTTGTTTGTTCACGTGAAGTGATGCAATGTTGTTTTCTCACCCCTGGAAAAAAGTTTGACGAAAGCATAACTCATAAATAAGCCCCTCCCCTTCTACAGACTGCTTTTTTTTATCCTCAAAATTCGGCTTATAAATGGTAATATATGGTAAGTCTTTTTTAAAGTATGGGACTTACGATCTTCTTAGCACTACGATCACATTGAGGAATGAGGCCCATGTCTGCCTTGTCTAAGTTGTTGTGATGATACAGCTACAGCATACGTTATTGTTTAGAACCACACATAATGTTTGCTTGCATTCACATGGTATAGAGGAAGTTTGGCCTACTGGTCGACAGGTGTCGTGTCTTACCTTCCAGCAGAACACTGAGAGTCAGGTCAGTGGCTCGGTCCCGGCTCTGGTTGTGGAATCCCACATGGAACAGCTTAAGTGATACAGACAGGCTCCTGTAATTCATTGGAAACACAATAGTAGGAATATTACAAAGTGTTGTAGAATTTGTGCTAATACTAGTTTGCTATATCCATCAGCTATTTTCAACTGAATACATCACAGAAACATTTCAAGCAAACATATTTCATGACATATGGCATGTGAATAGTTCTAAGAATAAATGTTGAAATGAAAATCAAGTTATGCTTTTATCAGACATGGTTTTGAAAAAAAATGAAAGAATCATTTGTAGAGAACTGTTATGAGGAAAACTATGCATAGTTAATTAATCAATGTTTAAAGGAAAATCATGTAAGTTTTTATTTCAAGACATTTGTTTGTTTATTAATATTAAATAATTATATGTAGCGAACTTTATGAGAAAAAATATGCATAGTTTACCGTTGCTTCTTTTCCCTGACAATCTTCACATCAAGTTCAGTAAAGTCTATACCAACTTCTTGCTGAAATATCATTGAACATTGCATTAGCCTTACTGGACTGAAAACACAAACCACAAATGTGAAAATGAGTTTCTCCATTTGTTGCCATTCGTTGGTTTCACATTATTTTTCGACTCGCTGTGCGCATGCGCAGAGTGTGTAAAAACTATCCACTGGACAACTTCCAGTTTGGTCGTATGCTTTACCGATAGTGTAAACACACTCTAAAGAAAGCAAAAATCAAAACAGATATATGGTTTATGTCGAATTTAAGTGATCTCAATTCATTTATGAATGGAAAGGACCGGGGTTAGTTAAATAAATAGCTTTACGTTTGTTAACAAGCTCTTGTATAAACGCATCTCACCACCACCCGTCCAACGTGCTTCCTGCACATCCCCTTCTCACAACTAAAAAACACATCTCTGATGCAGTTGCCACCAAAATAGGACATCAATTATTGAAAAGCATAGGCAACTGGATGTATGTCCTCAACTATGAACAGTTGTCACACGTAATTAATCTTCATAGAGCTTTTATTTAGAGAGTGTTTACAATATCGGTAATACAACCAAACAGGAAGTTGACCAGTGGATATTTTTACACGCTCTACGCATGCGCACAGCGAGTCGAAAATTAATGTGAAACCAACGAATTGATAATGGTACCATCATATGTTCCAAATACAATGTAATTTGGTCTCTAAACTGCAAGGGTATCAGGGTGAAACTTCTTTGAGTGGCATTTAGAAGCTGGTATGATGAACAGAAACTATTTTTATGGACAGACAACTTCTTTATTGCAATGGATGCATCATTTCAGTGTAGATGCTGACACGGTTATCAAGAGATACACAACAGAGGTGAGGTGAGGTGAGGTGAGGTGAGGTGAGGTGAGGTAGGTGAGGTGAGGTGAGGTGAGGTGAAATGGGGTTTAACGTCGCACTTAAGAATATTTTGCTCATTTGACGACGTGCATGTGTGTGTATGTGCGGCTGCTTGTCCTAGCCCAGACTGAAGCTGGTTTTATAGTGCTAGCTCACTGAGATACCATGCCGTAGTTAAGCATGAATAACCCTTCTCAGACACATTATACTGACTCCGAGTCAACCAGTTTTTGTTGTACCCATCAATGCCGAGCACCATTCAGGCACCAACAAGTACCATATTGTAACGTCTTTTGGTATGACGTTGCCAGGGATCGACCCCGCAACCTTCCGCTCCCCGGCAGACGCTCTAACCACTACACCACGGAGGTGGTCGATACACAACATAATGGACAAGGAGAATATACATAGAACACAAATACCCTTCATATATATTCTCCTTCTCCTGTTTATAAGGATGTGAGGTGAGGTGAGGTGAAATTGGGTTTAACGTTTTACTTGAGAATATTTCGCTCATATGACGATGTGCATGGGTGTGTATATGTATGTGCGGCTGCTTGTACTAGCCCAGACTGAAGCTGGTTTTATAGTGCTAGCTCACTGAGATACCATGAAGCAGTGAAGCATGAATACCCCACTCAGACACATTATACTGACTCCGAGCCAACCAGTCCTCGTTGTACCCATTAATGCTGAGCGCCAGGCAGGGACCAACAAGTACCATATTTTAACGTCTTTTGGTATGATGTGGTTGGGGATCGAACCCGCGACCTCCCGCTCTCCAGGCGGACACTCTAACCACTACACCACGGAGGCGGTCGATACACAACATAATGGACAAGGAAAATATACACAGAACACAAATACCCTTCATATATATTCTCCTTCTCCTGTTTATCAGGATGTGGAGGAGGACAGTATCATGAACAAGTTTGCCTGACATATTCCTCTACTTACAATACTGGAATATTTCTGGAAGTCAATAGGCTTTGGCTGTTCCTCCAAGTTTTCTGTTTCAGTTGGTGCTGAAAATACAATATTTTTACAAAGGTGCATCTCACAACTAAGGAGGGCACTCTAAGATACCTAAAATATCTCTAAAATAAGGGGGGTCACTGTAAAAAAATCAAACATTTATAAACGGACACATCTCACTGAGAGGAGGGATTCCCTGTAAAGTGGCATTTACTGATTTAGACAGTGGCCAACAATTACGTCATCCTGCAGATGAATTATTGTCAGCGAATTAGGAATAACATCATGTAACAACCATATTTTTAAGGAAATAATCTCCCAAAGGTCTGTATGTGTCCTGCTTCACTGACCTATTTGTGCGTCTGCTGGAGCAGCCATGTTGGACTCAATGCTCTGCAGGCTGGCCAGAAATCCTGTTGACAAAATACATATATCACACAATGCAGAGAAATCACCACAAGAAGACAAAGTCATCAATATCCCCCGCAATGGCAAAATACTCTTCATGATTATGTCTACGAGTTATGATGATGTCAAATATTTAGGTGTGTATATAGAAAAGTGGAAGGAGAGTATTGAAAGGTTTTAAAGTTCTGCTCCAGAAAGGAGCACTATCACCAATTTCAGTCTATGTCAAACTTGTTGCCATGGAAAAGCCAAAAATATTTTATTCAGAAATCCAAAACTACCAAAAAAGCACCAGTACACCACCAGATCTATGTATGTGCCAAGTTTGGTGAAGAAACATTGAACGGTTTTAGAGTTCAGCTCCAGAAAAGAGCACAACCACCAATTTCATTCTAAGTCAAACTTGTTGCCATGGAAACGCCAAAAATGTTTTATTCAGAATTCCAAAACTACCAAAAGGCACCAGTTCACCACCAGACCAATCTATGTACCAAGTTTGGTGAAGATATATTGAACGGTTTTAGAGTTTTGCTCCGGAAAAGACAAATGTGCACGGACGGACGGTGTCCATTTTAATACCCCCGCAAAACGCGTTGCGGGGGATAAAAATATTTTATTCAGAATTCCAAATCTACCAAAAGGCACCAGTACACCACCAGATCTATCTATGAGCAAAGTTTGGTGAAGAAATATTGAACGGTTTTAGAGTTCTGCTCCGGAAAAGTGTACTCACACTAATTTCAGGCTAAGTCAAAACTTGTTGCCAAGGAAACGCCAAAAATATTTTATTCAGAATTCCAAAACTACCAACAGGCACCAGTACACCACCAGACCAATCTATGTGCCAAGTTTGGTAAAGAAATAGAGAACGGTTTTAGAGTACAGCTCCGGAAAAGTGTACTACCACCAATTTCAGGCTAAGTCAAAACTTGTTGCCACGGAAATGCCAAAAATATTTTATTCAGAAATCCAAAACTACCAAAAGGCACCAGTACACCACCAGATCTATCTATGTGCCACGTTTGGTGAAGAAATATTTAACGGTTTTAGAGTTCTGCTCCGGAAAAGACAAATGTGCACGGACGGACGGATGGACGCACGCCACGGACGGAGTCCATTTTAATACCCCCCGCAAAACGCGGGATAATCAAAATGGATATCAGTTATATGGACACCTTGGAAAAATGTTATATCAGTTATTGAAGGATAAACAAGACATAAGCCATTTTGAAAACAGTTGATCTGAAAACAGTATTTATATCTTAAACATTCCTAAAGCTGTACGTGTTGGTTAGATGGAAACAACAAGGGAGGTAACTCACCTTCTGTTATCATCATCTGCGGTTTGGATACCAGTACACGAAGAATCTGAAACATGTTACAAACCGATAATACATGTTTGTGTGATTCCTTAGCTGCTCGGGCTTGAAGTTAAAAAAAAACATATGCACAGCTTCAGTTTCACAGCTTCTTTGTCTTTGGAGCAGCACTTCCTTAATTGTACATTCCATTTTCAATTTTCTTGAACACAGTCCCTTATCAGGAAGCTGAACAAAAGTTTTCTGCTCAGCAGATCCTATTTCATGCTGTCTATGACAGGATTCCATCCGTTTCAAAAACAGACCACAGTCTAGAGAATCAAATCCCAGAAGTTCATAATCATTCCCCTTGTGGTTTCAGTGAGATGTCTTAACATTTGGATTTTTGGTTTATCAAAATGTTATTTGACAAATGAAATATTCTGTATAATGGGTTGAATAAAGTCTACCTGCCTGTGGGCCTGACAATCAACAACTCAAAACCAATCTTGAGGAAAGTCAGATAATTTAAACATGGACAGGATGTTTTTCCAAAGTAAAAAAATTAAAAATTTTTACTTAAATATATTTTTTTACTTACAAAGGCTTTATATCCTGACAGAGCAAGACAAACATGTCCCGTAGCTCACCTTCAATTTACGAGGATCTTCTTTGTTAGCTTTGATTTCCGTGAAGAGCGAGACAGACACTTCCCAGAGGCAGGAGGGGGCTGAAGATGGCTCCTAAATCACACATCAATATCTTGTTTGCGGAAACTAACACATGCTGATATCTAATCTTACTACATTTACACATGGCGATATTTATAGTCTGCAGTAACAAACAGGAAATGTAAACTATTTGCGTCCATTCTCAATTTGTTTGATAAAGAACTCATTATTTATATCATTATTCATATATTTAATTGACTCATTATTTCTTATTCGATTAATTTACAACTCTTATGGATGAACATAAGTTTGATTCTTGCTATTACCATGGAAACCAACTCGTGATCCAGAATTTTGAACTTACCTCCTCTACACTTCGATGAGCTTTACATGTGATTCCATTCAAGTTCAAGGACACAAGACAGCTGGAAACAAAGTTATTCTATCTGTTACAGTAGTTTTTCATCAAGGCAGAAAAAATCTTTCAAAATAGAGAAACAATAATCGCAAAAAAGTAAGAAATATTTAAAGAGTTCGTATCAGGTTAATTTCATAAAACACTCTTGATGAAAAAATAACTAATGCATCCACTCAAAAGTGTTCAAACCAAGCAATTTTGAAGTAGTTTTTGTTTCTAACAATTTGCATGAAGCACTTTAATGAAACAACCCACTACAGTCACTCAAACCCTTGATCAATGAGTGAGTGAGTAAGTTTAGTTTTACCCTGCTTCAAGCAATATTCCAGCAATATCATGGCAGGAGACACCAGAAACTGGGTTCACTTGGTCAATGAACTTGGAAAACATGTAGGGTGTAACTGGTTACAGAGAAACTCAATAAATGCCAAATGTGTTCAATTTGCACAGAGTGAGTGGATCAAAATCTGAGAGTACCAGTCGTTTTCCACACAGAGGTCTGCTGCAATCTCCTGGCCTGTGATGTGTATCAGGCAGTCCGGCACCATCGTCTTGAGCAGCAACACTGTCAGGTTCTGTACACGCACACCTAGAAACTGAAACATCGCTACAGTTCAAGCAGTGACGTCCTGATGTTGTGAGATACATTTTATTTTGATATGTTTGTTTATCTATTTATTTATTTAGATCAAATAAACATGGGCATGTAGTGACAATAAACTTTGCTGTGCTAGGACTAAAACCACGGACCTTCTGTGAAGCTGACAAGGTAAGGACGTCATCATTATATGACTGCACACCCTGCTACATACTCCTCCGTGAACAAAATGCACATCCCGGGCATAGCAGTTTACTGAGACCTATATTTTGATAAAAAAAAACATGCTCAGCCCCTTGTTGTGTGCCCATATTGGATTCGAATCACAGGCCTCCTGATCAGAATTCAGATGCCTTGTTCATATGACCAAGAGGTTACCCCATCAGCAAGCTGCCGAGGTAAGTATGTCACGTATGGGATGACTCCATGCCCTTCTATACACACATTATTTAAAAAATAAAGAAACTGGCTGTCCCTGTGTCCATCATGCACTAGTGTTCAAGGGTCTAATATTGCAACTACGAGAACAAGCACCGGTGTCATCTGTGTCCAAGTTTCTAATATTGCAGCCACAACTTACCTGTGCCAGATGAAGCACCGGTGTCATCTGTGTCCAAGTTTTTAATATTGCAGCCACAACTTACCTGTGCCAGAACAAGCACCTGTGTCCAAGCTTCTAATATTGCAGCCACAACTTACCTGTGCTAGAGCAAGCACCTGTGTCATGTCCCTGTGCCTCTGTGTCTGTGGATCTGCCTGTCTTCGTGTCTGCCTGTCTGGCGTCTGTCTGCCCTGGCCATCTCCATTGTCTCTTCCAACATCAGCCTGAACTCGGACATCTTGGATACACACCACAACTGGCTTCCTAACAAACCATGGTCACAAATTAAACAGTGAGTGAGTGAGTGAGTTTATTTTGACACTGCTTTTAGCAATATCCCAGCAGTATCCCTTCAAACATTGTATCCAAGCGGGGACTTGAACCCGGGTCTTTGGCATGATGAGCCAACACTTTAACCACTTGCCCAGCCACCGCCCCACAAATAAAACAGACTCCGAGGGGTCATAATGCCCAAAACAGACATCAAATCTAACAATAATTTAATGACTGAGCAGGCTTCTATACTGATAGCATTACACTTGTGATCCATTTCAAACACAACCGGAATGCAGTGCAGCATAAGGACTTCCTTCCTGTTGTCTTTATACTCAGGAACACATCATTACCAGCCAACATGGCATTCATAAGTCTTCTGATTTGAATATACAGTAGAACATGGATATAACGAACTCCAAGGGACCAAGAAATTTAGTTCACTATATCCGTTGTTCGTTATTCACATTTGACCACCATCTTGGATTGTAGAGATGTAGACAAAATCAGACACGTGACCTAAGGCAGCCAATCATACTACGGCAATGGATACCGTCCTCGTCAACGAAAACGGTTGTTGAATGGGTTAAACACGATATGTTTGTTTTGTTAATTAATTAATGACCATCAATCAATGTTGATTCACCGCCAACAAGATTGATGTATACTGTACCGCTAAGTGGCTGAGCTGACACTGAGTGAGTTCGCTAATCACGTCGTTAATTGGCTCTTTGGGGTAGTAAATCAGTTCGCTATAGCCGTTAATTCGCTACTCACGAGTTCGTTATTCACGTATAATTTTAATGATATTATAAAGGACTGTTGACGGGACTTTTAAATTTGTTCGCTATATCCGTTTGTACGCTATATCCGTGTTCGCTATAACCATGTTCTACTGTAGTACTAAAACAGGGCGCAATTTTGAATGAGTGAGTTTAAGTTTTATGCCACTTTTAGCAATATTCCAGCTATATCATGGCAGGGACACCAGAAATGAGCGTTGAGCGTTACAGATAGTACCCAAGTGGGAAATCGCACTCCATGTCTTTGGCATTACAAGCGAACACTTTAACCACTAGGCTACCCGACCATCCCTCAATTTGAATGTAGCTCTATGTCAACAAACTAGTGAGCACTGTAGGTTCAGAATACATTCAGAATTGACCATTTTAGAATGGAGACACATTTCACAACTGTTACAATGGGCATAGGCGGTTCTTTCAAAGGAGGTAACTCAGTGGTTTACTGACTATAATCAGATCACAATTCTCAAGAAGTCTTGGAAATTTGTAATAGTTATCTTCAAAATATGAAAAGATATATATGCCTACCTTCCATTAAATTTATATTCATAAGAAATATTGAAAGTTTTTTCAAGGCATTTTATCCATCTTCAAGGTTGAATCTATATCTTATGTCAATCCATCAAACACATATTCCATGAAGGCCTCAAAGGGTTAATTGCTATTTCAAATTATCAAAGTAACAAGTAAGCTTTATCTTTCCTGATATAAATACAATCTGTTCAACATTCCATCACTTACTTCACTTCTGGATTTAAAAAGCAGCTAGATAGCCATATTCGGTCAAGTTCCTGTAAAAGATTAAACATATTACATTAACAAGCTTTTATAAAGAAAGACATTTGTGTAGCATTGTCATAATATTTCTACCAAAACAATAAGAATAATCTACTGGAAGAACACACTCACCACACTTAATCCTCTCTTAATGATGATCTGTACATTTCCAAAGTTGAACAGGCCAATCTTCCCAAACTTGACCTGGATGTCAAAGTACTTCTTCAGGATGAGGGAGATCACCCAGGCAATAACCCTGTAAAGAGAGAAACGTTTTAAAAAATGCTTCACTCTAAAAGCCATAACTTGTGTTTTAGCAACACATAAGGTTGTTACCTAGTATATGAAATACTACAACTTGATCTTACTGTACAATAAATACATTTGTATTTCTACTGGACACAGGCTCAGACCAGATGTAATTGTACATGACAAAGACTTAATGGTGGTCCGATTAATTGAAATAATCCAAGATTGGTCACAATGACTAAACGACCAAGCAATTGATAATGTTTTCTCATAATTGAACACAAACAATTTGGAACACTTGTTTGCATTAACAATATTTTTAACACTTGTTTGCATTAACAATATTTTTAACAAGGTTGGTTTTGTCTGTTACATTTCATAAGCACTACAAGCTCGTTATGATTGAATTTATCTTAAAGACTCCAGGAGATTTGTGTTCCTAACATACTAGTCATCCTTTAAAGATGTGAAATTTGCAGATGCATTTTGTGCAATATGCAAAATTATCGAAGGAACTATATGGTTTTTCTCTATTTTTTGTGCATTAACAAACATAGCCAGGAGAATTTGATAAATGACGCTAATCAATTATCCTCAATAATTGATCGGTTGTAATGAACCAATCATCAATTGTGAAATTTTAACCAATTCCCAACACTAGCTTAGACCACAGGTAATTTTACTTGGCACAGGCAATATTCCACTTAAATAACAGGAGTCTGTAAACAATTAAATCTGGGCCAGAAATCCCAATGATTGACATGATGAGTAGTGATGAAGCAGGCATCAACCCCATCAGTGAGTCTGACCACTGAACCTGTTGGTTGCGTCTTAGACAATGATAGGTTGCTGAAGACCAATTCCTCCTCCGACATTTCCAAGCTGGCCATGTAAGTCAATGTTCATCAGCCAGGTATATCTATACAAAACCCTTTATTTTCATTTATATTATCTTATAACAAGCAAAGGTTGCTGAAGACCAATTCCTCCTCCGACTTTTCCAAGCTGGCCATGTAAGTCAATGTTCATCAGCCAGGTATATCTACATGTATATTAGACTTTAATTAACCAATCACAATCCAGTGTTTACTGAAGTCATGGTAGAATTTATTTTCATTAATATTATCTTATAACAAGCAAAGATTGCTGAAGACAATTCCACCTCCGATTTTTCCAAGCTGGCCATGTAAGTCAATGTTCATCAGCCAGGTATATCTATACAAAACACTTTAACAATTTAGTGACTTAAGCCACATCTTATAACAAGCATAGGTTGCTGAAGACCAATTTTATCCCAGATCTATTCAAAGGTCACAAGTGAGTTGATAATTTAAAATATGGAATATATATGAAGTATAACAAGAAGACAAAGTCATCAATATCCCCCACAATGGCAAAATACTCTTCATGATTATGTCTACTAGTTATGATTGTCAAATATTTAGGTGTGTATATAGAAAAGTGGAAGGAGAGTATTGAAAGGTTTTTAAAGTTCTGCTCCAGAAAGGACACTATCACCAATGTTCTATCTTGTTGCCAAGGAAATGCCAAAAATATTTTATTCAGAAATCCAAAACTACCAAAAGGCACCAGTACATCACCAGATCTATGTATGTGCCAAGTTTGGCGAAGAAATATTGAACGGTTTTAGAGTTTTGCTCCGGAAAAGTGCACTACCACTAATTTCTGTTTTAGTCAAACTTGTTGCCATGGAAATGCCATAATATTTTATGCAGAATTCCAAGACTACCAAAAGGAACCAGTACACCACCAGACCAATCTATGTGCCAAGTGACTGATGGACTGAGTTTGGTTTTACGCCGCTTTTAGCAATATTCCAGCAACATCAGCAATAGAAATGGGCTTCACAGTACCCATGTGGGGATTCAACCTGGTCTTCGGTGACGAAATAGTCTGTACTAGGCTACCCCATCAAGGTTTTAGAGTTCTGCTCTCGAAAAGACCAATGTGCACGGACGGGGGCCTTGAACGGACGGAGTCCATTCCAGCGTTGCAGGGGATAATTAACAGTGAGTGAGTGAGTGAGTTTAGTTTTACGCTACACTCAGCAATATTCCAGCTATATGGCGGCGGTCTGTAAATAATCGAGTCTGGACCAGACAATCCAGTGATCAACAGCATGAGCATCGATCTGCGTATAATTAACAACAAACTGAGAGCATGTTACCATGGTAACAAGAAAAAGAACCCAAGGGTATTTTAATAACTTGGTTTACAAATTTTCAACAGAAGACAGTTCTTATTTATCTACAAGAACTTCCTTTTTATTTCAGAAGTTAGTTAACAGGACTGGTGAATTTATTACAGTCCCAAATGATTTGATATCTTACAAAAATTGTTATTTTTGACTGTTAGTCAAAAAGAAAATATTCAGCAGTTCAGTCACTTCAAAGAAATTTGAATAAGTGGACGTGGTTTAGAAAGTTTACAGTGCTTAACTGTCTTAAGACTTGAAAAATACTCAAACAAATGTACAGCTAAAGACATATAAAAAGCCCAATATTATTAGCAATCAAATTTCCTACACATCACAAAGCATATATGTCTTCTATTTTGTTTGTTTCAAAACTGTTATCTTTTTGTGAATTAAAACCTACACAAGGAAATACAAGGCAAACATTTTCTTTTCATGTTATCTGATCATTCTCCTAATCTGACGAGAAGGAAGTGTTACTATAATAATCTATCTCTTTCATTCAGAATGATATGCAGCTAACTCTGTGAAAATATTTCAATGTCAATGAAAGCTTCAACTCTATAGTCAAATAACATGCCGTGACAGCCTATTCATGTAACTGCATGTGTAAACAGGTCTTAATGTAATAAATTTAATTTAATCTCGTAAAGCTGTTAATTTGCTCATAATTATCATAAAGTGACAATGCTGGGATGGTGTATTAATATTAATGTGTAGTAGTTATGAATCTATTTACAAATATCAAGGGTTAATATATTGAATAAATTCTTTTGGGACAGAATGTGTCTCCATTGCTACTTGTAAGACCTGGCTAGCTATTCTCGAAAACGTTCGTAGCCCTGTGAACTTCGTAAGCCCATTCTTAACACATTGGTTACGATCAAAGTTAAGAATTCTTAGGGTTACAAACTTTTCAAGAATAAGGGCCCTGGATCACATTTGCCACGCGCGTCGTATGATAAAGTAGTCTACGATTTTCCCTACGATATTTTAGGCATCATAGGTGACCGTGGACTATGACGTTTGTGTTCACATTGTCTACGGACATCATGCAATTTCCTTGGGGACAGGCCAAGGTAAACCTGCATGGAAGCTGCACAGAAATCGTACGGAGATCGTATGGAGATCTTACAGAGGTCGCAGAGAGATCTTACAGAGGCCGCATGGTGATCGTGTGCTGGCCATGCGCTGGTCATGCGGATATCCCACGATCCTTTAGTTAAAAAATATTGTGCATTTACCACACAATCAAAGTGCGGGTTCTTTGCCGGGACCTGCAGTGCCCGTGCGATACCACCTATGGGCTATGGGCTTACGATTATTTCAGTTTTGTCAAACCCCGCTGTTTGACAAAATCATAGAGGCTATGACACCTGTAGAATCGTGTGATAATTGTACGGCTGCCACCAGTCGCCGCACGGCGACCGCAAGGAAATGGAACTACGGGCAGTTCACGGGCACCCTTGACCCGTCGTAGTCCAAATGTGAACCAGGCATTACTGACGATATAACTGAGAGCTAGAGGGGATTGTGGGTAAACTTGCTCCTTAGTGAACAATGTTGGTTGTAATAGACAACCAGCTGGATTGGGTGGTCAGGCTTTGTGTCTTTGTTGGTGATGTTTACATACTACATGACATGGACTGTTGCTAACATCAGTCACTACATTATCTGGTCCAGGCTCAATTATATATGGTCTGCCATGGAATACTACTGAGTTCAGAATTAAACAACATACAAACACACACTAATTAAAACAAAGTTGTTGTTAAACGCCACAATCAGCAATATCCAGCTACATGACAGAAGTCTGTAAGAAATAGTGAGTGAGTGAGTGAGTTTAGTTTTACGCCGCTTTTAGCAATATTCCCGCAATTTCTCGTGTATCAAGGCGAGGGGACACCAGAAATGGGCTTCACACCTTGTACCCATGTGGGGAATCGAACCTGGGTCTTCGGCTACCCCACCGACTGACTGAGTTTTAGTTTTCACCGCTTTTAGCAATATTCCAGAATATCCACGGCGGGGACTTAACGGCTTTAACTACTAACCACTAGGCTACCCCACCGCCCCTATAAGAAATAGAGTCAGGACCAGACAACCATGTGATTCACTTCATAAGCATTCATGATTTTTATCAATGTAATGAATATTAAACAGTAATCATTAAAATAATTTATACACATTTGTAGCCAAGCAACACAGAATTCAATCAGTATCTTCTCATACTATGCACTGCTGAAAAATTAACAAAAAACATTTTCCAAATTTAAATCAGCAATAAATTATTTTAAAAGAAATATGTGGGAGTAATATATTCAGTTACTCATAATGAATCATTATCATGATGTCATGATTTCCTGCTGACGATAGATTAACATCACTAAAGTGTATAGGAGAAATACACTGTTTCCTCGTTTTTCATTTGAAGATTGAATTATCACTGTGACAATAACTTTCAGATCTAGTGACTCAATATTATTTTTAACCCATCAGCTGATCATTTTAATTACAATACAGTATTTATTAGTACTTGGTGCAAACATCTTAAAATGGTACACTTACAATAAAAAGGAGGCAGAGGATGGTATTATTTAATTTTGAAAAAAATAATTGTTTTGGGATTAAATGATTAAATGTGAGTTATGTCTCTGAAAAAAATCAGGCGCCAAGTAAATATCTGTCATTTTTACAAATAGTTTCATTTTTACAAATAGTTTCATTTTACACGCTGGATATCAGTTCATTATGGCTCAAGAACATGCAGGTGGTACAAAAAAGTGAGAAAT